AAAGTGCATCGGCGAATCAAGTTATATCATCATAGTGACTTACTATCTTGTTCATATTCACACTCAGGCCACTCAGATATTTGACAAGGTTTATAATCTTACATTAACAAAGCTAGCTGAATATGAATACACAAACGAGGTAATTAAATTTTCATCTCGTTACTCCATTGATTCCCATTTATACTATTAAAATATCATTAACTTTTCTGCAAAAAAACATTATCTCTGAGAATCAGTTAATTTTGTTTTTAAATCCAATGAAAATCAATAAGCATTATTTTTCTTCAGAATCTAATTCTTTATTTACATTGATTGGTAATGAATACAATAATTTTACTGTCTACAGATTAACCTTTTTCTGGTTCGAGTCAACCAGCAGGATGTTGGGTTCAAGTTTGCGAGGTTGTTCGTAATAAAACCGAGTTTTGTTTCCTCACTGGCGACAGTTTCATTGACACTGGCTTTGACCATACCAAATGTATTTTGATGTTTATTTGGTCTTAAATCATAATATATCTCGACAAGTTCAACCATTAAGGCGATCGATTAAAGGGAAATTTTTTTGGGTTGATCGTTAAAATCAATCATTATTGTTTCTCAGAGGGAATAACAATGAATTGTATAAATATGACACTTTATTTACATGTATGAGATTTGATGGAAAGTAAATGTTTTTGGTTTATGAGACTTTCGATTGTCTTGATTAAAGCTACCAACAACAAAAACATTGCTCATTGTTTTCTTGTGACAAGGTGTTTACAAATGCTTCTGTCTTGGTCGATGAGTATTTTCAACAGGTTTGTCAACAGTGAACTATGTATGGTTAAGTTGTTATTATTTTTGTTCAACACTCAAGTTTATAATGAGAAGTTATAAGAGCTAAGCAATTTATGGTAATTAGGGGGTGGATTCTGAGTTACTCAGCTGTACTTGTGTTTCTCCAACCTAATCAGTTGAATGAGTTCTTCCTTACCAACCTCTCCTACTCTTTACATCATCTTTCTTTCTCTCTCTTTTCCTTCCTTCTTTCTGTCTGTCTACCTCTCCCGTTATCTTCCAGTCGCTCTATCTTCATCTCTTTCTCTCATTTCTCCACCTTTTTTCTCTTCGTTTCAGTGACTGTTTCTAATACACTACATTTTCTCATCACCATCAGTTGTCTTTTAACATCGATACACTCACTGTGATCTCCAGTTAAACTTGGTATAAAATAAACCAACAATCAGTTGAATCTTATTCTCAAAGAGTGAGAATAAGAAATTGAGACAATTTAAATTACAACTGGTGTCTAATTGTCTTTTTATCCGTCTTCACACTCTGTGTTTGTAAATCGCGCTTTTACCCATTTCTTGTTGTGGTTTTTGTTTTTGCCCCATTAGCTCACTCCTATCTCTTTGTTTACCCAAAAATGTTGTCTACCAATGGTGCAAATGCCAATGATTTATCTAAAGTCAGAAGTAAAACAAAATTATTTTTGTTGGTTCTTATTGGAATACAGTTTACCCTGAGTCTTATTGAATTTGTCTTTGCCATTGTCAATGGATATGTTGAGGCTATCCTGATCACCGTGATAAGTGTCTGCATCGATGGAACCCTTTTGAGTGCTATCTTTATGCAATGGAGAACCGTTTTACGAGTATTCCGTACAATAATCATAGTTATTGTCATAATTTGTGTCATCTCATCATTGGCAGGAATCCTTGTTCTTGTTGGAGGTGAAAAAATGGATAAAGAGCAAATTGCTGATGATTTGATTACCGTCATTATTGGTTCGCTAATCTATTCCCTTTTAGCTTACCTTTTGGGCAAATATCTTGATCAAATCTCCGTCAGTGAGCAATTCAGTTACAGCACATAAATCATTTGTATCTTAATCTTCATCATCACCCTCACCACCATCGTCATCATCAATATTTTCAATATCATCCAGTTCATTGTCATCTTCATTTACATCACATTACCATCAAACCAAATTTTAACCAGTTGTTCTTTACCTCTCATATCTGCGCTTAAGGTTGGATGGATCATCAACTTTTGCTCAATCAAAGCTCAGGTTTTTGCTTAACCCGACAACCAAGGATCAAGATAATCACCAATTTTAGGAACAAATTAGGAGCAATTCATTTTCATGAAAAATATCCAAGCCTGATTAAATATTGGCCCCATTGTTTCCACTCAAACAAATCGACAATCACTATTCCTCGATGCTTGAATTTATAACCATTTTTCATTCCTTCACAATTCTTAAGCATATTTTTTTTTCATTCAAAATTTTTCAAGAGATGAATTGGCCATTTATCATTGTACAATCATCTTGAAAATACTCATCAATTAATTGTAATACCTTTATAATTCAAGTTCCATGCTTAATCATCTTTTTTGTCTATTTTCATAATCATTATCCATTGTATTTCCCAAATCTCACCCATCTTGTAATTGACTGAATGTAAAAAGGTTAATTTTTGTATAAACTATGCTTCAAATTTGACAAACAGTTACTTTTGTTTTTTCATTCATTCAAACAATCAAATTGAACCATTCAAACAATTTGATTGTTTCGGTAACATAAAAAAGGCAAAATTTTCAACAAAATGCTCTATTATGACCATTTATTGAAGACATAAAACATTTAAACATCATCTGTAACCAAACAAGCTCAATTTAATATCGGATCAAAGTATTTTGTATAAATTAATCTTCTAATGCTCGATTAACCCAATTTACAGACTTAAATCACAATCAACTATAATAATGAACAGAAACAATGACAATTGACTTTCAAAGCAGCCTGCTATAAATATCATTTCATATCATTTGGCAAAGTTGAAATTAAATTTATTCCAATGATATTAAAACTCTAATTACTTGGCCTGCGTTTGATTGTACTTTAACCTTGAAATATCGAGCAATCAAATTGTTTAACCTAAATAGTGACCAATCACAATCTAAACAAAGTCCAATATGGATCAACCGATTTGCACCATTACAATGGATGTAAACCTAAATTTGAAAACAATAGAGACAATAATAAGTGAAGCTCCGTGAAACCCAAATTTAGGATTCATTTTTTGGCCAAACCAAAATCAAGAATCGACAATTAGAATCAGCATGATTTAATGTCGCCTGAATAAGCTCAGGTTGTTTCAGATATCAAGCTGAACATTCAGAGTCAACTTCTGGCTTCACCCATTACAATATTTATAAATAATATCAATACTTTTCCAGTGAATATCAATTATTGGTGTTAATTTTAATCTTGCCGTTGATTATTTTAAGCTTCACAGTAAACCTTTCATTGTTTCATTTTGTTTCTCATCTCAATATCCATTAATTAATCAATAGTTGATTAACAGGTGAATCTTTCCTTACTCATTATTTTAACTTACTCTTGTTTCAAGCTAACCGGTTAACATTGTTACATTATTATTGTTAGATGACAATTCAACGGATCCAATTGTTTGAGGATCCATTTTGCTTCAAAAGTAACACCAATCAGCAGATTGTGAGGTTAATAATAAATCGCCGATTCAAGCTATTCAATCAGATAGTGGCTCAGAATATTGGTATTCATTAGTGGTATAAGAGATGAGTTTGGATGAAATTTGATTCAATGTATGGTTCAATGATGAAAATGAGAAAGCTCAAGTGTTTGTAAGATTGTTATTTTGTATTTTAGGTAACATTAGTAGCAATGAAAATCTATGCAAAGGTTTCAACTCTTGATTTATTGAAGCAATTTATTTTGCTAATTGTTTGATAATGCCAACTTTCCTCGTGGCTTGTCTGGTAACTGCGTTGGATAACCGGTTAATTTGATGGGAAAAATAAAAGCGCAATTAAATGAACAGAGAAACTTGTTTAAGGTAAAATTTTGATTATTTTGAAATTGTTTTTTGTAAAAACAAGTAAAATCTGGTGATTCCAGTGATGTTGATGATTTAAAGGATTTTCAAGTAAAATTGTTTGTTAAGATTTTGATTGAAACTTAAAATGGACACTTCACACCAGGCTAACCTAAATTTGGGTTTTGGTTAGTGTTAACGAGAAGATGCTTTGTTAGGTTGAAAAGGCAAAACAGGTCAACAATTATATTGATAATAGTTTAACATTGGACTCAATTTTAACTGATGATAATATTTGAAGGATTCAGGAAAAGAGAAAGTTAAATCTGATTCTTTGCTAGAAACTAATAGACAATTAGATGGTAAAATGAATCATTTTAGATACAGTGAGAAGAGTTTAAAATTGAAGTGAAATTGAGGTCAACAACATTGAAAGGTTGAAGGTTAGGCCAGATGAGACTCACAAAGACTTAGATTTGTGTTAACATATGATAAACTTGATAGATGAGCGATTAAATCTATGAGCTAAAAAGCAATTAACCCAATTTAAGTTAACCCAAAGATAAACTGGAATCAGTGGGAACCAAAAATGTAAGCTTTCATTTTTCATCAAACGTTTTACGCCTTATAACGGAAAGTGATGATTAAAGATGATTTTATACATAATTGTACAATTAAATGCAAAAATGGTTGATTGTTTCTGCTCACAATAAAAGCTACTTTACATTGAGTGAAGACAAATTGAAAGAAGCTCAATTTAAAGCCATTAAAGATGCAATTTTGTGCAACATTTAGGTCTTTTTTTGATTAGTTTGAAATAGTCAGGTTATTATTGTTGATCTATTTGTATTGAAATACTCTCAACTGATTCCGTTTCAAATGATTTACTTGATTCGGTGTTTGTTGGTACAAAATGATGATTAGCTTAGGTTTATTATTGTACTTAACTCGACTTGACTCCTTGTTTGTTAAACAATTTTAGCTAATCATTATTGTTTATATTTAGTTGACAATTATTTTGTTAATTTGAGATACATTTGTGTTCACTGATTGAGATGGCTGAAAATACTGATTAACTTGCAATTGGTAAGATAAATCCTTTAATCGATTCAACTAACTATTTCAAGAGTTAAATAACATATTCAAATTATAAACAAGTAAATATTAATTGGGCTAATTAGGCTTGAAATTTAATACAAATTAAGTACAGTTGGGTTATATAAGCAGCTGATACCAGAAAAAAAAGTGGAGAAACCAGAAAAGTGAAAGTTGGCTGACAACCAGAAATTCAAGTTGACGCTTCAATAATTGAACAAAGTCACATGCTTTTTAGCTTCATTTCCTTATAACTTGATTAAAGATGATTAAATAATAATTAAATGTTGCCTCTTATTATTAATATATTATTGACATTAGCATAATATTTTACTAACCAATTGAAATTTACAAGCCAATGAATGAGTAAAACTTGTTTATTGAAAATATATTGACTTCAACTGGTTGAGACTTTATATATTTTTGACTTATTCAGGTTAACCAACAACAACTGAATTGGCCGAGTCATTTTTTCAAATTGTATTATCTAATTAGGAAGATATTTAAGCATAATAATGATAATTAAGGCGTAAAAAAGCTCAATAGCTGTTCAATAACACCTCAAGTTGAGCCTAACATCAACAGGCTGGAAAACTCAAATCAATCTTTTCTTTCTCCGATTGTGCAAGTTGGAATCTAAAAAGGTAAAAAAAGGTAAACACGATAAGTTGATATTGTTCAATTGAATTGTGTTTTAAAAGGCAGTCAATCAATCTTGGTATCAATCTTTGTTCATCTTCATCAAATAGCTTGATCAAAGTGAGTAAACAAACAAAAAAAAGAGAGAAGTCACAATTTGATGACAATTTAGTCCGGAAGAACGATTTGATATTAACTTTTGTGCTCAAAAATGAGTTATCATTTTCTTCAATCCATCTTTATACCGTTTCCTCTTCCTTTTTTTGCTGATTTACTCTCTCATCTTCTTGCTTTTTCCTTGAGTTATCAGGTGAACACGAATAAACACAAAAACACGGTCAAGAGATGCTGATGCTTATACTAATAAACAACCAAACCTTTTTTGCATTGGTAACTTTACCAAGTTTCCGTTTCTTCCCAACCATAATTTTGATAATTGAATAACTTTCAGTTTACCTTCCTTCTCAGCGTTACATGTAGCTGTAAAGCGGGATAATACAACTTATAAGAATGTACCACTTAATAAATAATGTAGAAGGAAGAAGAAGAAAACGCAAACCGGAAATATTTACGCTCATTTCAAGCTGCATCTTAATTAAATCAAGGTTAAATATTACTTTAGGGTGAACTCAATTGATGTTGGTTTTCAGTTAATAGAAAGGAAAAGGAGGTCCAGTTGTTGTTAAAGATGATGGTGATGATTAAGATGATGATGGAAAAGTGAAAGTGGAAAATCACCTTAAAATATAATGCCTTAAAGATGGATAAGAGAAAGTTGTTTCCATTTTAATGTATGTTGTCCGTTAATATTGATGAAAACTTACAAATTGTTTTTTTTCACTAAATTCAAACAAATTATAAAAGTTATAGCTAATAAATAAATTCATATAAATAACTAATTAATTAAATTCCTTATATAACTAAATAATCATTCCATTGATTAATTAGAAGTGAATTAATCGACTTTATCGTTGACTTGTGATAATTGGCAGGTCTCAGCTGTAACGGGTCGATTGATCGATTAAAACAATCGAAAGTTGGTTACCAGGCAAAGAGTTACCTTTTCCCTTTGTTACCATGTGATTGTTTCTTGTCTAATTACACTTGCCAGTTACAATTAAATGTAATCTTGAATTTGTGCATTTCTAAATCTTATTAGGATTTTATATTGTTAATGTTATCTATTTTTTTTGGTTTAACATGGACTGGATCTGATTCACATCGTTATCTTATTGGTTCGGGAAAATTGTATCAAAAATGAAGTCAACCCTGAATTTGGACTTATAATTATCACATCAATTGTAATCAATCCTGATCAGTGTCGAGTCACGAATAATGTAAAAGTAGAGTTTCCTTTTTATCGAGATTCTTAATTATCTTCATCATCATCAACCAAAGTAATGACAACAACAATAAAACGGGTCTTCTAAATATCCTCTAATCATAGTCATGAAAAGGCTTATTATTAAAAAATGATTCAAGCAAAAAGTGAAAAATACTACTCATTTTATTTTTCATGAATATATTCAGTTAATTGTTGAAGTTTCATTGAACTGCTTTCTCCATTGATATGGTCAATTAGTTTTTGATATTTTTTCAGCTTTTGTGAGTTGAAAACACCATGACTGGAGCTAAAAAATTTCAAATTCCCGACGCCATATTTCAATTTTTCAAGCAGATTGTTTGGACGATTCTCGATCTACATAAATCTTTGCCAGAAAATCAATGAACTTGAATAACCAAGACCAGAAACTTGACTGTTATCAACCTGAGGTAAGTGAAGTTTTTTTCATTCATTGCCAAAATTTTGACTTATACCTTTGAAATTAACGTTTATATTTCAGTAATTTTGCTTTGCATTTCTTTTTTCAAGATCACTTTCGAATCCATTCCAGATTGATCAATTTAAAAAGATGTTTCTTCTTTTTTATTCAATTTAAAGCCTCATTTTTAATAGTCTGATACGATTGACGGTGATTACTGTGATTATCGTGATAAAATCCTTAAGCGATTGAATGAGTTCTTCCTGCTGGAAATGAAACTCGCAGTTCCGCAACAATGAAATCAAGATGAAAAATCAATCGCTATAGATGAAACTATTACAGTAGTATAATGCAGTAAACAAGCTTGCCATTGTTTTCAAATAACAGTTTCACTAATTTTTGCATTTTGTTAATGTTGCGAGTCAACAATATCTATTTATAAATTGAAAGAAACAATTTAAATAATGGTTAATAATAATGCTAATGAATGCATTAACTGGAATAAATTGCAAAGACAATATGCTATTAAGATGAAACACAATGTAAAACACGATTGGGAATCAACTTATTCTTCCGTTCACACAACAATCGGAGTTATGATGAATATTGACTTGATTCAATTTTGTTGAACGTTATTCAAAATTCAGACAAGATTTGTATCACCTATTATAGCAATTATGAGATTACATTCTGATATCTAGAATTGTGAGAGAGTTTCAATGATGCAAAGAAAATATATTACACTGATTAAAACTTGCTTCAGCTGTTTATCACATTCATTTTATTTTTGGCTTAACACCTTTTAACTGACTTTAGTATATTACATCAAAATGAAATCCATATAACATAAATAAATAGAAATATTTGGTTGTCGTTTCATTGGGTCAAAAATAGAGAGATTTCAATATCAAATTGGTAGGCAAATTGGTGCCAAGATTAACAGCTCCAGATGAAAAGTATGGTTTAATTCGAGTATAAAAGTTCCTCCTGGAATTTTTAAGGATCAATTGGCTTGACAAGTAATTTAAAGAATCATTGTGACACCATGAGATGAGTAAGAAATACAGAATAAATGGTTTCCACTCTTTATGTACTGCTTCAACGACAAATTGCAGCGCTGATTTTTGATGTAATCGTCACCAAATGATTTCATTGAGCTGAGTTTTGTTTATGAATTGACAGATTAGACGATGAATCTATGGTGCATCATATAGCATACATTTGTGGTGTCCAATCAACATCGTCAGCTTCAGTCAACAACAGCAAAATAAATTAATGGTTGTTCATAAAATAACCCAGTCACTGTGAAAATGGTTACGATGTTTTTTGTTGATAAGTACATTGATTGGAAAATGAGAAATTCGTTGTTGATGATATAACTTGAATTAATCACCATGAGTCATTAGAGTTTTGCTATCATAAATGCAATTTAATGATAGTGATTGGTACGATGGATGAGAAAATTGTTTTGAAATCGTTGCTCAATGAGATGAAAACGGTTATTACGTTTGAGTTTGAGATTGGGTCATTAGTGAAAAAATTTTACATTGGTATTGGTCTTGGAAGGTCATTTGGTTTAAGCAATTGTGTATCCTTCGTTATATTCAATTTGGTGAAGATACCTGTTTAGAAGGTATGCCAACATTGAATAAAGAACAGCACCAATGATGACGGAGACAGTTTTCTCAGCTATATCTTGCTTATGACGTTCATCTCCAGAGGCAATTATGTAAATACAAAATATGAGAGCAATTATGGACAAAACAACGAATGCTTGCATCGCAACTCGATAAATTTTTAGGCCTAACTCCCATTGCTTTAGGATGACAATCACAAAACACAGATCAGCTAATAAATTGATTACAGTCCAACCAATTTGTTCACCATCTTCATGAGCAATAGAGTATATCAATTGGATAGAGCTGAGAAATAGCATTAAACAGGCGATTATGATCAATATTTTTTTCGTATTACTAGTAATCTCAACCATTGTGACACTTGTTTGTAGCGATACGAAGACGTATTGATGGACGCAAAGATCACACTTGAAGATGGAACTGGAACTTGTATCCGCTGGTAATATTCACAGAGAGTTTAAAAACTGTATTATCGGGAGTGTAAATTGTTGTGGATTGCTCAGAGAGTGAATAACTCTACCTTGTAACTCGTTGATTTATGCCAAAAAAGGTATCTGTTAACAGGAAGAGACATAAAAAGAGAGAGAGAGAAAGACACAATAAGCAAAAGAACAAACAAAAAGTTGATTATAATAATTCATTAACATACCAGCAATCACAAACACACACATTCATTTGCTGATGACGGGTGAGGTTTTTCAAAAGGTGAAATTGAAAATAACAAGTGAAAATAAAAGTTAACCAGAAAACAACTTACCTAATTCATTTATTCTTTGTTGTCTGTGGGGTTGTTTGAGACTGTTGTTCAACAAAGAAAATAGTCAAAGTAGAGAGACTTATATCAGTAAATTGTATTTTTTGAACTTTTTCTCATCAAAAAATTTGTTTACATTTATTTTTTGTCATTTTTTCGTCTCTTTCTCGCTGCTAACTCCCTCTTTTCCTGCTCCTTTTAACTTCTCATCTCTCTTACAGCATTTCTCGATGACTTTAGTCGAGTTTTCACTACCTTTAGTCAAATTTTCATTAGATTTAGTCACTGAACTCGCCCTCTACCGGGTTGACTAAATCTAATGAAAACTCGACTAAAGTCACCGAGAAATGCTGTATCTATAGCTCTCATTGTCGTGCTCTCTCATTTTGTAGATGATGATGAGGAGGTGGAGGTGAAGAGATGGGCATTGAAGGCGGATAATATTCACTAGCTCGAATTGGCTCGGGCATAAAATCAAGGTTAGCCAGAAAGTGATCAACATTTGACTCAAATAGTAAGGCACTGAAAGACTGGGGTGCCGAAGCTGGATCAGGGCAGTCAGCTGACTGATTTACTGGAGATGATGATAGAGTTTTCCGCGTTGAGGGTGGATGTGGATAGCGAATGCCCTTAGTGTTTGAAGTTGATGTAACGGATTGCCTTAAAGTTGATGAGGCTGTTGAAGATGTGTTTCGGCCAATCCGTAAACCATTGAATCGTTTTCACCTGGAACCATTCGATGACCAGTCCTTGGATTCAGTGGACTGTGAATATTACTGTTAGGTTGAGTTAAGGTTTGCTTAATTGAGTCGGAAAATTTGGTTATCTGATTTATCATCATCATGACCAGTCCCAGTTGTTGTCCGACTGTATTCAACTCCACTGTCATCACTTAATGCATTGGGTGTGGTAGTTGCATTATTGTTACCAGAGGAAGATTCACCCTTCTTAATTCCTCCTCCTCCGCCACCCATTCCACGGCTTTCATTAAATTTAACAATTTTTTTAACCTTTTTACATATGTCTTCAACTTTGCTCCTCAACTCATGCTCAACTTTCTCTAAACGCTTGGTAATTTTATTGAATGGCTGTTAATGTCTGGTATGTTGACGAATTGCAAAATAAATCTCAAGCAATCTATTGTTTCTTACCTCTATTTATTAAGCTTTCCAATAGTTCATAAGTCCCGTGTTCCTAAAGGTCACCTTGACCCAGGATTCTCTACTTTTGCGTCTTCTTGTAATCACTTTAATACAATTTTTGATTATGATGATTATGGTTGCGATGATAGTAATCAAGCCAGAAGAAAAACGGAATGAATAAAAAATAAGCTTAAACACCCAACAAGCAAAAAAAGAAAGAGAAGACAAAATAAAAAAATGTTGACTCACATGATAAAAGGAGGGAAAAGCAACAATTATTAATAGAAGAGAGTAAAGGCAAAATATTGACAATGTCACCTATGATCTGGATAACATAGAGATGATATAAGAAAATTGATTACTAATCGTTCAGACTGTATTTTGAACCAGTTAAAATGGCTGACTAGTTTATTGGTGATGATGGAAGAGGTTAAGCTGGAAAATGGTGAGAACCAAGTTTTTAACTCAATTGTTGCCAACTGTACAGTGTACACCATCAATTATTGAAACAACCCAAACAAGATCGGTTCAATGGCCAACTAAAGGAAAGACAGTGAATAAGACAGAGTGTGAAAGTAAGAGAAAGAGACTTTGGTTTTAATTTCAAAGATAAAGGTTGAAACAACAAGAGCGTTTTGTTGCTCATGATGATGATGGCAGCCTTTTCTGGTATATTGTTTGAATCCCTCAACCATTTAAAATGAAGAAAACCGGATTTAGAAGGAAACAAACAAGAAAGAGATTCAGACTTGCATGATAAAGCCAAATTTCAATGGAAACTGTAAGTAACAATAATCACTTTCACCATTCTTTTATTTACTTATATTCAATCCATTCAAACTATTGTATCTTCAACTAAACTTAATATTAATCATTACTGTCATCTTCATTATCGTCATCACCATAATCGTTATACCTTTGAAAAGACCGTAAACAGCAAAGTTGCAATATTTTGCTGTAAATCGCCTTTATACCTTGACTTTTCCTGGTTCACTTGTGATTTAATGATCGATGCATTTAATCATTCAGCAAATCAACCATTAAATTAAACAATTATTCATTCAATAGTTACAATTTGAAAACGGTTATCATTAGATTAATTAAGCTTTCAAAAGATTGTAAATATTTTCATTATATTCACATTGTTTACTTCACTTCAGTCTTTTCAATTGTATCATCAACCTACAAACAAACCTTTTATTGGCTTTTGATGAACTCATTGATTAAACATTATTTCAAATTCAATGATCAATTGAATTTAATTTTTCTTTAATTGCTGACCATTGAAACTGAATTTGCAGATTGTATAACAAAAATTGCTCACAAGAGCTAAAATCATTAGTGAAACATTTTGATCCCAAGCAAATCAAGATTAATAAAAGATTGGTGATCGTGTAAGTGAATCAAGTTTACTGATATTGTTATTCATAAACTGAATCAAATTCATTTATCTGCTTCACATGAAATTAGGTTATTACGGAACCGAAAAAATGGCCAAAAAGACCAGTTAACTTCCTGAATAGATGATAGGAACCATTAATTATGACCAACTATTGATAACATATTAAAATAATTTCAATTGAATTAGTTTTAATATTTAGCAGAGTTGAATGCTTCAAGTTTAACAATCCATCATAAATTTCAACCTCACATTGTCATACAATAACATTTAAATTTTCAGTTGAGTTCACAATTTAGCTTTTAATTTGACTCATAATTTGATATTTAATTTGGCAATGATCAAAGCTGATCATCAAGTACAGTAAAATGATAAACACTGGTTGCTGGATGAACCATTGAATCCAACAGGTTTCGTTCAATTTTCAGTGACTAGTTAAGATGGCGATATTTCCAATTGATTTGAAGCTTAAACAATACGAATTTTGATGATTGCACAAACGATTGGGTTCTTTTCAGGCGACGATAACATAAATCGGATCTTGGTTCGTACTTGTGGAAACCAAGGAGCATTGACAGTCATGTTATAAAGGTACTCTCTTCCTTTGACGATTGGACATTCCACTCCATATTGTCCACAGACTCGGAAGGGTTCATTTTTGATTGGAATCCAGAACCTGAAAAAATGGGCCCAAATGTTCAATCTCAATTCTGGAGAGTCGATCGGAGAAACGTAATTTAAACTGAAATGGACGGGTTTACTCCGATTGATTGTACAAAGCGTTGAATCCTGGCAGCCAGTTATGTTAACGGACAATGGATCATTGGATTTATTGCCTGTAAATCAAATAAATATGGACCATTGATTAATCTGTTCAATTAGATGCAATTTACTTACCGCAAGTCTCATATTTGATTGATTGACCAAAAGCCAAGTTAATTGTGGAACTAAAAAGGAAAACTGGAAATAGGATTTCTATTGAAAACATTGTTTCTTTTGATCAGGTATTTGGTTAGACAATCAAGCAAGAACTGTCTCATCCACTCGATTGTCATTTATTAAATAGCAATCCGTTGACTTGGTAAATGATTAAATGCGCGATTTGAACCTCAATATGTAACTGTGATACAAAACAAATGTTGATTTACCTTGATTTTTGTAGGTTCAATATTAAAATCAACAAAACCCATTTTTAGCTCTCATTTGATTATCAATCAAGTTCAAGCAATCCAAGTTCCAATTGTGACAGTTTACTCAATGATTGACCAGATAGAGCGGCTAAGAGTAAATTGAGTTGAAATATCAATTTAAACAAATCATCATTTTAATCATGATAGTTAATTGTCATAAATATAATATGAAGGACAAAACAAGTTCACAATTTTGTATCACTTTTAAGTTTACATTTGAAATATCAATATTCGCACTCACAATATATTGTTTTTTTTGAATAGAGAGGCAATTAAAATGAATAAAATATTGAAAACTTATATACAGATTACAGATTAATACCAAACAAATTGTCCAAGTCAATTAAATTAGGAGAATTGTAGATTAATTGATTGAATAGAAGGGTTTCAATGAAATTTTTGGATTCAACAATTTTATCAACAATTCAAGTTGAACTCAATGAAGATATCTTTTCATTCAGCTTTTGTATACACTGTTCAACACTTAAATCGGACAACTCTTTCTTAATTTCATCAATGTGATTAACTGCAATTAACTCGGTTCCATTGGTTGGCTTGATAAACTGTGAATTTGGTTTGGAAACAATTTCAGGTTCATCAGCAGTTTCCAAAGGATAGACCTCAGTTGAAAGGTTAATCACTTTATCCTCAACCGGTTCACCCTTTCTCCATATCTTTTTATTATTAAGGCAATTTTTGGCACTTATGCTATCACTTTCCAAATCATTATCGACTCCAAATTCAATCTCATTGGCCTGCTTTTTAGACTTCAATTTTCCCGTCCATTCTACATTGGTTTGTCCACTCGGATTGGATAAACCAGAATGGGTTACCAAACCAGCTAAATTGTTATTCCCATCATCAGTATTTAATTCATCCGAACTCTTGATAATGTTCATATTAATCTTAATGTTTTTGTTAATGTTGTTGTTGTTGTTGTCCTCTTCATCCTCGTCAATATCATCACACAGCTCGGTTGAACTTGAATCATCATGACATTCGCTGCTTAAAATACTGTTGCTACTTTTACTACTGGACGAGCTGGTCGAGACATGATAATCATCATCGTCATCACTATCAACTGAGCTTTCCTTTTTTGGTCCATCAAATCGTTTGATTGGCTTGCTAATGGTTAATCCAGAGCTGGATGTTGAATATCCAATAAAGGCTACTTCGGGTTCGTCCAAGCTGTTGTTGGCTTCAATGGACGACTCATGGCATATGCTTAATGAAGGTTCTGACATTTTACGAGCAATTCGATTCTTTTGCCTTTCTGAGCGCAAATCAGTCCAAAAGAGAGTCTCTCCTGATTCTGTTGCTTTGCTATCGACAGTCAGCTTCTGTAAAAATAGAAATGAAAAAGTGTAAATATTGGTTTAAACCTATTTTCAACATTTTGTTGGACATTACCTTTTCAGGCTTTAACATTGGATCAAGATTGGCCACTGTTTTTGATCGTTCGGTGAGAAATTTTTTATTGCCTGGACAGCGTCCAGATCCATTTGCAGATGCTACACTTCCAATGGTGGGTTGACGAACTGAACAGGGTTTTCTAGGTCGCTTGGCAATTAGAGCAGTTTTACCTTGCAATAAATGGTTCACTGTCATCGATTGTTTCCGGGAAACTGAATTTGTTTGAGCGTTTTGGAATCCCTCTGAAAGATGAGATTAGATAATGTTGAACTGATTTTCCAAAATATTTGGGTTGATCAACAATCATTATTCTTACCAATTAAAATGATATGAGCTTGCCTTTGACGCTCCTTTAGTTTCATGTATTGCTTTTTAAGAAGTGAAATGTCCAGACTCATACGTTGAGGGTCAATATTGGCAGAAGAGAGGAAATTTGTTGAGTTAGTGCCAATTGTCGTTCCAATCATCGATAGACTATTACTGAAACCATCAAGTGTTGAAGGTGATGTTGCTCGACTTCCACTTCGTTCTGTAATTCAAAAATGTAAATTTAGATTCAATACAAAGACAGAAACAATGATTATCTTTATTGCAAGTTAACTTGGAATAGCAAAAGGAATGAAAGATTTCTTTGAATAAATTCTTGAAGAATTAACTTCACTTCACATGACATTTGATATATTCTGTAATAATGTTTCGTCTTCTGAATATTTAATTTATTCTCATTGTAATTCTATAGTCAAGAGACAAATCAACCTGTTCTAACCCTAATGATGTTAGATTAAATTGAATTGCTTGACATTCCCCTTTTGATGCAAGTGTTAATTTACCTCGACTTCGATCTCCACTAAAAGCATTGGACAAACACCAACTTGCCACCATAATTGGATCGGTAGTTGAATCATCTTCTTCCTCATCACTGTAAAACAAATTAACTCCTTTCTTGACCAAAGAGGTTAAAGGCCTTATATTGAAGGTGTATTTTTCCCGAAAATCAGCTAATTGTGGAAACGGGAATGGTGCCATTGTACAAATTGTCTAAAGACGGAGAGGAAATAAATGTTAGAATCAAATTTAAGACTTAAATATTCAAGCTTTTCTTGTAAACAAATTGTTGACAAATTTGTTTAATTTTCACAAATTTTAACCAAATAAGTTGTTTCAGAAATGCAAGTAAATTGAACATTTCAAGCTCACATCTTCATATGAAGTGAAAATATTCAAGAAATGAATTTGTTTGAGCAAAATTAACCCAAAAAATAACTAAAATGTTGATGAGTTTGTAGCTGTTTGAGTTTAAATTGTAAACATTTTGTTTGCTTCAACATTATTAAATAATCATGAAATTACACTCAAACACAATTATTAAAAAGTGTTTCAATTTCAAAGGAAAATGTTACCAAAATTTAATGTGTTTAACATTTCGACATTTATTTCCAGAGGTTCCTTGTTTTTTTGGTAAATAAAAAAGTCACTTTTGATGTTCAGTCAAGAAGACTGTTGAACTAAATTTAGGTCAATACTCGAAGGTACCATGCATTATATATCTATTGAAACCTTATCAGTTATGATAACTCTTTAGAGGAATGAATAAAGTTGTAAGAATGTAAACTTCAATTCTGAGTTTTGTTGTTTCATGTGAACATAAACAAGAAGAGACAAAGTTCCGCTTTTGGGATCAACCAAATTCATTTTATCCAAGTTACAATGACAATATTGACGAGAAAAAGGCAATTCCATGAATTACAGAAGCTCTGAACAGCAAAAGCTAAACACAACAAAAAAATGTAATACAATATTGAATCAATAAAGGCAAACAAATAATATCGAAACCAAATATTAAAATCAATCTGAACACTTGTAAGTCAAATCACTAAAGATTTTAAAATAGCTGAAACTATCAACAGCTTAAAATTGATTTATCCTGAAATACATTTCCTAATGAAAATGCCATTATTTGAAAATTATTAACCATTCAAAGTCAAATGATGTTATAAACGTCAAAAATATTGTTATTATACTGATTAAGACAAATTTATAGCTTGCAACCATAATTTGGTTATAAGCTTGTCTAAAACTGAATATTGCTTCCTTCAAATTTAATTGTCTAACAATTGTAAGACTTCAAGATGAAAAAGGTCACAAATTTCCAACGGTAGAACGAAAACCAGGAAACCCATTTTAACCCGATTTCAACATCTAAGGTCTTGGGTCATTGGAGATGGAAATTTGAGTTTTGCTTCCCTTAATCGACCTGAAACATGGCCATTCTTATGTTAGCTTTAGTTTTGAACAACAAATGAATGGAATCAAAAACATGTTTTCATTGTTCTTTGAATTAATTCCCTGAATCTGTTTGGATTTGAATGAAATACAAAAGGTTATGCTTCCAAGTTTGGCTTTTCAACAATAATATTGTCTTTTATTGATTAAACAAACAGGATTGATTGTAAGGTAACCAGAAAGATTAATAAAATGGGTTAAATGAGTTTTATTAAGTCTTTTCAAAGCTTTTTGGCTTTTCCAAGGCAAACATTAAGAAATAATTTTGTTATATTTTGGGTTAATATGAAAGTAACAAATTGTTGTCATTTGATCGGTAAAAGTTCATCAAATCCCTGAGACTAACGTCATAATCATAATGTTAATAATAATAACTTTGTTAGGTTGGATAAAAATGTTTCAAGGTAAATAGTGAAATTAATGTGAACAGTTGAAATACAGCTTGGCTTTTGGTCAATTTTACCTCATTTCATCAACTCTTTTTCATCTTTAATTGGTCAATTTGGTTGAAGGAAACATTAAACAGATGAACAATTCAATTTGAAACTTACCTTGACAAGTTCATTTGTATCTCTGACTCCAAACTCCATCATTTCTCGTGTTAAAACTCCCATGATGCTGTAAAATTCATCAGCACTTTCAACATTGATGATTCGACTGGAATAAACAAAATGACAATTCAATTAGTTAAATGCAATTTTTCCTTCCCTATTGATTTAACCATGAAAACAAGTTGATTAATTTTTACCGATCACAGCGAAACCTTCAACATTTACATTTGGAATATATTTTTATATTCAATTTATATTTTATCCTATCAACTTTCGTCAATTTAAGATCAAAAATCAGATCAATTTCAAATTCAATTATATTTGCATCCAAACCTGAAATAAAAGATCAACTTTCAAAGAAAAACTCAAATTTGAAAAACCATTCTTTATCATTGGACTGATGGCTAACAAAACGACCAAGTTGAACCTGAGAACCTTAAATGAACAGCATTTCAATGAAAATTGTATTTAAGAACAATCTTCAGAAGTTTAATCACTAATCTGATGAGAAGAGCAAACTCGAATTGGTGAAATTTACTCGAAAATTTGTAAAATGTTCAAAAATAACCAAAAGATAAAAAAATTCCAGCTTTGAATGAACATTGAAAAAGCATTTTTCATTAGTTGAAAGCGTTAAAAACGAGCTTGTTGATTAAATAAAGCGTCATTTATCAAGATCTAACTTTCTGTTTCAATATTGTCTTGAATGCCTTGAGCAGTTTCAAGAATAACTTGAAAGTAACAAAAAGTGTGAAATGTTGCATTGCATGATTGAATCTCTGCAGGGAGTTTGGAATAAACTTGATAATTAAAAAGTACGCTTTCAACTTGAAGGTGGGAAAAATGTTGAACACCAATAATTATTGCATTCAATTTTCAAATTTTCACCCCTTGCTGGGATTGCAATTACATAGGGTTTATCAAAGGGATGTAGACTTATAATCGATTATATTTGCTCGAGTAAACACACAATGAACTATTTTTTTGATGAAAAACTGTTCAAAGATTAATCAGGTTCAGCTACAATAGAAGGGTGAACTTGAAACAAACGCCTACACTAAATACATCAAAGGCAAACCTTGCTCTACAATTCAGGTCAAGGCTGGGAATGATGAAAATTTGAGTGTCAAGATCATTCCAAGTGAAATGAAAGTCAATAATTGATCAAAATATTGCCAAAATTACGGTGGAAATTAAAAAAGACAAATTTCTTATGTTCATAACAATAACAATAAACAGCTTTTGCTGAAAGAGTTACTTGAAATAATTGCTTCTGTATGTAATTGAATTATTCATTGAGTGATATTTTGATGAATCCTAGTAAATGTAATATTTTTGTTTCTCAAGTTAATGGAAGTTAATTGTTAATGATAAGTTCAATTGTGGCCTTTACTTACTCTTGTAAACAATCCCAAATTGCTAAGGCAGTTCTGATAAGAATTTCATTTCCTTCCAAAAATATTAAATCCCAAATTCGGAGGACCAAAGGTTTGGGAAGACAATTTGAAAATAACGTTAGAAACCATTGCATGGTGAAAACGTTGACCAAAGGTGGCTCATAACTGGCTCCAGTGCTTAAATCTTGAGCTTCATTTTGAAGTTTATCCAGATGCTTTGAAAGTTGAGGTAATCGAAGTCGAAGTAGATCACGGAAAGCTGCCATATCGACTGATAAACCTCTCAAGTTGTTGGCAAAATAACTTGTTGGTAGAACACCTTCAATCAGGTAAATCATAACCTATGAAGCAAACAAAATGCAAATTAATAATAATTAGAGTCAAACAATTAGACAATATTTTACATTCAATGTAAATTGATTGCGTTATTAAAGATTTAAACATGCAATTTACTTCTCCAGTCTCAAACATTCAATTAATCCTTTTGTTTGTTTCATTATTGTGTCATTATTACAAAAAAGTGTCAAAAAAGATTATTATTTGTAGCAAAATTTGACACTGGATTAGACAAAAATGAAATTGGTTCAATAATTGGATATAAACTTAAGATATTTCATGAGCTTTCATGAGCATCAATGACAACGAACATATTAAATCCTAAAGTAAAGATACTTCGATAATGAGCATTCAAAGTATGAAAATAATCATTGCTGACATTAACCATTAAAATAACAAGCAGTTTCAACAGAAACTGCAACTTCTCAAGACGAAGCCATCAATTGAATCGATAGAGACAATTTAACATCTGAATGAGTGATTTTACGAAAATAATGAAACAATTATGGAAATGGACTGACTTTGAATCAAAACTGACTTGGATTTTATAGCCAACAATGATTTAGTGTCTTCTGATGTAAAAATTGACTTCACCAATTTCACTAATACAGTTCATTGGTGAAGTCAATTTTGGTGTTTACTGTTAGTGAAATATTTAAATTGTTTACATTGGATGTAGCATAAGTTGCAATTGTTTGTTCAAATTGTCTTTGAATCATTTCTGTAAACAGAATGAAAAACGTTCTGTTAAAAGTGATGTTGATTGAAATAACAAGTGTTGTCAATTTATCACCAGAATTGGTCAATTTTTTGATTTCATCTCATGAGCTTGAAATGAAATAACAATATACTTTTATGGTATTCCTATCGATTGCCTTCTCAATAAGTGTTTACATTGTTGTAAGTTAACCTCACGCAATGTGAATTGTAATGAGAGTGTCAACATTTGTCCCAATGAAACTATCAACTTGATTGTGGTTTTACAATATCAACAAAGGTAATTAAAGTGTACGAATTGAAAGTAAACTTTCCATTGAAAATGATTATTCCAGTAAATTAAAGTTAACCATAATTACAACTAACCAGAGCATAATTAATTAGCAGAGACAAGTTAACAAGTAATGAACCTTGGCCAAACTCAACTGGACTTGAACAAAAGCTTCAAGTGTAAAAATATAAATTCAATTTGTATTTGGTAAGTGAAGTTGAAAAACGAAAGTAAATTTGATTAAAGAATCGGAATCGCCATAAAAACTGGCCATTTCCTCGATAAAAATGCAACAAAGTCTCTAAATAAAAATACATTTTGATATTGGTTGAAGCAACAGAAATGATGAGCAAAAGAGGGTCAACAAGAGGTCCAGTAGATGGTGGACTGATTCAATGGGTAAACCTACGCAACTGTCAGCTTTCCATGGAAGAAAAGTGTTGATCATTATTATCTAAGTTATTATTATTTCTATTATTCTGAGGGTTGTGAGTAAACAATCAGCCAACCATAAAGTTAACATGGTTATTCAACTTAAATTGGGTTAACCTTGGTTATCCATTTTACATGATGATGATGTTGATGAATGATGGTCAAATGGCAATGAAATTTGGAAAGGCAAATTGTACCCAAAATGTTGATCATCTTGTCGATTGTGTTAACCACACAGACACTCAACAGAGTGGACATTATCATTGATTAAATTGTGCTCATTTACACACAGGTCTGGTTGAAGGCAATCAAGTCTGTTGGGAGTTTTCCTGGTAATAACAAGCCTTGTTAACTGTAATGTTTTTATTGTTGTTTTCCCAGTTTCCTAACAAAATGTTGATAAAAATTGAGGTTATGCTGTTGCTGGGAATACATTGAAATAACCAAGTCAATAAGAAATGATAATCATGATGGAAAAGGAAAATAAAATTCAAAATAGTGACATAAAAGTTAACTCATCAAGAAATAATTTCTTATGTAAATTGAAGGAGTGATGATACTTTTACTGTCGCCAGCAACATTTCAATGGATAAATTGTTCAAGTGAAATATTTCAATATTAAAGAGTTGCTTTCAACAGTTGAATTTGTTTAGCATTCAACCTGAAGCTTGAATAATAATGGTCTTTAGGCTTGAAAATAATGTTAAACATTTGTATTACCTTCAAGGAATTATCGACATCCCAGTTCATCACTTCAAGTATTATTGCTGCCAACATGTTGAATCCCTGGCAATAGCCAACTCCTCTGTTCCAACGGGCAAAGGCAAGTAAAACTTGCTTGAGAAGAGCTTGGTTATGTTCAGAGTCTTCACCACTGAATAGACTGCAACCTGTTCGATGAAGATCCTGAAAGGTAAAATGGAATCCAATTTAGTCTGGAAATAACCAAATTTCATTTCAACCATTTCTCTCAACATTTCCCAATGCCATATGTTTAACAATTGTTAAGGAGATAAATTTTTGTTTCATGGAAATGCTGTGATGTTTTATTTCTTGGAAATGAAATATCTTTAATAACTTTGAGTGCTTCTTATCTGATAGCAATTTGAATAAGCCTTTTCAATATCTTCTTGAAATGAAAGAAATACATTTTTTTTCTTGAACAATTCAAATCACTCTCTTCAAGATGTTAACCGTTTTGAATGAACAGAAAAAAATATATCCAAGAGATTCAAGTAAAAGGTTGAAAATGTCCGTTCAAGATGTTTAATGTAATGTTAAAATGTTAAATGTCTATTAGATTCAAAGGATAAAGTGATTTTTATTAATTTTAAGTTATGATTAGACATTCAACTGTCAGCTTTTCAATGCTGAGTTAGAGCTTTCAACTGATCTGAAAATTCATTTTGACAAGTCAAGTTTATTTTGAAAGAAAAATTTTCCCTGAAATAAAATCATTTGCTCAAAAACACCAGATAATAAGAGAAGAAAAATTCCTGAATCGTTCAATTTTGAACATTCTGTAAAGAAGAAAAGTAAACAAGAAATGAAGATTTTCGTAGTTTCTTAGCATTTCCTTCACAGTTTTCAGAGAATCTGGTTTTTGAAATTCATTTTTTTTCTTCCATGAATCACATTCAACTGACAATTATCTGCTAATCAATTGTTAACTTGGAGTTGACTCAATGCTTCCATTGGCTCAAGTATTGAGAAGAAATTTTCATGAAAATGAAAACAGGGAAAGTTTCATGCAACTAGAATATTAATTACCTTGACAATCTGAGTTCCAAGGGAATCATCTTCAGGATTACATTTTTCATTGAAACAAAATTTGGACGTTTTACTCCAATTAATGTTACGACTTTCAATGAATCGCTCAGACAAGGTTAACCATAACTGAAACAGAGAAGGTAAAAGGTTAATGATTTATTAGATTTAATCTTATTGATCAATAATTTGATAAAAGCAACTGTAATGAATAAGGTCAACAGGTGAAAGAGCATTATCTGTAACTTGTAATAATATAAATGGTTAACAAGGTGAAGGTTGTTTCAAATAAGTTTACATGTTAATCTTGAAAGTTCATTATGATAAATGATGATCCAATAAAATCCCCAAAAGCATTCCTATCTAAGCCAACCCAAGTGTTACAAGTCAACATTTTGATTAACGTTAAATGCGGATAATAATGTAAATAGCAATAATCAAGGTAAAGGCGACACTCTGGTAATTACAATATTGACGTTGATAAATCTGGTAAAACTGGTGATAAGCTACAAGTTGAAATTATGTTCATGGAAATGAGAAAACTGAGTTTTCTTTTTCTTCTTCCCACCGTCAATGTAATAACTGATAACATTTGAGTTTTTTGTCCATTTATATTAATGAAGTCATTTCAATAATTGATTGGATACAATTTTATGATTACCTTTTTCCTAAACTCATTTGGTATTCCGCCAGGAAGTCGAGCAACCATTCTCATTGCATCATGCCATTGATTGAAACCAGAATCTCCTGGAATGGGTTCAATTGAGAATCTCATTTTGGTATCAACTCCTGTAAAAAAAACGAGAATCAAATTAATCACTTAAACTAATCATTGGGATTGTCATTTCAACTCCCACTCACAACTGATAATAATGTTCAAGAGCATTTTTAATACACAACTTGATAACTTGCAATTGTTGGTTAAAGGTTATAAAGTGTTAAATTGTAGGTTACAATTGCTTGTTAGTTTATTGTTAGACTGTCAACAATTTTTCTGATAAATTGTCTAATAATTTAGGGGCAATCCGATCAAGACAATTATTTAGATAAAAATTTCAATTAGATTAAAAACTGATAAGAAAGTGAATCTAATTATCACAAAAATTTAATCTCAATAATGTCCACCGGGAAAAATTTTTTAATTGGCGACAGACGCATGTCCGAAATGTGGATAAAATTGGTTGATCGGATCTTTGTAAATTAGTGACGTCACAAATTATTGAAATTTTATCTTATCTTATCTTTACAAACATTTTTATCCTAATTTTCATTCACATTTCTTGTTGATCGGATTGCCCCTTACTCGCAAGGTTTGCATGTTTAATTATGTATAATGGGAACATTTTCAGATCAAGATGTTCAACAGATGATGAATTGCTGTCTTAATTGGAGCACACACATTCAGTAAATTATGGATAAATTGCAACTTTCATCTCAATCAAATGTTAACCTTTTCAAGTTTAATCTGACGCTATTTTATTCATTTCTTGGTTGATAAACCATTCAATTGACTTTTCACTTTTTCAACCATTTTTAATGAAAGCAACGTTTAAAATACAGTTTTCATTAAATTAGGTTAAAGTAATTTTTAAGCTTCAGTATTGAGTTTAATTTTGAACAATAAAATCCCTGGAAATTCATTGAAACATTAAACAAACAGTTAAATGATTAACCATTTAGGCTAAATTTAATTACTGTTTGAGTTGAGTTGCACATTTATGCAGCATTAATTGTTAAATAAATTGACTGTTTATTGTTGTGATTTGCGAGTGAAATAAATGCTGAAATTAATGATCATTTCATTGAAGTTGATGTTCAACTTGAAATTGAAGGCAAATATGAGCTTGAATTTGTTTAATAATGAATGCAAACAAATTGATACTTTTTCACTTTCATATGATATTTTTATTGATATTTATATCAATTTGTGAATATTATTTTGACTTGAAATGTTATCAAATATAAATGGTAATATAATTGTAAATGTCAGCTTGATAAATGTTTCATTGTTGGATTAAGGGTCAACATTTGGTTCAACTTTGACTTTGGAAATAATTTCACCTTTTAAAGGCTTTTCTAATTAGTCTATCGATTTTGCTGAAATTTCACGATTCCAGTTGAAGATTGAACTGATAAAAGGATTGAATAAACGTTAATTAATCTCTCTGGGATTGAAACATTTTTCATCTAATTGAGATTGAACAAAGTTGATTCAACTTGAATCTAATTTTAACCATCTTTACAAAACAAAAAGGATTCATGATTGATACATGATTTGGTGTTATTTGATCATTGAAAGGTCACAGTTGAAAAGAGAGTTTATTTGACGAGTAAATACATTTTTTGTTTCATCCATTTTCACAGGTTGATTGAACTATCGACATGAAAATTTCATCAGATAAAGCGACTATCATGGACAAGTTTCAACGTCAACTTGATTTGAAAATTACAATTAGCAGAGTGGATAAAGCTGGGAAGCTTTAATCATTAATCTGAAGGGATTGAGTATTGAAAATGATTGAAGCAACAACATGATAAAAGTAACAAAATGAGATATTTGGATATTTTGTGAAAATTAATAATCCCAATGATGTTTGTTACAATTGATTACATTTACATATTAATCTTGATTCAGTTTAATTAATTTTTCCATTGGGTAATCGTCGGATTCCTGTTGAGTTATCTCATTCATTGAACAAGATTATTGAACTAGAAAATGGCATTTCAGTTAAACTGCAATTCCTATTTAAAATTGATGATAATCATGTAATCTCAGTGTTTAAAAACATGTTTAAATTGAATTGTTATTTTGTTGTTTTGTCATGAAATCCCATGAAAACAAATTCAATTGCATTTTCTGCTCAATCTATACAATATATAAAGTCAAACTATGAAATTTTTGCGGGAAGATTGTGACCAAACTAAAAGGATTCTAAAGAAAATTTTCACATCGAATGAAAGCCCTGATTGAACTTCAATTACGAAAAATAGTCAGAGCTTTCTCGGAATTCAGGTTACTGAGAAATCAGCGTTTAAACAGGGTAGGGGAAAAAATGCAGAATCCGTATCTTTTACTATTGACTTTGGGGGAAAAACTTTTTTTCATTCAGATTGATGGTTTATTGTTGGGCTAGGAGTTTATGTAAAACTGTCTTTCGAGCAAAGAGTAAGTTAAATATCTGGTGCTCTGTAACTGTGTAACTGTACAACTCTCAAAATCAACGAAAATTCTTTAGTTTTTCTCTTTGACAATGATTTTTCATCAACAGTTCGAGTCTTTAAATGTGGATTGAATTTATTGTATTCAGTGAAAAGAAATTTACGATCAGCCATGATCGGGGGCTCAGCTTGTAATACAGTCACCATTGAGATAATGCACCGCACTGGGAATAGCTTATTTTCACTATTCTTCGGGCAGCGTAATCCATGATTTTCAATCTTCCTTATTAGATGAAATTTAACCTTAAATTTTGCTTTAATCTGATTTTGCGAGTTTTTGGATTAAAATTTCACGAAAGAAAATTGAATTAAGTCAATTGATAATTAAAGAAATCGAATCAAAATTTGACGAAATTCAAAAGTAGATATAACTCCTCCTTAATAGGGGCCATTGAAAAAATGAGTGCATTATCTCGATGGTGCATTATCTCAATGGTGACTGTATTAATAAAACAAACAGGAAAATGAAAGACAATCACAAGTTTCCATTTCAATGTTTGGTTATATTAATGTTCACTCAATTGTCTGTTGTAATTAATTTGATCAACGATAATGAACAATACTAATTACAATGTGAAGCTTTAATCAAATGATTTATCTGGTAAAATCCCAGAGTTTGGGTTCAATAATGCTTTTGGCAAAATATTGCATTAACTCGGTTCTGTGTTAATCAAATTCATCTATTTTTCATCTGTTAATTGATGATAATCAATCAAAATGGAACCATGTTTGAAATGATTATCAGAAAAATAGTTCAATCATTTTAGATGATAAAATGTAAACTCTCGATGATGGTTAAACTGTTCAAGTTGACTTGCAATTTAATTGGGAAAATTAAATTTGAATCAACTCCAAGAGACGATTTAATTATCCAGAAATGGATGAATTCCGTTTCAGTTATTGAATTATGATAAAATCTATCAATTTTATAATGTTATGAAAAGCTGTGTTAAGACAAGATTTGAGTTTTACGTCATTTAAAACACTATTCAAGTGCATCAGCAAAATGAAATATTCAATTGAAAAGATTTCATTGAATAGAAATGATAAATTTTATAATTCCAGGTTAATTTGAATTTCAATTGAGCCTTCATTGGCCATTTCAATTTGAAATTCAACGCCGTAAATCAATTCAGTTGCAAACCATTGTTGGTGAACAATTGAAATGAAAATTTGGGTTAAAAATTGTTTCATAAAAAATGGGAAAAAAAGTCTTTTCTTCTCAACGTTTTTAAACCTTTTTTTGGGTTAAATTTTTCGTCCAATAAGCTCATTTTTGATCACATTAATACCTTTAATTAGTAAATCAGAGTTTCCCAGGTAGATAGATATTCATGGATTAGTCTGGAAGAATCTTGTAAAGATGATTAAGTTGATGCACCAAATTAACCGACATGATAAAGGAAGGAAATGTTAAAGGTTATTCTTATTAATAATTTATCTGAATAATCTGAATAATATAGTGAATGCATGAAAGTTAATAAATTGGAGATAATAGATGAACAACAATCTCAATTGTAAATGCAACAAAGCAAGGTTATCAATCATTTATAATGAATATCAACTTGAATTACTGGTCAAGTCTGGGAGTGAAAATTATTCAATTTTTTGGGTAAAATTTTCAATCATTATTGACATTGTTTCATGTAAATGATAACATGTTCATATTCAGAATAAATGTAAATGTTTGGAGATGATAATAAGATCAGTTTCGTTGATGACAACAACAACATTGGGTTAATTAAGGTAAAAAGTGAAAGCAAGTTTCTTGACAATCAACTGATCAGATGTAAGTTATACAGAAATGCAAATCAATTGTTGGTAAAGCTTTTATTGTAATGTATCTGAAAAATCGATCAAGAAATGAGTCGAGTTAAAGGTTATTACGATTACATCGGAATATATTTAGTTCAAAGGCTCATCAATTTAATGCTGCAATTTGACAAAACTATAACCTTTAAATGTCAAACAGAGGTCAACATTGAAATTTGAAACATAATTCAATGTAAAATATTGTGCAAATATTATTCATATTGCTTTCAATTTAAGTATTCAAATCATTTGGTTAAGATGGTGAAGAAAATTTCTAGATAAGATTTTGGGTCAATTATTGGGTTTAATTCTGGTTTGGTAAAATGTTAAGTTAAGTGCTTTCAACCGGTTAATTGTTAGACAATTGTAGTTCTGAATGTAGATACAATTGGTTTATTCAGTCAACAGGTGAACCTGAATTTCCCACTTCAAATTCTGGTTCTTTTTCACTATCAATTCTGAAATTTATTAAACTAAATTGATCAGCTTTTCCTAGATATTGTTTCAATTTTTACAACATTGAAAGATGAAATGTTAAACTCACAATTTGTCAGTCAAAATTGAATCCAGGCGCAGGTTGAATTTGGCTGCTTTCTTGGGTTCTATTGGTGAATTAATTGCTGTTCAAACTTTAATCTAATTGGTTGGCCATTAAATTAATTGATTCTTCATTGGCTTACTTAATTACTCAATGCACTAATGAGTTTTATGGTAAACAATAGATGGCAGTCAGCTGTTGAATTTTTATATTTGTATTGATTTTTTGGTGTTATTTTTCCTTCCATAAACCTTTAAGATTCAATTGTGTATAAAGTATAATAAAGCAATTAAAAATCAAATGTCGACTGTTTTGGTAATGGTTATTTGGCTCATCAAATGGTTGCTTTAATTATTTGGCTAATGTTCATTTTACAATGTAATTGGAAGGTCAGTAAATGATAATTTAACCATTATATTGTTGGCTTGAGCTAACAATAAATGTCCAATTGAAAGGTTGACTACAATTAAAAGGTTTATTGGGTTAAAATCAATTGATGCCGTCAAATTGATCGATATTAAGCGACTGTAAATGCCAATTTCTGGTATTGTTGCCATTAACATTGTCTTGCTTTAACATATTGTGTTTATTATCAATAATTGTAGCTAAATAATAAAGCAAAATAATCCAATGATACCTTTTAATCTAATAGTAACTTGAGGTGAATCTAAATCAATAAAGTAACAAGGATTGTGAAAAGGAGGAAAATAGTGGAAGTAAAATAGCCAGGTAACTTGAAGAAACCAGTAAGTACCAGAAAACCCATTTTAACAGTGAATCTCTCACAAGTTGAGACATTTTTACTCAACAATTTAACTTGAATGAACATTTTCCAGGTTCGAATCTCATTGAATGGTTAACTTATTTTTCCAATTGTATATCAGTTCAAATTATTTCAAGACAGTCAAGCATATAATCTGTAATCTTAATAGCAAACAAATGCAAGTATTTTGAAGCAAAAATTTAAATAACAATGTTTTGCTGAAAAAAATCGTTAGATTTTCTTTATTTAGATCAGTCTCAGAATGGATCAGATTTTCTTAGCAATGCGAGTCATTTGCACCAAGAAAATGGATTCACGAAAAGATACTTTGTTTCTGATTGAGGAGTGAAAACCATTCCAAGAAGCGAAATTTGAAAAAATTGAAAATCTATCGATTCTAACATTTCATTATAAGGTTATCTTAAGCTATACAAATGAATCGGAAGAGAATGAATTTTGCCTGAAAAGAAATGCATGAATCTTGAGGAAAATTTTTGCGGCAGAAAAGGTTACAAGTGTTGAATTGGCCAGAATTATTCTGATGGAATGCAGATTGGCTTAGTTAGTTATGAATCATGTGTATGAAGATGTTATTTGAAAAGTAGATGAAAAAATGTAACTTAAGGTTATACTTTGAATAAATTGACAAAGTTCTGGATGGAATGTTGATGGAATGAGAAACAAGTTTTAAGTTTAAAGTTGAACAAACAAAGTGATAATGAAATTTGGAATTACAATTCTGATCACAATTTTAGTTGAAAAATGTTATTAACACTGTTATATAATTGTAATTTTGATTAAACTTTAGATTTCCCTTTAACATTTCACCTTCAATTTTGGAATTAAATTTCAGTGTTGAAAATGTTATCGATATTTTATATCATGATACTTATAATGAAGTGCACAAAATGGCTCAGCTTTTCAATGTTTTTTCACTTTGAAATTTTTTCTAACTCAACTTTTCCATTTATCAAGTTGTGAAAAATTCAACAATCATCTGTAATGATCATCATTTGAACGTCAATTTTTGTCAACTCTTTGATAACAGTAAATGCAACACTTTCAATCTGTCAAAACTTTCTGAATTGGCAGAAGGCAGAAAAGAGTTAAAACACATTTTCATGTTAATAATTGTCTCCAAGCTATTCTAGTTTCATGTTAAAATGTGAATCACATTTATCATTATCTATTATTAATACTGAAACTTTGAAAGGTGAACACAAATGAAAATTGAATGAGCAAATAGAGTAATTCATTGACTTTGATTACAGATCAAATTCAGTATCCATTTGAAATGGGTTAAAATCTGTAAGTTATTTCAGATTTAATAACAATTTATAAATTTACAAAAAAGGTTAACATTTTGATCGTTTTTGAAAATAAAAGTTCATTTACTTTTGAAAATGTTCATCTGAAAAATTTATCATTCTTATACTGAACAGTTTCGGGTGAAAATCGAGAAAGATCAATTCATTGAATACATCGACATGAGACGTGAAAGTTATTTTGAAATTGAAGAAATTCCAAGCAACGAATTAGCAACGATGGACTGACATTTCCATGAAGAATCGACTGAACTTGTGTGGAAATTAACTCCATTGTTCTTGTACAGAATAAACATTCAATGGCAAACTATTCATGATACGATTCTTAACAAAGAACCAATTATCAACCAGAATTTGATGAATAGGCAAATACTAATTGGAATATTCTTGAGGATGAAAATTTTCCGTGTAAAAGTTGAACCATAATTAGAATCGAGTTAAGAATTGATAACATTTCGTGCAATTTAATGGATCTTATAATTTGGTAAATTGTCTGTCTTTTATTGAAAAGCTGTTGAGTTTTCCGATATTTGAAACTGTTAAGATTGTCTTTAAGTAATCAATAATTGCTTGTTGACAGTTGAGGATTGAAGTGTAAAAGCTTGAGTCACTTTGAACGATTTTTGATATTGATAATGAATTTAAAACTGGTTCAGCTTGGAGATTGTTTCAAATAGAATTGATTTTCAGCTATTTCCTCTTTATCATTTATCTATTTTTAAATAAAAGGATCGACATCATTGAAATCCATCAACGAATGAATGATATTTGCTGATGGATTTTGTTTCAATTTTTTTTATATTTTGGATAATTTGCTTTTCCAACTTCAACCCATTTCATGATCAAATATTTAAATATTCAAGAATGCAACAAAATCAAGATGAAATACATGTAAATAATGATTATTTAATAAACATGTAAAGAAACCTGTGAAGCACATTCAAAGGGCCAACATTTGAAAAAAGCATCCAAGTTAAACAATTTGCTAATCATCAAATTTTACACATATTATCATCATTAACCTTGATGATGTAAAGAGGAAGTAAGACAGTAGCGTCTCATCATCATCATCTTCATCATTATCTCTTCTAATGAATATCACACTTGAATAACTGGGGAAACAGATGAGGATTGCTCTTTGTGCTTTTCAATAACACTTCATCAGGTAAAGAAGGTAAATGGATTCTGGAAACATCAATCAAATGAATTCTCTGGTGACAGATATGATTGGACGATCTTTTCCTTCTTCACCAGAAAACACTCATTTAACAGCGATAAAGATGCAATGATCAACTGGAAATGATAAAGATGAACCATTTCATCATTTCAAGTATTGAACAAAATCATCACCTTTATCCTTCCAATCCCTTATTAAGGCTATTTGAAGGGAAAACCCAATCAATTAAATCATAAATCAATAATAATCAGCTAACCATTGGACTGGTTGCAATGGAAAGGTTGAACAAAATGAAAAATTTGACAATAACAACTGTAATATGTGCGATGAAAAAGCGTGGGTAAAATATTGACTAACTCAGCTTCAGACTAATGTAAATATGAAACTTATTTGTTTCAACATTTTTATCATTTATATATTTATCATATTCAAAAATTACATTAAAGTATTCAATATTGAGTGACCAGGAAAAGATAACATGTAAAATGATTTTTCCTGCATTGAGTTTGGTTAATGGATCATATGAATCGGAATCACTGGCATCAAAATTTATGGTTATTTTTGTAGCTAATTTCAATGCGATTAATGAGTGAAATCAATTGGTGATACAAAAGAGTTGATCATTGATGGGTTACAAAATGATAACATTGTATTAGCATTATATTATTGAAACTGGTTAGCAAAGATAACAAAGCAAAATTGAATATTTTCACTCAGAATCTGTCTAGCAATGATAAGAACGTGATTTCATTTAAATTTGGTAAGATTAATGAAAGAAAATGCTTTAAATTTTATATTGAACATGGGAAACTTTTAATTTCATGAGAAGTCAAAAGATGAAAATATTTCAAAAAGATGAAAGATTTTTTATAATCCTGGTTTTTCAATTTCACCAAAGCACATTGAGATTATTCAATAATGCATCTTTTTATCAAATGTAATATTTCAGAGTCTCAGCTATTGAGCTAAAATTCAACCTAAGCTCAGATTAACCCAATCAACCAGACTGATCCTTGTCCTAACTTAACCGTCCTTTGAAAGCGTCTATTCACACGACTGGTTTGTTAAGTAAATGGTTGAAAATAATCGCTCCTGAAATAATCAAATCATTCTGATTTGGTTAATCTAATAGAAAATGAAAATGAAATAAATTTATACAGAAAGTAGGAAACATTTCAAACTAACTTCACAAAATTCATTCTCCTTGAGCAAAGCTATTTCAGTATTTTTTCTGGTCTTTTTACCATTCTTTTCTTAATCTGTAATCTGGTTAATTTTCATGGATGTAGTTTGACTTTCATTTTTCATTCTAATTCTGGTTCCTTTTAATGGTAACAAATGTTTATGGGAAACTTTCATGGTTTGTTATCCATTGTATTGATTGTTATTACTAAGGATTGGCCATTGTTCATAAACATTGTATTTCATCAAATTTATTATTAACCAGGGAAAAAATAGGTTCAAAGTTGACCTTTATCTGGTTATTCAGGGTTATCCAACAAGTAAAATAAATATCAATATAACAAGTAAACCAGGTTTACCAGAAATGATAAGTTGCTGTCAGTTTCATCAAAACTTTTCACTCCCAATCATTTGTAAGTCACAATCATTATAACTTGCCTACAGAAATGATATTTTTCTGGTTAACAATAAATGTTGGTGATTAGTAAGATGTTAATCATTGTGCTCTGATGAACAATTGATCAATGGCTGTTAACAAGACTTGAAAACTTAATTAATCAGTTGTGATCATATTTAGTCTTGTTACAATTTGTAAGTTAATTAAGGGAAGCAGCAAAAAATTAATTAAACTTACCACTGGAGGATAATTTTCTTCCAAGATTTAATATTGCTGAGTTAATCATTTGGCTCATGATTAGAAGGGTTTAAATGGTGATTAGTTGTTATCTTTGTTAAATATGATTAATGGGAAGAAGAAGACTGGATTAACAGGGAATTTTGTATTCAACTAATTGAATTAAATTGTGTTGAAACAATGGTAAATGGTTTTAATTTTGAGATGGAAATTAACTATTCAATTGAATGGTAACAATCAACTACCATCATCTTTACAGACAGATGATGATTTTCAGAGTGGTTGATGATAAAGATGGGAAACAATTAATGGAAACATGAGTTATTGATGTTGATTACAGTTACCAGGGTAAATTAATATTTGTCAATGCTGGTTAATAATGTGTTTGGTTTAATCACAAACCAGAAATAGGGAAACACAGAATCATCATTGAATGGTTTTTATGGATGAAGATGATGATGATTATTGTTGTGATGTTAAGTGTTCATTTCAAGAGGTGGATTACAAAGGTAAGTGTATTTATCAATATGGTTAACACATTAGTATAAAAGGATTGAGAGTTGTATTTTTATAGACTTGCAATACTAATCAAAAGAGTCAAGTGTGTGTTAATTTTACTGTTTTACTGGATATTCAAGTCCATCGAATGTGTGAATGCAACAGAAACATGGGAAATCAGATGTTATATGAAATGAAAATATGTTTATATAAATATTACAACGATATTTATGGACACAGAGCAAAAAATGAGGCAAAAGGAGAGATTCAGAAATGAGAATAGCAATTGTGGAGAAATTATTTCAACATTTGCCAGTTTTCAAGTTGACTCATGGATTTTGTATGTTTCCACTGAATCATCTGATCGACAATTGAAACTCTGAACAGTGCAACCTGTGCTTTTACGCACCGGAAGATTTATCTTCCTTTTGCATTTAGTTTTCACTTATTCTCACAAAATATTTATCATCGTAATTCATTTTATATATTGTTGTAGAGTGAGTGAGGGAAAGAGTCAGGGAAAGATTCAGAGAGAGAGGAAATAAAAGTAAAGACAAAATCGATCGACCTTCATCTGAACTGAACGCAAACTCAAGTCTTTACTAGGAAATGGGAAAAATAATGAATTTGTTGTTCTGTCTTGTTGCTCCCTCTGTTGTCTGGTTTTTAAACTTTTAACCCAACTTGGGTAACCGAAGTTGGGTTAATTGGTTTGAAAACCAGAAATCGGTTACTATTTTTATAATTGTTTTACATTTAATTTTAATCTTGTGGTATTAATTATTTTATTATTGAGAGATTTATTGTTATTTTCTGTGTTACTCTGAATTTGTGACAAGGATTAATTGGTATTAACTTGGTAACTCTTGTTGTGTTGCTCTTGATGTTAACTTGATTAGCATAGTCTTTTATTTCGTTAGAGGATCCCTAATGTGAATTATTTTTTTTTTCATTTGAATACTTGATTGTATTGACCTCTGTTTAATGCTGTTGACATTTCAGTTGATTTAACTCGCTAATCTAATTATCATTGGTTTTATATCATTATGTAAATGTAGTGATACATCTGCATTAAGTCTGAATAAACTTGATGCTTTTTTTGTTTCCAATGATTTGAATAGATTGGTGGCTAAAGAAATTGGTTTCCTTTCTGATGAGATGGATTAACTTTAACACAGAGTTTATCAAGGAAATGGCTTGATATGAGGTTGATGTTTGAATTGGGATTAATTGGTATTATGCATGGATTTGCTTACGTCGTTTAGGAGATATGGCTTGGAGAGCAGCGGTTATTATGTCGAAAAATTGTCCTCTTTGAAAATGGAGTCGATCTTTTTTCTTTAAATGATGCAGTAAAATTGTATTCATCCTTTTAATATCACATTCCAGTGTACTGAGTAATAGCTGAAGTTCACAAATATCTGATGAGATGAAAAAAATGGGTAAGAAAGCAAGCTTGGCATCAAGGGAATAATAAATTTTACAATCGACGGTCAAGATGGTCTTCAGTAAACTAAAAATAGACTCAATTTGACAACATCAATTGGCTTGTAATTAGTTTGCAATGTTGGATAAAATATTGTTCAAGTGTCAATTAATGAGGCTAATTTTCTCAATTGCTCATCAAAAACAGCCAATTCTAACACTGACACATCTAGTTCAGATAAATGTTTACAAAGGCAGCAACAAATGCAAACAGCTTTTTCTATTTGAACCAACTGGCGTGTAATTAATTTACCTTTGGCAAGTAAATTTGCTTTTCGTACGTGAGGTATTCGGTAGGTAAAGTCAGGAGGTGAAAGGCTACTTGTATCTGATCCTCGACTACAACGTCTTCGATAATCAGTTTTCCTTAAAGTAAAATGGATATCATTCAACAATTGGTCAACCAAGGATCCGGAGCGAGTTTGTTTATGATAAGGTAACTTGAGACTCTCATTGCATACTCCTATTGAATTGGATCGGAAAAGGGTTGTTGATTGTCCATCAAACGATTTATAATCATCATCAGCAATGTCATCATCATCATTATCTGTTAAATATGGCGATTGGTTTAAAGTTTCATCACTTGAGTAAAAAAGCTTTGGTGATCCTGGTGGAGTCCGATATTCACTTGCAGTATCTTCACAATACAATGTATCATTGTCATCATCATCATCATCACCGTAATCATCATCAAAACAGTTGTTGACATCTTCAAAAATCAGTGGGTCACCGTTGACATTGTAATTCCCATTATTATCATCTTTCGTCTTTAACAGATCATCTTGCGATACACTTTCATTGTCCAATAAAATGTCTTCCCACTCTAAGACGCCATTGGATGGTTCACCTAGTGATGTCATCGAACAGACTGGTTGGAAACAGAAAATAAAAATGTCAGACGATGAGTAAAGGCTTAACCAAAAGGATCAAAGTTGACTGTTTTTGATTACAGTTGTTGTTGACACTGTTAATTAATTAGAGACACCAGAATCACCAACATTATTTCAGCCTGGATCACTGTGAGCAATGTTTTACTTAATTTGTGACTACGGAATTGTTGATAATTGTTTATAAACACATTTATAAAAAAGTAAGTTCAAACGTTTTTTTCTCTCTCTGTTTGTTTGGTTGCAGTCTAAAATTGTATCACTGGTTATGAGTTTAATTAGTGAAGGAAAAGATGGAAAGAAAAACATGGAAAACAATATCGTTATCATTATCATACAGGTGAAAGTCTTCTGTATTTATTTCTCTTTTCATCCTGTGTGCTTTTCATCCATTCTGTGTCTTCCTTTTACTCTTTAATCAGCCTTCGTTTTCACCACCATTATTGTCTTTCGTATCATTGTTATTCAATTAGAGTTACCTTTCCTCCACTCATTATCATTTACAATTTACAACCCTGATTGAACCAATTTTATTGCTCTTTTACTTTTCTTAGACTCAATTTTTTCTCATTTCAACGAGGATTACAAAAACCGGGATCAATAAGGACCTTTTACGAATATCATTTCGGGTTGGAGACGTAATTGTAAGCAAAGAAATTCAAATGGAAACAATTGATATGCTGAATGATTCATTTAATTACATTTATTGGTAAATGTGATACTAACAACCTAGTCGGTCAATCGTTTAATACATCATAACATGATTATTTGATGGAAACAGGGAAAGTAAAACAAATAATGTTTTCGCCTGTAGGAGTTTTCAAATTGTACTTGACTCGAGTTCGGATCGATGGATAATCGGCCAAAATAGGTGTGCTGAATTTGTAAGTGTATTTTTGACCTTTCTTCAATGGACATTCAATGTTTACTCCACAAATTTTGTCAGGAGCCTTACCCCAGGGTTGCCATACACCAAACAAACGAGCAGAAACCGCAATAGTTAAATCATCTGTATCAACGGGAGATTCGAAGTCAGCCTCAAATGTAACATCTTTTCCCTTGTAAAGTGTACAATCGTCAGCTTCACATCCTACTACATCGACCTTTGTTGGACCATGCAAATCATCGGCTGCCAATAAAAAACATGATTAGTTATGTTGAATGGTAACAATTTAAATATTTTACTTACAGCAAACATCGAAATTGACTTCTCCAGCAAACGAAGTGTTTATTAAAGCTAACAAAAGAAATAAGTAAATCATTGTTGCAATATTATTGTTGATTGTTGAAACAAAATGTAAACCAATTGTGATTCAATGTTCCCGGATTACAATTACTTTATACCTAATGGAACAAAGGATCTCTGATATGCCATTTTTAATTCGTTATCATTATCAATTCAATTGTTTAGTTCTTTTATCGAGATTAATCACGCAAAAATCCCCAGAAATTTCATTTATCACCTTGTTAAGTATCCGAGATATTTAGCATTGTGATTCTCTCCGATCAACTGATCAATGTATGGCAAATTTTTAATCAACAATGTTCTCTAAAAGAGATTTTCAAGTTTATCGTTAATTTTCAGCTCTTCTATTATTTTCACGCTCACAATTTATTTGCAACCAGTAAAATTTGATAAGCGTCAGCGTCAGTACACGAGCATCGAGAAAATTCATTTGAATTATTAATCACTACAATGTCATTATTTGTTAGAGCTTTGAGTTCAATGAAAAATAGATAACTCGCTTTTACATATTTCAATAGAAATTGCTAAAGTTAGATTTTCTAGAATTTGATTATAAAAATATCATGATTAACAAGGTACATTAATCCTCAGAAATAAATATGAAAAAAAATTCTGGTTAAGTGATCTTTTCATTTGACAAACAAATTTTTGACACTCGCTTCGCTCAGACCAAACAGTTCTGTTTAAGTTTTACAGGCACAGAAACAAATCTAAATATCCATTTTTGAATTTCTTGAGTCTAGCAAATTAAAAAAAGGCAATCACTTTTATAGTTAATTCATAATAAAAATAATTTACTTACACTCCAATCTTTATCTTATGTTATACAACTTATGTAACTCACAATTTGTGAGTGTTTATGGGATTCAATCTCTTGTACATTTAGCATTTGAACATTGTTCATTGAGAGTACTGATCACGACTCTAAAATTTCAGTAAAGATAAAAGTTTATTAACTGCTTGAAATTGTAACATGTTCAATATTCATATTTCATCGATAATTCAAATACTAAAGATAAGAGATAAGAATTGTTTATTTACGAGTTTTTTATTTTGAATTTGGCGCTTCAAGCGCATGATGAATACCAGCTGTTTTTAAATTCAAAATCTTGCTTGTTTGTGTTTAGCATTTGAAGTCTTTCCTTAAAACGTGTTTCCAGTTTTTATTTATTTTAATAATTCCAATAAATTTTTACTAAAGTGAATTCATACTAATTTAAATATGAAAAGAGATTTTGAAGAAGAAGAAGTAGAGGAACAATCTTCAGGAGAAAATAATCACCAAATCATTCGCCCTAAATTTTTCAAAACAGCCAAAGACCAATCCAAAAGGTTGATCGTTGTATTGGAAAATGCAAATTTAGAAGTTGTGAAAATTGGTAATAAATTTGAGTTGTTGAATTGTGATGACCACATTTCTCAGATTCGGAAATATAAAAAAGATCCCGCTTTCTGTCGACCAGATATCACTCATCAGGTAAGTGGCCATTTTCTCATTGTTTATTTTATAGCTTTTAACTATTTCTTTCCTATTTATCCACAGTGTTTATTAATGTTGTTTGACAGTCCTCTGAATAGAGCTGGACTCCTTCAAGTTTACATTCACACCTTACAAAATGTCCTTATTGAAATAAATCCAGCAACACGATTCCCTCGTACATTCAAAAGATTTGCTAATCTTATGGGTAAGTTTTTCTACTTTTGTTTAGATAGTTTTCAAATTCTTAATTTTACGTTTTCATTTTTTTCAGTACAACTCCTACATAAACTAAGTATAAGGGCTGCCGGAGGATCTGACCGACTCTTGAAGGTATGTAAAACTAAGTTTTCAACCGAACTCAACTAAATGCGGCCGTTTTTTTGTTTTTCACAGGTTATCAAGAATCCAGTACAATCGCACTTACCAATCGGATGCAAAAAAATAGGCACTTCATTCTCGTGTAAAAAACTAGTTCATTGTAAAGAACTAGTTCCAACAGACGAGTCTCCATTAGTAGTTGTGATTGGTGCCATGGCTCATGGACAGGTTGAAGCTGACTATGTTGACGAAACCGTTTCAATAAGCCAATATCCGTTGTCAGGAGCACTCGCATGTACAAAAATAGTATCCGCGTTTGAAGAAGCATGGGAAATTCATTAAATCAATTTGCATTAAATAAACAATTTGATAATTTATCTTTTGTGATCTTGAATAGTAACGAAATTTAACTCAATAAATTTATTTGTTAACTCCTTTTTCCAAACAATGAAAGTTTGGAAAACCCACAAAAAAAGTCGTCGCCGTCCCTGAATCTTTCTTTTTTTCTGTCCAACAAGGTAACTATTTCACTTATGACCACCATGGTCGCTTCCGCAAAAACGTTTGTTTGGGAGCTTGTCCCATCAAAATCAGCACGTCATGAGAGGAGTTCCCTTGTGAGTGAAAACATGATCTAAACATAAGTTATTAATCTTTGTTTTTTAAGTTAAACCGCATTTCTTGATTTGCTAATTTGTAATATCTAAGGAAACGTTTGACCAATAATATTAACAATGAGTTTCTTCTAGTGATCGTCTTCAATAATATAAAATCAACTCAATAAATGACATTGATCAGTGTTCTTGAAGTAATTAGCCAAGTGACTTCTCTTCATTGTCTCATTGTTTTAATCTCAGCTACGTTCTCTATAAACTTAGCCCTTCTTCACTTTGCTTTGTATCATCATAAGTATTTTTATTCATCATTAATTTATTTGTTTTATAATGGAAGTGAGTATAACGCCCAATATGGACAATTATTTCCTTCACCCAACACTTTAAACTTAACCCCTTGGAATTAACATGTATATTATCATCCTTTATTTATCCCTGTGAATTACAATTAATTGTCTTGATTGAACTTTTCTCAGAAGACTCCAATCAATGTTCTTCAAAACATTTGTGCCAGGCATAACTGGACCATTGAATATAATATGATCTCCGAGGAAGGCAGACCCCATGGGCCAACTTTTACTTACCGTGTTTTTATTGAAGGTATGTGATTATATATTAATAATTTCTCGCCCCTTCAATTATCATTTATTTTCATTATCATTATGCATGTTAGAAACTCAATTATCGGCCATAGCTGCTGGATCCAGTAAAAAGAAGGCAAAGCAAGCTGCAGCTTTTCAAGCAATAAAGATTATCGCTGAACAAGATGAAGAAGCAGCTAAAGAGCTTCCCGCGTTGGAAGAAATTGTCCCTCGGTTCGTAACACGAATAAATCGAATCATATATCATATATTAATATATTTCTATTTTCTAATTTATTTTACAGTGAACCAGAAGCTGTTCCAGTTGAAACTAAAGATAACCCTATTGGCAAATTACAAGAAATCTGTATGAAAAATAAATGGACACCTCCAAAATATATAGATGATGAGGAAGATGGTCCAGCACATGCCAAGATTTTTGTCATTACCTGTAAACTAGAGAATTTAGATATTCAGTCGGAAGGAAGAGACAAGACGAAGAAGGGTGGTAAAAAGATTGCAGCACAAGAAATGCTAAAGCTTCTGGCGCTTAAAGGACTATGTGATGCCCAAGATGATTCGGTAAAAGCCATAAAGGAAAAAGTCGAGTCAATACCAACTATTGAAAATTTGCATCCAGTCGAAGAATAGTTATTTTTTAGATTCAAAATCTATTTTTTATTCATGGATATTTTTCCGTTCAACCTAATGTTTTTTATGATTTACAATTCTATGCTGATTGGATAAATCTAACTTTTACGTTTCGTATCTAGTTTAAAATACATTTAGCTTTAAATTTAATTTGGTTTGATTCAAATTTTTCGTGTTGCCTTGACTGGACTTTATCTTAATGTCAAACTATTATTTAATTATTGACATTCTGCTATTAACAGTTTACTAATATTGATCTTTTTCTTTACCGAACAGTTTAAAAGTGATTCTGTACCGATTAAAACAGACATTTCGGAAGTTGATAAAATTCCTAAATTTTTCAAAAAAGTCAATGAATCAATGCATCGTAAACTGGACGATGTAATAGCAATAATTGACGATGAAGCCGAGACTAACGATTATATCGCATCTCTTGATGAAGCTTGCGCGAAAATGGGATTAAATACCAAATTCTTGGATATTAACAAAGATAAAGATGGTTCATATCATGTTACGGTTTTCTTGAAAAAAATTGGAGATTCAGCCAAAGATGTTCCCGTTTTAACTGGATGGGGCACGAACAAAGACTTGTCATTAGCTAAACAAAAAGCAGCTGCTAATGCCCTTAAATTATTAGATAAAGTACGTTATATTTAAATCCTGTGTATTAATTTGTAAACCTTTTAATTAAAATATTTGAAACAAAGAATTTATTCCTTTCATAATTTTATACCATATTGCACGAAAAAGCCTTACAATATTAGTAATACTATTAAGGGTCATGCGGATGACCATCGATAATATTCAATAAATAAAATTTATCTGTGATAAATAAAATTTGCGTCGATGTGCTTTCCATATAATCAAAAACTATTCATTAACATTTAACTTTTTCACAACCAATAAATGTTTTCCAACAAATTACTGTTCTTAACAGTTAATTCTGTCTATTTGAAAATAATTAAGAAAAGATTGAAATTAGAGTCCAAGTCTCTAAACTAACATAACGTTATTATCATATATTATCAAAAAAATAGATATCTCAAGCCAAAAAAGAAAACAATGGAAATCCTAAAGTCCTTTCAAACATTGATTGCGAACACCCTTAATCCAATAATGCGCCTGGTCTGCTAGGCCATCAGTTTCTGAAAAAAAGAGATTTGATAATATTTTTTCAATTAATTCAAGTCCAAAATGTATCACATTTCAAAATTTGCCTTACCGACTTTTTGTTCTTTCAACAGTTTTTGTAAATGATGAGTTATAGTGAAAGCGGCAACAGGGTGTAGCTCTTTGGGTTTATCCTGAATAATATAAATAAAATAATTTGCTGTGAAATACTCAATTCCTGGTAAAGTACTAAAATATCATACCTTGAAAATAATGGAAACAATTTCACTAATTGTGGTACCTTGCGAGTCACTAGATCTAATGCATTCCATGATCTGCCTTTCTCGATTCATCCGTCGCCCAATCAAATCATTGATTTTCTCTTTAGGATTGTACACTTCAGGGCCATGGCCTGGGTATATTTTAACTGGGTTGAAAGATGCGATTATTTCCAGGGATTTCAAATAGTCACTGAGGTCTTCGAAGATCTAAAGTTTCAATGAAAATGAAGACGCAATTTTATGTTGAAATAAATTCTATGCTTTAGAAACAGACTTATTTCATGCCTTAAAATACAAATTTATAACTCGTGAAGTTCATGACAACTTACAACACTTCCTTCACCAAGAACACAATCACCAGCAAAAACTGACTTTTCTTCGTCCAGTAGTAGAGCAGCATGATCATCGGTATGTCCAGGAGTGAATAATACTCTAAGCAAAAGATAAAGAATCATTAAAGTATTGTTATTTACAACATGAAACTATAATGTACCTTAAGGTTGTCTTATCATCGACCTCAATGCTTTGTTCATCTCGTAAATACTCATATGAAATTTGATCATTTATAACATCTTTTTTATCATTTTTGAACTTGAAAACTTTACAGCCTGTCGAGTACAAGAAAAAAAAACAGTTAAAGACTGAACATCTTACAACAAACTTAGGGGTAAAAATAAAAAAGGATGTTGTATAACTTACCTGGGTGGATATTTGGTAAATCCAAAACGCTTAACAAACCGCCAACATGATCTGGATGCCAATGTGTTATAATAATATTGGATAGCTTAATTTGACTGCTGGAAAGAACATCTTTCAGAGTATTGATATATTCTTGGTTGTTCTTTTCACCAGTATCAATAAGCACTCTATTATCACCGGTACCGACCAAATAAGTATTTGTACCTTGAAGGGTAAACGGACCAGGATTACATCCCAAAACACGGATAACTCTCTCAGATAATTTGGTCACTTTAGGTATAATAGCTGACATTATCGTTGACAATATTATTAGCTTTGATAATTTTTGATGCTCATCAACTCTAATGAAGACAGGAGATTTCTTCTAATGAGTTAAATTAGTTTGAATCGAGTGCTTGTGGACTTGAAGACACTTTAACACAGCTTTAGTCATCAAGACAATCTATAATCGGACGATTGTTTTGATAACATTAAACGTGAAAATAGCAGCCATGTTACGTTAAACCATCAAAATAGTCGTCATAGATAATATCAGTTTGCACTTTTCCAATCAAAAAATGTTATTTTAACCATCCAAGTCACTTCAATTAATCCGATGAAATATCACAAAATAATGGGTGTAAATGGAGAACGATCGAGTTGAAAAATCGATTAACTGTCATGCAGTTTAATAAGAAACAACTTAAGATTACAGAAGACTCTGAGCAAATCATGACGGAATTTTCAACTAGTCAGCTGATTCAGCTCGCTGTTTGCAGGTTACACAACATAATTTCACTAAAAGAGGGAAATTCAAAGAGTAATAAAAGTGCGAAAGCTTTATTTTCCTAACGATGAAACTGGACTTAATGCCATAACTTCAGATCTAATTTTAAGAAACCACTTTCTTTTATTAAATTGAAATACATGGTAATGAATTATCTGTCCTTTCTGAGTCAGTAAAAGTGAAGCATTTCAAAGACTTGGAAGCTCGCTCCAAAGGTTAAAAGCTATGCAATTGTTCCTTCAAACTCAAATTGTATTTCTAGTGATACTGAATTAGTTAATTTTTTTGATTTTTTTCATTAAAGCAGTTAACGTTTCAAGCGGATATGATAACGAGAAGCTTGGGTTTCATCCTCTCAGGCTTTGGTTTCAGAAAATCGCAATTAAGATTTCGGTAATTCTGATTGAGAAGCATACATTATTTGAAAGCATCTTATTGAGAGTGAATAATCTGAGTCTAGCATTTAGCATTTTTATTGAACCATAAAACTATTGATGATACGATCATTTCATCTTGACTTGAATTAATTAATTTGAATGGTAACAATAATGTTACTGAATGGTAAGAATATCAATTGCTATTTGAACTGCCGTTGTATTGTCTTTCCTTTATGGCTGGTTATGAGGCTTGAGCTTTGCTCGAACAATTACATTTGGAATGAATCAACAATTAAATCAGAATTACATTAAACCTTTAATTGTAATATACGATTGTAATCTGTAATAATAAAATAATTTTTTTCTTATTACCTGGTGATCTTATTTTTTAGCAGTAAATCTTCCAATTGTAATGATTACTATTATGTCTTTAACCTTTTCTCATTTTCAAATTTTAACTTTTATTAATTAGTTAAGTTTAACGAGAGTTAATTGTTTAGGATGATTTTGTTATTATTCATAAACTGTTCACAATTGAAATGGGAAATGTTACAATCACTGCTGCACTTTGAGAATGGGTTTCAATGGTTTGTATACAATTTTCATTTCAATCTTTTCATGAGAAAAATAATCGCTTTCTTAACTTGACATGTAATTAAAGTTAATCTGTGAAAGTGTTGCTATTTCACTCCACGAAATTCAAAATTTATTAAATCTGAATGTTTACAGGTAACATTATCACATCAGTTAACAATGATTTGTTCAGCGCAATCAATCATCAGTTCATTTAACTTTGAACATTTCATTGGTTCAATTGAAGAGTCACTCACCAGTCCGTTAAAGTCCAGACTCAAATCAACATTTATTATAGAGGATGGCTTGACAGATGACAATCAATTTCAGATAAATGTTTGATTAAGATTGAGCCAGCTGATGTGCTTAGTTTGTTATTCAAAGAAATGAAAAGATGGATAACTTGAAATTGGATGAAGCATTAATGAATATTGTAAATAAGGGTAAAACTAAAATAGGAATCAAATTAAGTTCAGTTGGATTAACATGGGAACAGTAAGACTAAGATTTAAATTAATTTGAATCATGGGAAACTAAAAAAGTTGGGTGAAAATAATTAAGAGGCAACCACAATTCAATTAGAGTTGAAAACAAAATTCAATTAGGGGTCACATTATAAGAGAAAAATGTAAACAAGTTGACTGTTGGAGTAACGTTTTTTTGTGGTGTATTGAGACAGAAACAAAGTTGATTTAATAAATTGATTTGTCCATTGAAAGTTAAGTAGTGGCGAAATAAATTGATTTGTTAATTCCTTGCTCCAAGCAATGAAAGTTTAAAAAAACCACAAAAAAGTCTTCAACGCGTCTGTCTCCTTTTTTCTCTCTTTCTTTGTCTGTGTCTATGTAAGTAAACAGATGTTCTCTGTTATTGTTCTCTGTTGATTATTTTTTTAAGTTAAACCGAATTTCTTGATTTGCTAAATTTGTGATATCTAAGAAAACATTTGACCAATAATATTAACAGTGAGTTTCTTCTAGTGATCCTCTTCAATAATATAAAATCAACTCAATAATGGACATTGATCAGTGTACTTGAAGTAATTAGCCAAGTGACTTCTCTTCCTTTTCTCGTTGTTTTTATCGCAGTTACCTTTCACTCTTCTACACTCTACTTTGTATCATCATAAGTATTTTTATTCATCTTTAATTTATTTGTTTTATAATGGAAGTGAGTATAACACCCAGTATATGGACAATTATTTCCTTCGCCCAATGAAGCTTAACACATTGGAATTATTATCTACATTATTATCCTCGATTATCTCTGTGAATTACAATTTAATTGTCTTTATTCAACTTTTTCAGCTCGCTAAGACTCCAATCAATGTTCTTAAAAACATTTGTGCCAAGAATAACTGGACCGTTGATTATAATATGATCTCCGAGGAAGGCAGAGTCCATGAACCAACTTTTACTTTCCGTGTTTTTATTGAAGGTTAGTATTTTTTATTCATAATTTCTCGCCCCTATAATTTAATTATAAATGTTATGTATTTTCATTATGCATGTTAGAAACTCAACTATCGGCTATCGCTGCTGGATTCAGTAAAAAGAAGGCAAAGCAAGCTGCAGCTTTCCAAGCATTGAAGATTCTCGCTGAACAGGATGAAGAAGCAGCTCAAGAGCTTGCCGGATTGGAAGAAGCCGTCCCTTGGTTCGTAATACGAATAAATCATATCATCTCTTATATTAATGAATTATTCTTTTCTAATTTATTTTACAGTGAAAAAGAAGCTGATACAGCTGTAGACAAATCTAACCCTGTTGGCAAATTACAAGAAATTTGTATGAAAAAGAAATGGGCACCTCCACTATATCTGACAGATGAAGAAGATGGTCCACCACATGCCAAGATTTTCACAATTACCTGTAAATTAGAGAATTTAGACCTTGATTCGCAAGGAAGAGACAAGTCAAAGAAGGGCGGTAAAAAGATTGCAGCACAAGAAATGCTAAGGCTTCTGGAGCTTAAAGGACTATATGATGCCCAAGATGATTCGGTAAAAGCCATAAAGGAAAAAGTCGAGTCATTACCAACTATTGAAAATTTGCATCCAGTCGAAGAATAGTTACTTTTTTAGATTCAAAATCTATTTTTTATACATGGATATTCCTCCCTTTAATCTAATGTTTTCTATGATTTACAATTCTATTATAATTAGATAAATCTAACTTTTACGTTCACTAGAGATTGTGTAAAAAGTGTTTTTGCAATATCTAGTTTAAAATACATTTCTAGCTTTAAATTTAATTACGGTTTGATTCAAATTTTTCGTGTTGATTTGACTTGACTTTATCTTAATGCTAAACTACTATTTATCAGTTTATTAATATCGATCTTTTTTTCATAAACAGTTGAAAAATAGTTCTGTATCTGTGAAAAAAGATAGTTCGGAAGTTGACAAAATAGTGGAATTTTTCGGTAATGTCAATGATCCAATGCAACGTAAACTGGACGATGTAATAGCAATAATTGACTATGATGTCGAGACTAACGATTATATAGCATCTCTTGATAAAGCTTGCTCGCTAGTTGGATTAAAGACCAATTTCGTGGACATTAAAAATGATAAAGATGGTTCATATCATGTTATGGTTTTCTTGAAAAAAATTGGAGATTCTGCCAAAGATGTTCCCGTTTTAACTGGATGGGGCTCGAACAAAGACTTGACATTAGCTAAACGAAAAGCAGCTTCTAATGCGCTTACTTTACTAGATAAAGTACGCTATATTTAAGAGACTATTTAAATCCTATGTGGTTTAATCTTTAAACCTTTTAATTAATATAAGGAATTCGTTCCTTTCATAATTTTATATTATATTGTACGACAAAAACTTGTAATTCTCAAGTATCAAGTATCATTTACATGACCATCGATAATATTCAATGAATAAAAAATTACTCGTGAAGAATAAAATTTGTATCGATTTGCTTTCCATGGTAAAAACTATTCAATTAAAATTTTCGCGACCAATAAATGTAAATAGTTGCATTATTATGAGAACAGTAAGACTAAGATTCTAATTTATTTGGAATCATGGAAAGTTACAAAATTTGAGTTCAAATAATTAAGAAGCAACCACAATTCAATTTGAGTTGAAAACAAAACTCACAATTAGGGGTCACATAATAAGAGAGAAATGTTTATGTAAAACAAGTTGACTGTTAAAGTAACGATTTTTTTGCCGCGCATTGAATGCTGACTTTTTCAGCATTATATAATAGTTGTTTACAAAAGTAATAATCTTTTGACTGTTTTTCAGGTTCAACTCACAATAGACGCATAAATGAACAATTGAGATGAGTGAAGAAATAAATGGAAAAAAGGTAAGTCAACAAATAATTTGTTAAACAAAAACCAAATCATCATCTGTTGAGGTTGATGAAGAAACGACTGACCTTAATTTTCTCAGCTTATCTTGTGTTTCTGCCCTTGCTTTCCCCAATTACCGTTAACTTTGATTTAATTTTTTTGTTTCTCCATCCTTGATTATGTTAATTCAGGTTCATTTGTGTTTGGAGTTTAAAAAAGAAAATTTATCTCACAAAAATAGCCCTTTTATGCCTTTACCACCAACATTGATGAAAATTACCCTATGACAAAGCTGCGGTTCACACCTAATGACAACTGTTTGACAAATTTCAATTTGGGCAACGATTTTTTTCCAGTTATTTCATCTTTGAATGGGATTCTTTTTTTTGTTGTGAACAACAATTTCGACTCTACTTTCTTTGGTTTCAATTGTGTCTCTTAAAAGGTAATCAAGGGGGTTAAAATTAAAGATTCAAAAAGTCAAGTATTATCAGGAGGAAGGAAAATGCTGACAAATGTTTTACTTTGATGAGAAATCTCTTTTGCTTTAAATATCTTGATTAACCCAGGAACTTGTTGATTGTTTGAATAGCGATGGAAAACGAAGTGAACCTGATGTACCTGACTTTAATTGTCCACCATGCACATTACTCATGAAAGGTAATAACTTAGCTGCTCTTTTCCTACTAATCTTCTGTCACCATTCTCAGGACACTAATTACTTCAAACTTATTCAGTTCTTTGCCATTTAAATGACAAATTTAGGTTATTCTCATAGATGGAATTTAGATGCTGTTTAATGATTACCATGCCCCGGGTCACAAAGAAATGAAGGATAGATTATCTCAAATTTATATTGATGGTAATGAGAGGAGGAGGAGGAGGAGAAGACGGAAAATGAACATACAATGGAAACATTGAGTGCGGAAGAGCTTTGCATGAGTCAAACTACTTTCATCCAACTACTCATCTATTTGGATCAATGGATGATGACTATTCTGTGATTACTCGGTTAAATGATATCATTGATTTCATTTGTACAGAAAAGGAGAAGAGTAAATTGATAGCAACAGTTTTGGATAATAATGGACTATCATCAGGTTTATAATGGTAATTATAATGGCATATGTATATACAGCGACAAAAATATACATTATTAATTTATCTTTGCTATTACAAAGCTTATTACTAAAAAATATACAATTATTTTAGGTTCATGGTTGATTGATGGTTCTTACACGTTGAATACTAAATGCTTACCAATGGTATGTGATTAAATGATATTTTGAATACTCCTTTTATTGGCCAAACACATTCTTGTTGATGGTCCAGAATTTGGTCTCAAAATTTGTAAGGATCAAGGAATTGTTCGTCCGTATGAATAGATTCTGGTCGAGAGGGTTGATGTAGTTGATAATAGACCATTTGAATTGTATGGTGAACGAGCTGCTGAACTATTGTTGTTTGAACAACTGTTAAGATTTGGCGATACCTCGTATGATTGTTCAATTATCCAAGAAACAATACGATCACGACGTTTGATTCCATCAACATCAGCCTTTGGTTTGTCTGTTAAACCCAAAATGGTGGATGCATTGTGGTTGTAATAAAAGATGAGAGCTCTAACCGTTAACCAGAAATTGATCAACGAAAGCAAACAGGATAAACTTGAGATTATCAATATAATACAGTTAATCATAACCAAAGGTCGACGGAGATCAGGTGGACGCCATTTTTCACTGGTCGATATAATCTCTTTACGATCACCTATTTCAACAACAAGATCTTTCGTTTCACAAAGTAAAAGTCCATTGGCTGCAACAATAGTTACAAAAGAAATGGCCGCAGTGGTGAAAATAGCGGTGAAAAAGTTTATCTTGAGCAATATAAGAGAGAGATCATTTCGACCTGAGGTAATGCCCAAAAGACCACTCACAATGACTATTAAACCAATCCAAATGGCCGAATAAAGGTTAACTGGAGAAGATTCAAGAGGATAAATGAGTACACCAAAAATGGTTATGGTAACACCACATATTGATTGTCCTGTTCCAATGGCTACCACAGACCTTCCTGGATAAAATTGACAAAGGCTATTCTCCTTGACTAACAGCTGTTTAATCCGAGGAACCGTTGGCACTTCACTCATCATATTTTATACCTTGTAATCCAGAAACTATGATTCCAATACAATCAACTGGTCACGAAACATTGGTTTGGTTCATTTTACATGTGGTAACACAGTGAAACCCCAAATTGATGAAGACGATTCACTTGCTTTTCTTATAACAACATTGAGTTATCAACTGAAACTGAAAAATTAACCAACAAATGATGTCAATGGTTATGCTGAAACGTTTGGTGAAGTTGCTGTTGATTAAGATAGAGTTTGATCCAATGAAAACAACACAAAATAAATGAATGTGTTCTTCAACTGAAGTTAATTGGAATGAAAATTCATAATGTGTCAATAGGATGTTTTGTTCTTCTTTTTCCAAGCAATTGTTTCTCTTGATTACCTGTTTGTTTGTTTGTGCACATCAACAATTATATTAATACAATTAGGCCACCGTAAGGAGAATGGTAAAAGAGATGCATCCAAGAAACGGTGAGCCGGTGAAATGAAGAGTTTTTGCGCTTCTCCTCCATACACATCTTCATCATCATCATCATGATCAAGTTTTATTCAAACCTGATTCTTTTATTATCATCATCTCTCCCGCTCTCATCCTCATCGCAGTCACTCGTTAACCCGTTTGGGCCCTTGACCTCCTCCCGCGCTTATACTCCATGGCCACCTTCAATCCTTCCCCACCCTATTGTCTTTCACCCTCATCGATACTTTCATGTATTATTATCACTTCACCTTTTCTTATATTAATATTACCTTTTTTTCCTGAGCCACCTTTCAGACCAATTCCAATCTATCTTTTAATAATTTATTTCTCTTTTGACTCTCTTTCTTTTTCTCTAGCCAAAGTGGACACTGTTTGGTTTACCGTTATCCAGGTCATTATTTACTTGGCTTTAAGCCTATTAGCTTCTGCTTATGCATTGCTGGGTCATCTTCATCTTTCACGTTTTAATCTTTTCAATCAAAAAATGTATACATACACGTTTGCGCTTATCTGACACCAGCAAATACAAATGATATATTGTCAAGATAATTTAAATCTGTTGTTAATGTAAGTAGACATGTTCATAATCACAAATAATCAGATTACCTTGTTATTGGTATTTTTTGTTTTGGACAGTCAATAATTTTCATTTCTTCTCATTTTCAGTTCTTGTTTACTTTTTTGTTTACTATCTGTTTACCCGGATGGATTCTGATTATCATTAAGACTTTCTCTTCTCATGGTTGAGATGAGTTTTTACCCACCAATGTACATGACCATGAAGACAATCTTTAAGGAATACCATTTTTGATGAGAATCATGATAAAGCTTTCCAAATATTTGCTTGACAATTAATCAACCTGTTATAATAATGCAAGAGCAACGTTTCAAAAAGTGAATTAAAACATGTTGATTGAAGGAGGACAAAATGATTTTCACTGGAAATTTAAAACCTGAAATGTATCGTCCAAATTACAATCACTGCTGGTCTCAATGATTAATCCATCTTATTAAAACGCTAATAATAACTGTGAATACAAATGTCAAATCAAAATTTACCCGAGAAAACAATTGAATGGTTATTTAGTGGATAATTAGATAAAACCTGATACAATTAACTTGAAGCTCACCTTAATTTACTACAAAAGATGTCTTAATATTCGTCAAATTTAACGTTTTTGCTTTGATTTTTCATCTTTTTCAGAATTGATTGGAAAATATAAATCAATTGAGAGGAAAAGTTAATGGTAATCATTCAGGAAATGGGCTATTAATTTTTGATGGAAGACAATCAGACAATTATTGAACTCTTGGTGGTTTCAGTTAATTCAATCCTATCATCCACTTATATTTATAACTGAATCAAGATTTTAAATGCAAAAAAAATCAAGTCAAAAAGTAAACTCACAAATTATTGTTGTCCTACTTGTTAATCGTGGAAACAATTTTCAACACCAATTCGTAGCTCTTTTTACAACTTGTAATCAGTTTTATGCCAATTGTTGGTCAAAAATTAGATCAAGTGAGGAATCACATTTTATGATGATAAATGCGAAATAAAACTCTAATAATAATAATGATAATAATGGTTGAAGAAGAGACCATTTTAACTTGATTTTTGGGAAAACAGGTCTTCATGTTAATCATCATTCTCAGAGTCTCTCTCGATCACTGCTCTGAGTCCATCATCATTTCACGCTATTCAACTGATTAAAGTGAATCGTAGTCAGGTCATTATCAAGTCATTATTAACCCTGAAAAAAATACAACAAAAAAGATGGCAGAGAAAAGGTAAAAATTGTAAATTGCATTTAACTCAATCAACCTTGTCTATTAAAGGAAACAAACTTCAATTGTGATAATACAGATGAATGTTTTAATGAAACCATATTATACTCACTAATATTGTTTGTATTTGTAATTGATCTGATGATTAGTTTGGTGATTGTACAATGACCGCATAAACGGACAATGAGCACTTTCGTATCAAGCTCTTATTTAATGCGCAATAAACAGTTTTCAAGTCTTCCATTATCACATGTGTATCTTTTTAACATATGTTTTTTGTTTTAGGCGCTTTTATTTTAAACACTGGCTATCAATTTCAATTCAATCAATTTAATCGGTTCATGGTCTAGACTGGATTATTCATCATGTAAACGTGAGTATTCATCTTTATCCGTTTTCATTAGTTATTAATTGATACTTACCATGTTACTAATCTAATGTTCATGTCTTATTTTGTGCGTCTCTTTTCAATGACATTTTTCATGTTACAATTTTCTTGGTTGCCATCATCATCTTCAACTATTAACCTTGGTTAAATGGAGTTTTCCTGTTTTTCTTGAATAATTGATACTCATTTTATGGTATTATGACACCTTGGCTTGATTAAATTGATGCGATGATTACATCTAAAGGCAATTTACTAATTACCCTTTAAACTGAAGCCTTTCGCTTGCTCGGCTTTTCTGGTTAACATTAGCCTTTACCCTGGGGTTGATTGTCAATTAGGCTTTTATTAATTTACTTGTTCACATTTTGGTTATTCTTGATACGTATGTTGATGCTGATGAAGATAATTGTAATGGTGGTATTAAATGATGATCCAGGTAATGATAATGATTACTACTAATGATCACGCCAACGGAAGACGTTTGTCATCTTAAATGGTAAGAACTTGCCTCCAAGATGATCTTGAGATTAAATTACTTACAGTTTACTTTTGTTTAATGTTAATGAAAGCTTAACTGTACGGAAATGATTTAAAGACTACAACAGCTTCTTCTTCATCCAATCCAAGTGGTCTTCCGTGATTAACATGGTAATGGTGGATTATTTATGTTCAAAATAAATACACCAGAATGCAAACAATAAGATATATGTGAAAACAAGACAAGCTGATGGTATCTTTATTTTTATGGACAAGATTTATAATCTTGTTTATTAATCTTGTTAATAACTGATTGATTTTCACCAAAAATATATACAACAGGACAAAATGTAAGTCAGTAAACTGTGATTTTATCTTAATAATCTTGATTTAACGTTAAATCTGATGAATAAATCTGTGATTTATTTTTAACTAAATACAAGACAAAATCATGCCAAAACATAAACAATAATAATTGTCTTCTTCATTTGTTTCGTTTTTTTTCACCTGATTTCATTTTCAGATAACAAACTGAATGGAAAGAAGATGATAATGAAGATAAGTGGTGGTGATGAAGCTGCCGATAAACAGTATGAATAAATGACCGTATTCATGGTTAGTCGTGATTTGTAGACGCCAATTGATGAGGATATGGATCAATTGAAATAGGAACTTACGTTGCTTCAACATTGCAATAAGCTGGTGATGATAATGGGGAACAAGAGGATAAAGCATTTGAGACTGAAAAAGGCAGAAGAAAAGAATCAACTTTACCATGAATTACCATAAAAATTGTAACAACTAACCGAGGAACAGATTTAGACTAAACTGTGAAAAGCCAGTAAAGGATTGTTACCTGTCTGTTAATTTTACCAACTATTGAACAAAATCCCAACTCAATCATCAAGCCATGATGTCTACAATGTGAAATCAGAAGTGGTTATTATATTTTGGTTCGTGGCAGATGAAGATGAGCTTTTGGTACACTTTGGCTTCATTTTAGGTTGATTAAAATTTCAAAGTTAATTTGGCTGTTGTATGAGGAGCCAGAAAAGGGTGTCAAAGCCAGTCTGTTGGCATTTGATCTGATCTTTGCGCGCAAAAGCATCCAATTTGGAGGTACCTTAATTATACATTTTAAATCAAGATAACTCTTCTGATTATTTGCAATCAAAAATGAATAGTAATGGGACGATGACGGATCTTCACTATTGACCAAAGCTCTAAAGGCTAACTTCATTCAATGTTTCTCCAGACAACAATAATTTTGTTCATTTTTTGCTGTTAAATGGCGATTTTTGTTGCTGCCTTGTATTCATGTCATGTAATGGAATGGCTAAATCATGATAACAATTGTTGCTGTGTTTAAATTTTTTAATAATACGGTAAAGAGATGCATGATGGTAATGAAACGAGTAAATGGCAGTTTATGGAAAGGCAAAAGAATGCTAAGCGTGATGATTGCGGACGGTTAATAATTGGCAATTGCTGGGATTTGCAATTTCATCGATTACATTTTAATTCAATTAATGTGGCGAGTTGAAACTATGATTCAAATGGCTACTGATTATTAGATTGTCTGATCAATCAAGGCAACAATCAACCTGTTCTCAGTCTTGCACCTTGCCCAAGAAAATGCATAAAATGAAATCAAAGGTCAATCATCTTTGAACAATCTAATTGCTGACAATTGATTCACACTCTCAAAGACGGGAACCAAAAATTATCAACAATGTTGAGTTGATTAAATATTACCTTTAAATATATTTCTTCTTGGATGCTTTTATTAATTTTCAATTGAACCTGATTCAAAGGAAGAAGTGTTAAAAATAATTTCAATAGCTATTAATCAAGTTTAAATGATTAGATTCAATTGATGAATAAGTTATCGACAAGTAATTGGCGTTACACCAAAATGATTTATTCATTATAAATTGAATCTGATTAGCTGCCTGTTTTAATTAGAATCATCAACTTGTTATCCTTCAATTACAAATAGTTCAATTCAATGATAATTTCAAATTTCATGATAATCTGTTGATTGATATTGAAAGACAAGTGATTGATAACCATCAATATATTGATATAAAAATGTAAAAATGTATGTAATTCGTTATATTAATGATTTTTTTCTGGTAATGCTATCGTAAGATGATGAACATGAATTGTTGAGCGATTATCAACTATCCCAGATCAATGTAGTTTATTGTACGATAATCTATCAATTTTAACAATTGTAGTTTCCATTTAATTGGTTAGTATTTTGTTTCAATTGTAATTGGGTAAGGTGAATGGTACTTTGTTGTTGATATAAATTGTGACCAAGCTGGAGATGGACAGTCTTTGAAAAGTTCATTTCAAGATGACCTACAAAATGATTAATCATCTAATTTGCTTTCTTTGTTTGATACAAGATTTAATAAGGTTGTTACTCTAACAAGAGCAAGCTTGTTAAAATCAAATCAAATGATATTCCTGAGCAGTATCCATTTACCTATTTGGGTTTAACTTTGTAAACATTAGTTTAAGCAAAAGGTAACCAAAGATTTCAATTATTAAATATTCAAGTTTAATTGTTGTTGAACAATGAATAGAAAGCAAAATATAATCAAATTCATTTTAATCGTTTCATTCAATTTTGGCTTGATACTGTTTTGAAGGATATCAATATGGCAAGATGAAGCAAAAGTGGATCCAAGGGTCGACAAGCAAATTATTTGTTTTTGTTCAAAAATCTTAAATCACTTGATTGATGCTAAATTAAGGATTTGAGTTATTGATTCGAAGCTGATTGATGATATCTTCTAATTAATCAACTTGGCACAGCTTTGATGGTTTGATTGTTGAAGAAACACTAAAATGGGTTTGGTTTTTGTGAATTTACTTTTCCATATAATATGGATTGGAAATTTGTAACAATTGATTCTACCCTAATTGGCAACCTTAACATTCAGATAAATCACGTTAACCAAGTGTAATTTAATGCTGAAATAATGATTGAAATGTATTCAGACGGTTAAGATGGAGAAGATTTGTTTAAATGAAAGTCCAATTTGGATTAGGGTTTGGAAGAAGCGTCAATATGGATATTTTGATACTCTTTAAATGAAAATAATAATGGTGTAGATTATAATTATGAGGATGATGATGCATGAAGAATGAAAATTTGCACGATCAAACGTTAAGCTTTATTATCATGATGATAATTGATCCGTTTCACTGATACCATCTACGGAAGCCTGGCTTATTCCTTACTTATATGTGAATACATTTTGAATTTCAATGAACCACACTTACTGATAAATGTTCATTTCGTTACCCTATTGAACCAATAAAATAGTTAATGTCCACCTTTCCCTGACCTCTTTTTAAAATCAACATTAACCATCTTTCACTAGCCCCTTTTCAATCAACAATTTTAACAGTCTCACTGTTTAAATCAAAGTTTACTATCATGACTTGTTGATTTTCAATTTTCCCTCCATTTTTATTTTGCCTCTCTTTGGGGTTGAAGATGTTCAAACCAGTTTTTGGCTTGGCTTGAATAAATTGTTTACATTTTCTTGTGCATTTTATATTTACATTTGTATTATTTTTTACAACTAATTGGTTATTTTAATTGCTTATTAATAGTCATCGCGATTTACTGATTGGAAAGAGAGAAAGACACAGCTCGTTGGTGATTATTATTTGTTTTTTTGAAGTGCATCTGATATTTTCCTGTTTCCATGTAAACAATAGATTGTCTTGATGATCAATGTCCAATTTAATTGTACTTTATATATTCTATAACTGTTATCGAGGCTGACGGTTAATGCCAACAGGTTGCTGTACTCATTGTGATTTTTGGTTTTTCTTCTACTAGTGATTATGTCTGCGATTATACCTAAAGTGACCAAATTATCCGAGAGAGTTATCCGTGTTTTGGGATGTAATCCTGGTCCGTTTACTCTACAAGGTACAAATACTTATTTGGTTGGTACAGGTGATAATAGAGTGCTTATTGATACTGGCGAAAATAACAACAAAGAATATATTAGCACTTTGAAAGATGTGCTGCAAAAAAATCAAATTAAGCTATCCAATATCATCATAACACATTGGCATGATGATCATATTGGTGGTCTATTGAGTGTTTTAGGTTTGTCAAATGTGCCTTCAAGTAAGTTAATGCAATTAGTCTTTTTCATTGAACGTTAACTCATTAATTACTATGAAATTAATTCTCTTGTTTCTTTTTTTTTGTAGACTGCAAAGTTCTGAAATTCAAAAATGATGCAAATGATATTACTGATAGTCGATTAACCTATGAATACCTGAAAGATCAACAAACGATTGAAGTTGATGATAAGACAACTTTAAGGTAATCCAAAAATGAAAAATGCACCAGAATTATTTGGCATAATTTACTCTGTGCACATTTTTTGATCAGAGTATTCCATACCCCTGGTCACACCGAAGATCACGCTGTTTTACTTTTGAATGAAGATAAAACGTTATTCAGTGGCGATTGTATTCTCGGAGAAGGAAGTGCTGTGAGTTACAAATCAGAAATCAAATTCAGACACTTAAAATTAAATCTAATTGTGGTCTTTAATTAGGTTTTCGAAGACTTGCGGGATTATCTAAACTCACTTCAGATTATATCTTCTCTTAAACCTGACATAATCTTCCCTGGCCATGGTCCTGCTGTTGCAAAGCCCGAAGAAAAAATCTTGGAATATATAAATCACCGTCTAGCTCGTGAAAAGCAAATCCTTGACTGCATTGGCTCAGCCAAAAGCGAATCAGGCATAACGATCCAAGAAATCGTATCCATCATTTACAAGGTTAACTTGGAAATCATGTCATTCACAGATCAAAATTCTCATGAAATTAATTTTCAATTACAGGATACTCCAAAACATCTACATATGGCCGCTGCTTCTAACGTCTCACATCATTTGTATAAGTTATTGAAAGATGAGAAAATAGGTAAGGAATTGGATCTTTATTTACCACAGAATCAGTTTAATTTATATTTTTTCTTTTCGTTTCAGAGTCGCCTGATGAACTGCATTACTCGCTGAAAAAGCCAAGCATTTGACTGAATAAAAAAGACCTTCACCAATATTGTTGATGCTTATTATTTTTCTATTGTACATCTTCCCTTGTGATATGATGAGAAAAGAGAGATACATTGTATTGAGTTAGGTGCAAGAAAATTCAGTCATAAACTATCTTGTGTTATTAAAGATCTTCTAGAATATAATTTTTCTAATTAGAGGATTAGACTAATCATAAACTCTTAAGCTTCTGTTTATTTTAATGCTCTAAGTCGTTTCAGTTATTAACAATCCTAACATGAGTCACATGTAACAAAGAAAACTTTCTATTTCGTGTCATTCAAACAAATTTTTACAAAACCAACGTTATCAGATATGTTTGAGCTCGTGAGAGAGATGAGAGATGATCAAGAATAGCATAAAACTTCTTTTCGTAAATATTTATTGGCCCTGAAAAGGGCCGTTTTTTGTTTTGAATAATGAAGGGAAGGGTCAGGAAGAATGAAATATTTATTTGGATGAAGTGTATTTGGTAACTGCCTTAGTTCCTTCAGACACAGCGTGCTTAGCCAATTCACCAGGAAGAAGAAGTCGGACAGCAGTTTGAATCTCCCTAGAAGTGATGGTAGATCGCTTGTTGTAGTGGGCCAATCTTGAGGCTTCAGCGGCAATTCGCTCAAAAATGTCATTCACAAAGGAGTTCATGATAGACATGGCTTTAGATGAGATACCAGTATCAGGATGAACTTGCTTCAACACTTTGTAGATGTAGATGGAGAAGGATTCCTTTCGTCGCTTCTTCTTCTTTTTCTTGTCGGTAGCTCGTACAGCTTTTTGGGCCTTACCGGCTTTCTTAACAGCTTTACCTGATGGTTGAGGAGGCATAATTAATCAAAAGAGTGTTAAATGAAGATCACGAAATAAGATTATATCAACGTAAGACAACAATATTGATGAATGTCAAGCAAAATCACTATCTTTAGTTTATATACTTTGACAAAGGGTGTTTAAGGATAAGCGGACGTAAACTAGGACTCATCTCCACTCTCATTGGCTGTTGCTGTGACTACGGCTCTTCTCATTGGTTAGTGACTTAAGCACCCTGGTTGTGGAGTATATAAACTAACTTGAGCTTGAAAAATCATTCATTTCAGCTGTTTAAGTAATCTTTCAATAATCTTATTTACACTTTTTTGATTTTTTTTGACTTTGTTTTCATCTTCAATTCAATAAATTAATCATGTCTGGACGTGGTAAAGGAGGTAAAGTTAAGTCAAAGGCCAAGTCACGATCATCCCGTGCAGGTCTTCAATTCCCTGTTGGTAGAATCCATCGTCTCTTGAGAAAGGGAAACTATGCTGAACGAGTTGGTGCTGGTGCTCCAGTTTACTTGGCTGCCGTTCTTGAGTATTTGGCTGCTGAAGTTTTAGAATTGGCTGGTAATGCTGCCAGAGATAACAAGAAAACTCGTATCATCCCCCGTCATCTTCAACTCGCCATCAGAAACGACGAGGAATTGAATAAGCTTCTTGCTGGAGTAACCATTGCTCAAGGTGGTGTTTTACCTAACATTCAAGCTGTTCTTTTACCCAAAAAGAGTGACAAGAAAGCTTAATTCTGTGTACAACCTCTATCATCATCATGACCCTTCCCTTCATTATTTAAACCAAAAACGGCCCTTTTCAGGGCCAATAAATATTTACGAAAAGAAGTTTTATGCTATTCTCAATCATCTCTATTCCTATTTAAATCTAAAGCCTTCTAGTGATTACGTTTCAAATCTGTTTTTGTAATTTAAACATTTCTACATTAAAAGATACATTTTCAAGTTTCAATGTCGAATGGAGTTCGCATCCATTTTCTCCGTCTCCATCATGATATTCTGTAAATGTTGGTCGCATAATATTACTTTAAGATAAAAATACATGAATAATATATAGGTAGCTGTGAAAACTTTGGTATAAACTTGTCAACAACTTTCAATTCAGAATCTCGGATAATTTCTATAACCAAGTGGTGAATGGTAGTGCTCATATATACTTGGCAACCTTTTTGACGCTCGTCTTTGCAGTTCTCGGATAACTCGAGTTTTAGTTTTCTCTGCTTTTGGTTGGAAACGAATCCAGCTTGAGACTTTGTTCCAAGATGAGCGATAAATTAGTGGGACATGATCAGCAATCGAAAAGCCAAACCAAGTACCCGAAATACTTCCAATTGTGATGATGATATCAACCCACACCAGCCTAGGTTCCAACACGACCTTAATATTTGGCTCTTTAATCGATCCAAAAGCAATTACTGAGCAATTACCTGTTGTTATGATAGGATTTCTTGGTCTAATTATGAAAGTTTTTCGGTAACAGTCTGGTCTTTCCGTTAACTTGAAACAAGTGTCTACAATGGTATCCAATTGCTTTCGAAATGTGGTGTTGAATTGATTTTCTGCATACTTCACCGATCCAAAAGGAATACCAATACTGAGATTCAAGGTTGATGCATGAAATGGTACACCAAACATCTTCATAGACTCGTTATTGAAACAACTATCCTTCATATCAATAGATTGTTTGTAACCGAGGGTGTGATAATCAAAGCAATTGGTAGCATAAGGAGCTGGAAGTAGTCGTCGTTCAAAGATGAAATAATGCATCTTATAAAATCTTGGTTCCTTATGGTAAACACTCATTGTATCCCATCGAAGTAGATTACCTCGCGGCATTATTTTAGGCGGCACTAAAGTGATGAAAAAATTGGGTGCATAGTCAAAGATTTGTTGTTTGATTCGAATGGTCAAGATATTTGGACTGATTGAAGACTTGGCATTTTCCAGATTCGAAAGAGTCACAACTTTCTTAACGGAACAAGCAATTACAGAACAATAGCGCATCTTACGAGTCAATGCATGAATCTCACAATAATCTTTACTTTCAGAGGCTGTTAAATTGGTTATGGATACGGAATCAAATAACTCATCTTTAGTATAAAACAAATTACCAGTTTGGCGAACCGTCAAGTTTTTGACAGTCAGTCTCATGATTTGATTTTTATCAAACAACTTAAATATATGAACTCGGATGGCCGCTTCATCTCTTGTATTCACTGATCGAGGAATTTTGAATACTGTTTTGAATTGGGGATGTTCGAGCAGGGCTTTGGTCCAATTTATCATATAAGCACCATCAAAACAAACTGGAACGTCAGGCAATTCAGTTACTTCTGGAACAGTTAAATATACATTGGTTAAAACAGGATAGGAAAAGTAATTTATCAGAACCAATATCAATTGGATGAGGAAACCAATTGAGCAAATTATTGTGAATATCGTATGAAGTCCAAAACCAAAAATTGTAAACTTGAAAACCCGAGATAAACGTCTTCGCGTTGGCATTTTCTGAACAGTAAACAATCACATATTTCCAAATTTGCCATTCATGGACGTAGGAATTACTATTCTCTGCTTCTGAATACAAAAAATATTGTATAAGTACTTTCATAGTTCTCTAAATGCGTCTTGTATTCAACCATTGTTTTTCTGCTAACAATATAATTAAATGCTTGATATATCAATAGTGAATCGATTTCAACATAACGCAGTATTGCACCCAATAATCAGCCAATTTTAATCAATATTTTTTATAAAGTGAATTGCAGTACGGCTCAGTAATCTTTGTTATGATTAGTCAATTTCCCATGGAAACATGCAAAGCTACATTTGAAGACAGATTTGCCTGTGAATTAAACTTGAAAAGAATACAAATGTAAATCAGAAAGCTTAGAAGTAAATTGGTAAACAAAGATTAGAAAAACTGAAATTCTTTATGGATAAGTGGTCATCTATTTATCCAACATTTAATCCTAACTAGATTTTTCAAAAATCGTACAATTCCTTGGTTATCTTCGTTTAGTTTCATTAATAATTTTAGTCAACCAAATTTTCCTACAGTTGGTGAGATATTGCATGTAAGATGGTTTATTGCGAGGCAAGCTGATTTAATGTACCTAAAAAAGTCCCATAATGGCTTTAATCAAGTTAAACACGAAAAATATTTACAGACTCGTAAAGAGTAGATAAATGGAATGCTTTCAACAATAGTCTATTCAAGAAACAGTTTGGTAATTTTGTGACTTGAAAAGGAATTGAAAAACACAAACAGTCCCGGTGGTCATAATAGTTCCCCTTCCTTGTTTGTACCGACTTGATTTTCACATTGTGAAGGTTTGCTTCTTCGATTTTTTTTCGCCGTAGCAAGCTTTCTGCCAACACGAGTATGAGGATAGATGTTTGAAAAGAATACAAATAAAGCCTCTGGACATATCCCAGCTCGTAGCAGGTCAACAACAACACTGTAAATGAACAAAAAGTAGATAAAATTACAGAATCCAAAGTAAAACAAATCATCATTTTTAAAACAACAATTGAATGAATGGGCGAGGAAAAAGGCGGTAAACTAACCAGAAGACCCGGTAATCCATATCAATATTTGCTGTCTGAACCAACTGGTAAAGCTGTTGATTAATCAAATCTTTGTCTTCTTTAGGCTGTACACTATTATAAGATTGATCTTCAGAAGGACCAGGAGAAGACATAATTAGTAGATTATAATTAACAAAATTAGATATTTCAAAATGTCAGTTGTTTACAATGTAAACTTTACAGAAACATGAAAAAACAAGCACAAAGATGACAGCATAAAAGTGCTTCCCTCTAACGATACCTAAAAAAGCTAACCAGTAAACAAATGTCAGCTGAGATAATAGAGTTGATACCGAATATCATTAGAAGATAAGGTGGAACTGGATTATCTGGTTCATTTTGGAAACTTACTTCAACCATGGCTACAATGGCAAAGCCAGCCAACATCGAAGACGTTTTAACAGATGATTTTAATTTAGATCTTTTCAATTGAATACGTTTCCAGGGAATGGCATTTTCATTGTTGATGGCTAGACACATTTTAATCGCCAGTTTTTAGTCTTTCTTTCAAAGAGTATTAAAATTCACAACTGCGGTTTATGAAGATTTTTAGATTCTTATAAACTAATTTTTCTGAATTTAGTAACAAACTACAAGCGACACTACTGAGGTTTAAGGGACCCTTAACTAGCAATCATTGTGTTGTGATTCGATCAATCCTGGATAGATTGAGGATAAATAAAATAATATTGAATGGCGAGTTGTATTTTTTGAAATCACATAGTAAACTATTTTACTTTGAACAGATAAAATTTCAATTTCAATATTTACTATTACCATCAAAATTCAAACAACTTGCTGAAAACCATGTGATTTGCCTCCTACTGGTTGCGTCAGCTGGTTATGTTTCGATTTCTATTCTAAATCGATTAAATCGATTTGCACTCAAAAATTGATCGATCTCTGTAAAAACGTGTTTAAGGATAACGCGGACGTAAACTAGGACTCATCTCCACTCTCATTGGCTGTTGCTAGAACTACGCCTCTTCTCATTGGTTAGTGACTTAAACACTTTAGCTGGTGAGTATATAAGCTAACTTGAGCTTCAACAACCTTTCAATTCAACTGTGTAAAGTAAACTTTCATTATTCTAAAACTTTTTTGATTTTTTGTGACTTTGTTTTCATCTTCAATTCAATAAATTAATCATGTCTGGACGTGGTAAAGGAGGAAAAGTCAAGTCAAAGGCCAAGTCACGATCATCCCGTGCAGGTCTTCAATTCCCTGTTGGTAGAATCCATCGTCTCTTGAGAAAGGGAAACTATGCTGAACGAGTTGGTGCTGGTGCTCCAGTCTACTTGGCTGCAGTCCTTGAATACTTAGGCGCTGAAGTTTTGGAGTTGGCTGGTAACGCTGCCAGAGATAACAAGAAAACTCGTATCATCCCCCGTCATCTTCAACTCGCCATCAGAAACGATGAAGAATTGAACAAACTTCTCTCCGGTGTAACTATTGCTCAAGGTGGTGTCTTGCCAAACATTCAAGCTGTCCTATTACCAAAGAAGGGTTCCGCAGCTGCCCCAGCCAAGGGAAAAGCCTCTCAAGAATACTAGAAAGTCAAGTGACAATATAGTTATTCTGTGTAAATTCATTATCATTATGACCCTTTCCTGAATTATAAACAAAAAACGGCCCTTTTCAGGGCCAATACATATTTACGAAAAGATATTTTGTGCTAGTCCAACCATCATTCTTTTAATATTAAACCTTAATCATTTCATTGTGAATCATCTTTGTAATTAAAACTTTTTTGTATTTAAACTGTTTTTGTTATCTTACGTTGATATAATTTTATTTCGTGATCTTCATTTAACACTCTTTTGATTAATTATGCCTCCTCAACCATCAGGTAAAGCTGTTAAGAAAGCCGGTAAGGCCCAAAAAGCTGTACGAGCTACCGACAAGAAAAAGAAGAAGAAGCGACGAAAGGAATCCTTCTCCATCTACATCTACAAAGTGTTGAAGCAAGTTCATCCAGATACTGGTATCTCATCTAAAGCCATGTCTATCATGAACTCCTTTGTGAATGACATTTTTGAGCGAATTGCCGCTGAAGCCTCAAGATTGGCTCACTACAACAAGCGATCTACCATCACTTCTAGGGAGATTCAAACTGCTGTCCGACTTCTCCTTCCTGGTGAATTGGCTAAGCACGCTGTGTCTGAAGGAACTAAAGCAGTTACCAAAAACACTTCATCCAAATAAATATTTCATTCTTCCTGACCCTTCCCTTCATTATTTAAAACAAAAAATGGGCCTTTTCAGGGCCAATAAATATTTAAGAAAAGAAGTTTTATGCTGTTCTTAATCATATCTCTATTTAATATTTCTCTTTTTATACCAAAAGTCTTCTAGTGGTGAATACTAAACAAATTCAACCATGTCTTTAATAAAGTAAAACACGAAAAAAATTTACAGACTCGCAAAGAGTAGATGAATGGAATGATTTCAACAATAGTCTATTCAAGAAACAGTTTGGTAATTTTGTGTCTTGAAAAGGAATTGACAAACACGAACAGTCCCGGTGGTCATAATTGTTCCCCTTCCTTGTTTGTTGCGACTTGATTTTCACATTGTGAAGGTTTGCTTCTTCGATTTTTTTTCGCCGTAGCAAGCTTTCTGCCAACACGAGTATGAGGATAGATGTTTGAAAAGAATACAAATAAAGCCTCTGGACATATCCCAGCTCGTAGCAGGTCGACAACAACACTGTAAATGAACAAAAAGTAAGATAAAATTACAGAATCCAAAGTAAGCATAATCATCATTTTTAAAACAACAATTGAATGAATGGGCGAGGAAAAAGGCGGTAAACTAACCAGAATACTCGGTAATCCATATCAATATTAGCTGTTTGGACCAACTGATAAAGCTGTTGATTAATCACTTCATTGTCTTCTTTAGGCTGTACACTATTATAAGATTGATCTTCAGAAGGACCAGGAGAAGACATAATTACTATATTTTAATTAACAAAATTAGATATTTCAAAATGTCAGTTGTTTACAATGTAAACTTTACAGAAATATGAAAAAACAAGCGCAAAGTTGACAGCATAAAAGTGCTTCCCTCTAACGATACCTAGAAAGACAAATCCGAGCATTCAATGTTTCACCATTAGTTTGATTTAAACGTAGAGTCAACTCACCAGTTATAAAGAGCTCTAATTGTTAAAATTGCCTTAGATACAATTTGATTGTAAATATTTGGCATGAAAATCAATGTGTAGCCAAAAAATTATTATATAATAGATTAGTTTTTTCATCTTGATTGTAATTTTTATTGATAGTTTTTACATTGTAATTGCATGTTTGTTTTTCAGGTTTTAAAGATTTGAATCAATATACTGATTCATAATTTAAATTGAGGAAAAGCTTTATAATATTCATAATTTAACTTTTAATAGTGATTAAATTTATGTACAGTCTTCGGTTTGAGTTGTAAATCATCTTAAAGTTCACAGACAACCAAAACAGAATAAAGTACGAAGTTATCTTAAAATTGAAGAAAATTATCAATCATTGCTGATCATTTTAAAATGGGTAAAATTTCTATAACAATCAAATTTTTAAACAAAATGAAATTTTAGAGTGTGATTAGATTAACTTAAAAATCCTACTCACTGTTGATTCAAAATGATATGGGAGTTAATTTACAATTATAATTAGCAATCCAGAAGTGAACAGTAAGCAATTAACAAACCAAACTTTCAGAGCTGTAAGTTTTACTGTTTGTCTATGTGATCCAATGTTGACTAGCTTTAAGTTATTTGAATCTCTCAAAGAGATGATTGTGATGATGAAAGAATGACGAAGATGAACAAGATGTTAATGGAGATGTTTGTGGTTTGTGATATCGCTTTGGGCTTTGGTGATAGCTGATTATTTTCAGTGCAAAACAACTCCAATTCCTTCTGGCAACTGGACTAACGTAATATTAAATTTCTTAACCAAAGGTGACAAATGTTAATTTAAAACGCAAGCAAATGAAGAAAAGAAAGAACCAAAAATACAATGTTAAGTTGAACAATTACAAAAACAGTGAGTGAAGTTAACTGTTGTGGAGAAGCTGGGAGAGGAATGGTTTGATTAAAGGTACACAATTGAAAAAATTCTGGAAGAATGTCACCAAGCAAGAAAATTATTGGAATGATAATTGATTTTCGTTAGTTAGATATTTTTCATTTGCTATGCGGGAAGAAATTTTTGATCACTCAAAAGCAATAAAGCACACTCGAAATTTTGAAACAAGAGATTTTCTAATGTTAGCCATGGAATGAGATTATTAACAGCGGGGCAACAGAGAGATTGAGAAACTTAAGTTGGTTGTCGCTTGTTTCAAGATAACAATAAGATCTCGTCGAGCAAAGTATAACACTTATATTAATGTAATAGTAAGCATTGAGAAAATGTTGCTCCGAGTTTTCACTTCATTGATGTTTAAATTAAAATCCAGCAAATTAAATAAAAACAAGCTGAAAACTTTCGATTGCACTTATGCTCATTCATCACGTCCACAAGGAGATGATCAACTGGAAAGATCTCGTAAATCTGAGAGGAAACCTTCAGGAGTCAGAATGTGATCAGAACCTGGAATGAAAAAGGGAAAATTTAACCAATTAAAATCATTAATATTGCAAAGATTGTAAATAAAGAAATAATTGAATTGAATTCTTACCAACAATAACTTCCCACGTTTTTATATCCCTTGTTAATTCGTAAGCAACTCTCATCTCAGAATAGGTTAATCCACCAATAATAAAGACAATCAGTCGGGGTACATTTTTGACATTCAGGGCATTTTTGTCTTTATGCCAGTTTCCGTAACGAACACTAGTAGGAGTGGGTCGACCAAACCCAGTTGCGACTCGAGCGCTCAAGAAAGGAAAGTGTTTTTGATCAAGTTTTTCTTCGATTGCATCCTGATTGTAACATTAAAAGTATAAGCAGTAATTAGTAGGATATCATTGAAAAATGAGTCATAAACATATTGATCTCAGCTTCATACAAATTGTCTTCATGCAATGTAATCAACTAGGATTACATACAAAACTGAAAAATTAACCTGCAGTGGGAGTAAAATACTAACACATAAAACCAAAAGCAAAGTAAATAGATTTGTCTGCGGTCAAAAGATTACAAAGGAGTATTAGTCATTTGTAATCTTTAGTCACTTAATAATCATTAGTATAAAATACTACTTTTAGCTACAGTTTTCACAGAAAATATTTGAAAAAAACATGATATGAGTTAATGTTAAAAGCACTTACTTCGCAGAGATCTTTCAATACTGGTGTCCAACGAGACATTTGATAAGTTTGCTCATTGATGCGTTCTTTGCGCTGAATTTGGTACATTTTTTTACGACCGCCATCTGAAATTATGGATAGGCCAAAATGTGCCAGATTGGTAATGATGCACTTATCTGCAGGCGGAATCTGCGCGTGTTGAATCAATTTTGTTAAATTTTCTTCAGAAATTCCATTCTTGGAAAGAATATACAGAAGGATTATGCGAATTTTATCGAAAATTCCAACTCCAACATCAAGGAGAATGGGTACAATATTCCTCATTGGGTCCTTGATTTTTTCTCCCTCAGCATCGGTACCCATAGCAAGATCTTGTTCAACTTTGCATAATTTGTCAACATAGCCTTGATATGCTTTCATGCAATCTTCAGCCAAATGTAAATGGGTCGAGTATTTGCTCAATTCTTTTTGATATTGAGGCATCTTTTTGATCATTTGAGATAAATCTTTTAGGCTTGCTTTATCCGATGTGCTCATTCGTTTGCTTTCAATGAACTTTTTCAAATTTTTGGTCACATTTTGAGATACTACGGCAATATGCTGATGTCTTAATTCAGCCCAAAGATCATCATTTTCGTCCAACAAAACGTCTTTTTCACGAACATCATTACCAGCTGTTTGCTCAAATTTGTAAACATCATTCTCAATTGGTAAAAGGTCATAAGCCATAGCTTGAAAAGTTAGCTCATGAAGCAAAGGAGAAACACAATCGAAGCCACGATCGAGAATGATCAGCTGAGATCTGTGTTTTTCTGGAGCCTAATCAAAACAAAGAAAAATCGTAAATACACAAATATGTTGACAAAGTCCTAATAAATGTAACTTGCATACCTCGCCCATTGAAGGATCATCTGCTTTGTAGGCGTCTAATTTTTGTTGCAAAAGCTGAGCCAATTCAGCATTGCGATCAAAATCTGACCTGAAACGAACACTTGGGTATTCACCCAAGGTAGCACAAATTGTAGCTATTTGTTCAGCAATTCTTTCCAAATTAGCTGAACGACCTGATTGTTTTGCTGGGTTGTAGAAATATTGGAATGCCTCTGGACAATCGAGAGAGAATACTTGTGATTCATAGGGTAAAAAGGCAATGTTTATCTCTTTTAACGTTTTTATGTATTTGGCAGCGGGCGATTTGCACAACTCGTTGAATAATTCATCGGGACAAGATTCCGTGAAATATACGTGTGCTGCTTTGTAGATTGCTGATCTTGCACTTAAAAAATCTTGCATCAAAAGTCGAATTGACTAATTGAATAAAAAAAATGAAACAATTAAAGACAAACATTAAAAATTAATGTCAATAATCCATTAATCGCTTTTAAATTAATAAATGATAACCAGATAGATTTATATTACCTTGTCGGTAGGAGTAATCAGGTAAATAGCTTCCATATGATGCAAAGGTTCTCTTTTTTTGACTAAATCTTCCACAATCGTTATACCTTCAGCGGCAATCTCATGCATTTTACAACAAGCTGAGATCATCCTCATCCCCAATTGATCAACAATTAGAACCTTCCATTCACCTTTTTTCTTGCAAGGTCTGATTGCTTCGTTCATGATTTCTGCGTAAGGTGAAAAAGATTGACAAAATATTCATGTAAAATTGCATCGTAAATAATTAAATTTTGATAAAAACACCAATAGAAGGCTGAATTGAAAAAATCAATAGCCAGGGAAGTAAACCGTACAAGGCAGATAAGCTGAAACAGAATAGAGCGTAGGAAGCAAAGACATGGTTAGGGAAAAAGGATAGATTGTAAGGGAAATGGGATAGGTTTGGTGACCTATTGTACTGATAGTGGTGATGATGAGAGAGCAGTAAAAAAGAAACAATCATAAACAGAATTATTGAAATATAGGAAATAGGAATTACTTACTTTGACCAACGAGCATCTTTAGAGCCATCATGAATCCTTTTTTAATTTAATCTAAAACACGACTCGAAAGAACAATAACCAAATAAATAAGTGAAACTGTAAATGTGTTTACTTCAAGAAAAACAGCTTTGATAGCCCAGGAAAAAAACAACTCAATTGTTATCCTGTAATTTACGTCAAAAATAGACAACAACACGCCCAGATGAACATAGATGTCGCTTCAAAGTTGAGCAGAAAAGAAAATTCGAGTTTCATTTGTTTCAAGGACAATTAAATAATCATTTGACATTGAATGAGATTATTGACAATTTTGATAACATCTATTAATAAGATCAACTGAAATTCTGGTGCTCAATAAAATCCAGGCATTCAAGGAATTGTTTCCTTTTTTAGATTCATCTAAAGATGAGTAAAATGTAAGACTAAAAAGGTTAGGTTGCTAATGAATTGTAATCTTTTTTTGGTATAATTATCGATCATAAATACATTCAGTTAAATTGGTCTTTAATTGGTCGGAAACTAATTTATTTTTAATTTAAAAGCAACATATACCTGTATACGACAAAAATGATGTTTACACAATGAAAGGTTGGATACATTGGAGGTTAGATTAAGAAAATTAGATTGAAGACACCATTTTATAATACAAAGTTATTCATCAAAGTTATCTTCATCAGTTTGTTCAGATAGTTCTGTTTCAACTAATATTTCTTCCAATTGTTTGTTGATATCCTCGATTTGATCTTGATCTTGATCACCATTTGTTAATAAACACAATTTGCTAAGACTGAGTAAGGTCTTCTTTTTATTGATATTATCATCAGTTTTTGCGGCTAATATTTGTAAACTGTTAGCAGCATCGTTAAACTTGTCCATTCCAATATAATGTAACCAGTTGATATCATCATGATCTTTCAAGAAATTAGACAAGTCCTGTGATCGAGTGGTCAACATTTTACCTTGTTTACCTTCTTTCATATACCATTTGAATAGGAACTCGGAAAATCCCTTCTCTTTGAATTCCTCGACATAACGATTGAGTTTCGTTTTGTTGTCCAACTCCTCACAAGATCTAACCAAAGTCTCGAAGTCGTGGTATTTCTCAGCCAAACTACAAGCTCTTTCATACTGTTTAGCTTGTAAGAGAGGTTTAATGCATTGAGTTCTGTCAGCATCAAAACTTTTGTTGATCAATTTGAATCTTTCGCTAGTCTCATCAATTGTTTTCAAATGATTCACATAACCTTCCAGAATAATATCACTAATATCAACAATTTTCTGATAAATGATTCCTTTTAATTGGGTTTCATCATCTTGGCCAGCTAAAACAGCGTCTGTCCGAGTTGAGTTTTTAATCAGAACATCTAGTTGCTTCAGTAAGGATGTTCTTATTCCATTAGGCCCAACAGTTGCGGTTAAAGGTACATATTCAATATTTTTAGCGGCCAAGTTGTCATATAATTCAGGGTTAGAGGCTTTAAATCTGCGAACTTCATGGAAAACATTGATGACAATATCACTTATGGTGAGAACCAACTTCAAGCCATCTTTTGGTGAGTTCATGCAGGCGAGAAGCTCCTCTTCTTCGAATTGAATTAATACAGGAAGTATTTCATGAATCTTAGTTACCTGGCGGTAAAATCGATCATTAGCCGATAAGTGGGATTCTTCCGACTCTTCTCTTCGTAAATCTATCAAACGATCAATAGCTGGTTCAAAAATATCGTCCAACTCTTGGTGTAAATTTTTAATAGCGATTGCCATAACTATTTTCTCTTCGTGTTCACAAAGAATCAATTTAGTCGGGGAAACACATCCATTGTAGTTGACAAGAGAAAGCTGAGACCAAATACGAACAACTTTGAGAAAATCGAGAAACTGTCGGTGAACATCAAGTTTTTCTTCTAATTGTTTCAGAATCAAAGCAGACATTGCTTCACGATTAGCTCGAAGATTTAAATTGTCAAGCCAACGAGGATCAGTGGATGGACTTTCGTCGCAGAGCTCTTGACTTAACTTGAGGATGAATTCATCTGAGCCAGATTCTGCGGAGGGTTTGTCAAAATTAGCTAAGAAAGCAGCGATATATGCTGAACATTCTCTCTATAATAGAGCAGCAGAAAAAATCCAATTATTAATATGAAAATTTGGCGAAAATAGTATGACTACTTACCGTTTCTTTTCTGCGATACATTCGAAATGCTGATCTTAAATTTTCGATTGGATTACCACTCATTTTTGGTGCTTTTATAATGGATGGAGTGGCTTTGTAAGTTTCAATGAGTTGACTAGAAAAGAAGAGGAGTAAATTAGATATTCACGCTTATGTTCCAGATTAAATAAACTTACTTTATATTATCTTTTGGTTTGACAGCAACCAGGTTATCTCGTGAGGTAAACAGAAGAGGATTTCCCTCAAAAACTCCTGCTCCAAGAATTTGACTTTCTCGATTAGTGAAAGATATGAGATCAATAACATCATTATTATCTGAAATATTGAAATTAGAAAGATGGAATTAATTCACGACATCATTTTTGGATATTGAAAAACTCTTACATTGACAACAGAAAATGCGTGTTTTATCATAAATGTAGATTACATCAGAGCTTTCCACGTTGGTAATCATTTTCAATGATAATAAATTGGCCTCGTTATTTGAGGAATAATTAGGAGTATGGCTTCGGAGAACGCTGAATTTAGTAATTTTTAGATTTTCTTGATTACTTGAAATATTCATAACATCGATAACGGCAATAGCATAATACAATTTGTGTGAGACGTCTTGATTCAGGGCAGCAACCAATATTAAGATAAGATTTTCTTGAAGTTCCATGTCAATGAACCACATTTTTAATTGGTTGGGATGAGTTTTACCAGGGTTCTGTAGAGATGGAAAGGTTGATTAAGAATTTTTTCAAACAATTTTACAGCTTTAAAACTCACCCAAACGGTTGACAAATAAGAGTCCGTGATAGCTTTCTCCAAGTCATATTCACAAATGAGCTAAATAAGAAACAAAAATTAGACAAACAAATTAACAGAGCAATTAAATTTATTACCTTTTCGGTTTGAAAATCAACTAAGCTCCATTTCTGTAGGTATGTACCGGCTAAGACGAAAATGACAGCTTCATCCGAACTACTTTTTTCTCTAATTATTTTAGTTAAAGGTTTGTTTTCGTTGGAATTAGAAGATGGCAAGGCTCCGAATATGAAAGATGTAACTCGTTGTCCAAATCCAGCAAGAACACCCTGAGGTATTTTAAGAGTTCTGCAAACGATTGAGCTACTTGTAATGTAAATATGTGACAATGATGATGTAGTGGTTCCAAGGATATATCCTAAAGGTTCAATATCAGTCAATGAAAAACATTCTTGACCCTGAAGGTCACCAGCAACAGTTTCGATGAAATGGCCATCATGGGCAATAGAAGGCCAATATCGGATAGTTCCTTCTGGTGATACAGCAACTATTCCTGGAACATGGGTTGACTTGTAGGATACTAGACAAACTAAGTCAGCTTTATGTAGTAAATCACTTCCAGGTAACTGCAATTCAAAGCTTTCAATTCTTGATTTCTTGGTTTGAACATATTTCCAAACGAAAAGCCTTCTTCCACAGACTAACCAGGCCCATCCTTCTTTAACAATGTTAACACTGATTGACTGGAATGGTGAGACTGGAAGAAAAAGAAAAGGTGAAGAACGTAAATAGATACAAGTTATTTCATGTTCATAGCCAAAAGGTTGACTTAATGAGTCACACATCAATATTTGAATATTGATTACCGTAACTTCATCTAGTAAAATCTTTATAATTGACTTACCTTCAGAAGAAATTGCTTCAATCAAAAGTACCGGTAATACAGATCCATGTGCTTGCAATAAATGATGATCACTTTCACCTAAAACATTGTATTGGCCCCACTGAATTGAAGTATTTCCTCCTCTACTGATATTCAGGAAAGAATCCATCTTCAAGATATTAAATTATTTATTTATTATTGAAGATTAAGCTTATAAACAGTTGATAATATGATTTAAAGTTCATAAAAAATTAGCGGTTTGCAAGTTTAAACAAACTGTAAGAGTCAATGGATACCAAGGAATCTAACTCAATTTTTGGCGTCCTTTTTGAATGCGCAATGCGTAAGCTTGATGTGCAACAAAGAGTAACGTTAATGAAAATGAAAATTCATTAGCTTATCGTTGAAAGGATAAAAACGTCCCAACAAGAATAACTATTTACCCAGAATATATTTTTACAGATAAGATCAAAAAAGTGGTAATGTGAGCAAAATTCATTTGTGAAAAGATTCTCGATGCTGTTGACAGCTCAATAAAACTGGTAAGTTGTATTGGACTGCATTGATTTAATTTGTAGATGAACTAAAATAAGTGATTCTAATTTATAACTTATTGATTTGATTAAAATTACAAAATTATTAATTGCTAATTTAAGACTTTTCATTTTGCTGCTATTGAATAAAAAGTTCTTTGAGCTTTGCGTTTAAGATTTTTAATTTAACATTCAAATTGATATTTACATTATTGAATATTTCAAAAATTCATCAAGTATCTCTAAAATTACAACTTTATTAGTGAATTAGATAGAACACATTGAAAACAAAATAATTCAGCTATCCCCAATCGCAGCCTTTGCTGATTGCGGCATCAACAAGAATGGCAGTTCACCAACCATTTCACTAGAATAGATGAAAAAGATTCATTAGCAATGCTTATTCGTAAAATTTTCACCAGAAAGGGTTAAAATCAAACTTATTATAAATACATTTTTTTGCATAAAAATATCTAATGTAAGAGCTTAAAGGCTTCAAAAACAAGAAATAAAAAGCAGAACTGTCAAATCATCTATGATCTGTTCAGTTGAATTTTCAATCTTGATAAGCTTGATAAATTGATTATCCAAGCATTCATTTGAGTTCATCTTACCCAGCAAGAGCACCCATTTGCAGTTTAATGCGAACACAATAAGAAACTTGAATACCAAAAACGTCTTCCTTGGACTGCTCTGAGCTTAATCTAAAGGGTGTATTGTTTAAGAGTGAAATTATGGGAGCAAAAAGAGTATTATTTATTTACCTGATTGTGGTGATTATGATGATAAAGATGTTGATAAATATGATGCATTTTTCATCATTGTCCATTTTCGCCTTTATCTGCATCTTATCAACATATTTATCGCCATAACCAGCACAAACAGATAAGTAAATGTTACTCTTTTGCTCACATAATTTCACTCTTAAACAATACACCCTTTATAACAGAATAAAGAAAGTTCAGTCAACATGTTTCTTTTTCACTATTAGAATAGCAATTGAACCCCTTACAGAGTAGAAGTAGCAAGTTTTTTATCTTCCCCTGGTAATGCGTTCTCGATGGCTATCCCTCGACCATTAACACCATTAAACTTAGGAGTAACCACGAAAGTTTTGCTCAAAGTGGAACCAGGATTAATCGGACATCCTTCTCTGAAATTTCAAGATTACAAATTATCCATTAAAGTTATCACAGATAAAGCATAATTGTAATTCAACTTACTGGCTTTCAATCGAGACAAGAGATGATGAATAGTTACCCGAAGTGAACATGGCCACATCAATGTGTTGTAAAACTTTTAACAATGGTTGGTAAATGAAAATTTGAAGACCAGATAATTAAGAAGTGAAAGAAAATTAAATAAATATGAAAATTCGGGAATAATTTAAAGGTAGATTTAAAAAGCTCAATAGCTTGAAAATTTCTACTCACCTAAGACGACTATCTTTTTAATAGATTTGTTTGAATAATTTGAGATGGACAGATTTATGTTCATCGGTTCATCATGATAGTAAAGAGGTTTATCCAGAGTTGCCTCCAATTCCAACTCTCCTGGGCTTAGAAGGAAATCTTTACGGATGATACATGATGGTTGACGACTTTTACCCTTTGGTGCAACCTCAGTTTTACGTATTGCCATCTCAACGGTTTGTCTAGAAACCAAAGAAAAGATCGGAAAAAAATTCATGAAATATTAGATTCTATGAATATAATTTACTTTACCTTTTATCTGGTTTTGATCTGTTTCCTTCTGAGTCTTCAACGAAAGCTCTAACATTGTAATAGACTCCACAGGGCTGTCCTTCACTCCCTTCTTCTGGTTGAATGATAACCGTTTGAGGTGTATTTTTGTTCAATTTGAACGCAAATGGGACAGCATTTGGTCCATACTTATTAACCAGCTTGGTTTGAATTTTAGAAGGTGTAAATGCAGGTCCATGGGGATAAATCTCTTGTGATACAAGAAATAGTTCCTTGCTAAAATGTAATCCCAATATTTCATCCTCTTCACGACCATAACGGAAAGTAACGATCACTTGACCATGTATTTTGGATTTAGCAATGTCATCCGAATAAACAATAACACCTTCTGTTAATTTGAATCACACAAAAATAAATAAATAAATAACCAAAATTTATTTTAAACATCGCTGCTAATGGAAATCACTTTACCTATTGGTTCAACATATGAAATATGACTCAATATTTCTCTTTTAACCAAAATAAGAGTAAGCTAAAGGAGGTTAGTTTAAAAAAGTAAATTAATTATCAAATTTTTACCAAAGCACACAATTTTTGTTGATTTCAATTAAATTAACTAACTAACCTTTCCATTGGGTGAAGCTTTCTTATGAACTTGTCGAGTAACTGTCATTGCTGGAATGAAATACAAATATCAATTGATTGTAATAAAACAAGAAGTGCTACAATTTATATGAAAGATTAAAAATGTTGAGAAGCCTAGTAAATGAGTTTTGTTTTTTGATGGGATTCATTTAATAGGGTTAAATTTGATCTACATCTAGAAGTCCAGTGAATCAATGAAAATCCTAATGGTAACAATAAACTTCAAAACGATCAAATGTGCGTAAGCAGAGAGATAATTGAAGTCTCGAGGAAAGCAACCTTTATAAATGCTAGATCAATAACAAACCAATGGACCTTTTCAGACATTATTAACTGTTACAAATTATTACAACCAGAAACCAGAAAATGAAGAGACATAATATAGATACAATTAAGAACCTCAATTTAAATTGTACTCTAAGCGCTCAAACAAGGCTTTGCGAAGCTGGTCGAATCGGTAAATTCCAGATAGTCACTGATAATGTCACAGCTTGTATTATGTATAAAAGTGATCAAAATTTTGCTAGCCTATTGCAGGAAGTGCCAATCTACTGCCGCAGATACTATATTTTGAGGCCAAAGTCATTCAGAGTCATTTTCGAGAAATCGCTCCTTATCATGTTAGAGATGAAACTAAGTTCGTTTGCTAATTTCAATTTCACATAAATTCATGAGAATACCTTTAGGAGCCAAGAACTTTACCATGAACAACTAGAAAGAGTAGATAATCTAGCAATGTCCTTTTATTGCATTATTATTGAAAACAAGGTTTGAATCATTACATCAATCTAACTGTTTGTAAAGAACTTTGGGTTTATCATGAAATCATTTCAGTCCATTTTTTGAGCCAAAAATTAAACTTTTTATTCATTCTTTCCATTTGTATTTTTCATGGTTGAGGAACGGAAACTTTAATCACTATTTAAATATTTTAACAATTGTTTTCAATGACTTTTTACCAGTTTTCACTAGTTCAACTTAAAATAATTGCAAATGTAACTGAGCAAACCGATTTATTGATAAAGTGATTTTTTTGAAAGAATTAACTAAACATTGAAGAATTAACGTTACATTGTTCCATCGATATCATTCAGAGAATAGGATAAAAATTGCAATTCTCTGAAATGGATTGAAGAAGGTTAGGATTAATATTGATTACGTCTTGGTATTTGACTTATAGAGTTGAGATCTGAGATTTTTGGGGTTTATTGATCGAAATTCGTCGAAATTATGCAAAATTTGGTGTTTAAATGAAATATGTATTTCCGCTTTTCTATTTTTTAAATTTTAGCATGAGTCAGAAATCGGATTAAACACTGTATAAATGACACGTTTATCTGATACAAATCAATAAACTCAAATAGCATGTTCGTAACCTTTGCACAAGCTTTGACTAACAACTTACTTTTTTAGTGTTCAATTTATTCAATGGTTCAAAAACAGTTTTCTGTTACCAAGATGCCAACACAATCTATGAAAATTGTCGTAATGGTGTTTTATTTGTTGACAGATGGTGTCTATGATGCTAATTTTTGTTAATTTAACCCTGACTACTAGAGTATATAAAGCTTATTCCGAATCATTTGGCACAATCAATTGTTACAATCCTTTCTCAAGTTAGATTCACTATATCGTACACAGTGTCACCATGAAATTCATTTCCATCCATTTTATTCTTATCCTGATGGCCATTCTAGTGAGTATCTTATTCCTTGCAGATTAATTATTTGGTTCTCATTGTTGTTCCTTAAAGCGATGCAATATCCTCAACTAGTAAATTGTTGATGCACGTTTGTGTAAGCATGAAATATAAATTATTTTTACTTTTAACTTGCAGATTTGCCCATCTCTGTGTAAAGTACGCCAAGCTTGCACCCGTGACGATCAGTGTTACGATCCTCCGAACGTGTGTTTAAAAAGTAAGTATCTTGAGTTTATTTAATTTCAATTCAACTAGATTCGATTAATACATTAGTTTCATATTTCGTTTGTGTCTAATATTTCTATAATATATTTATTTTGTTTAGCTACTGGCGAATGTTTGGCTTTATTCGATGATTGAGCAAAAGGATAGTCTCAAAGTTCGATCATCCTGAATTATCGATTTTGATTAAGGTCTATGTTATAAGAAACTAAAATGATTATGCTATTATATCTTTGGATCTATTAATAATATGAATAAAGAAAAGCTTATACTCTAAATACACTTTAAAACTTTTTTATCTTTGTTGAAGTAACGAAACATACGGCAAATAAAGACGGAGGTATTTGAGTATTGACTGTTTGTGGTCATAAGCGGTTAAAACTAATCTGAAGTTCACTCGGTTATTCAAATCAAACTGAATGCAATTTCCAGATTGTATTATGATAGTAATTATTAACGCTAGTAGTGCATGAGCCGTCGACCACTCCAGAAAGGTCTTGTGCAAGATATAAAGATACACAAATCTGCAGGGAAAAATAAAATTTGACAAAGGAAAGAACTGAACTAGATACAGCTGTATATAATCGGAACAAAAACTTCATCCTTTTGAATCGTAAATTAAGTGTATGGATTGATAAACCCCAAAAATCTCAGATCTCAACTCTATAAGTCAAATACCAAGACCTAATCAATATTAATCCTAACCTTCTTCAATCCATTTCAGAGAATTGCAATTTTTATCCTATTCTCTGAATAATATCGATGCAACAATATAGTTTTCACTCTCCCATGTTTAGTTAATTCTATCAAATTAATCACCCCATCAATAAATCTGTTTGCTCAGTTACATTTTCAATTATTTCAAGTTTGACTAGTGAAAACTGTCAACAGTCATTGCAAACAATTGTTAAATATTTAGTTAGTGATTAAAGTTTCGTTTCCAGACCATGAAAAATACAAATGGAAAGAATTAATAAAAAGTTTAGTTTTTGTCTCAAAAAATGGACTGAAATGGTTTCATGGTAAACCCAAGGGTCTTTCAAACAGTTAGGTTGACTCAATGAGTAAAACCTAGCTTTACAATAATACAGAAGTACAATGAAAGGTCACAAGGAAAGAGTACATGTCGAGATTGCCCACTCTTTCTAACTGATATGTTAGCTGTTCATCGTAAATCTTCTTGATTCACAAATTATTCTCAAGAACTTCTGTGACATTCAGGAATGATTTCTGGAAAATGACCTAAAGGTCCTTAAAAGGTTGTAGGCAAGTTCACTGATAAACGATTTCTTCGAAAACCCGATTATTAGAATAAGAAGTTTATTAGAAGTTCTTTATTCATATTAGAACGAAAGATATAATAGCATAATCATTTTAGTTTCTTATAACATAGACCTTAAATTGATAATTCAGGATAATCGAACTTTGTTTTTTGGTCGTCTTTGGTTTTTATAGTGAGACCCCTAGATCAATAACAAACCTATGGACCTTTTCAACCATTATCAACTGTTACAAATTATAATATTATAACCAGAAACCAGAAAATGAAGAGTCATAATATAGATACAATCAAGAATCTCAATTTAAATTTAACTCTAAACGCTCAAACAAGGCTTTGTGAAGCTGGGCGAATCGGTAAATCCCAGATAGTCACTGATAATGTCACAGCTTGTATTATGTATAAAAGTGATCAAAATTTTGCTAGCCTATTGCAGGAAGTGCCAATCTACTGCCGCAGATACTATATTTTGAGGCCAAAGTCATTCAGAGTCATTTTCGAGAAATCGCTCCTTATCATGTTAGAGATGAAACTAAGTTCGTTTGCTAATTTAAATTTCACATAAATTCATGAGAATAACTTTAGGAGCCAAGAACTTTACCATGAACAACTAGAAAGAGTAGATAATCTAGCAATGTCCTTTTATTGCATTATTATTGAAAACTAGGTTTGAATCATTACATCAATCTAACTGTTTGTAAAGAACTTTGGGTTTATCATGAAATCATTTCAGTCCATTTTTTGAGCCAAAAATTAAACTTTTTATTCATTCTTTCCATTTGTATTTTTCATGGTTGGGAAACGGAAACGTTAATCGCTAATTAAATATTTTAACAATTGTTTTCAATGACTGTTTAACAGTTTTCACTAGTTTAACTTAAAATAATTGCAAATGTAACTGAGCAAACCGATTTATTGATAAAGTGATTTTTTTGAAAGAATTAACTAAACATTGAAGAATTAACGTTACATTGTTCCATCGATATCATTCAGAGAATAATATAAAGAACTTATGAGTAAGAAATCTGACTAATAAATGATACTAATATGACACTATTATCTAATGCAAATCAATGAACTCAAATAGCATGTTCAAAACCTTTGCACAAGCTTTCACGTACATTGTATTGTATAATTTATATAAGATAATGATTCAAAAACTCTTCGATTGGTTCAAACAAAACACAGTGGATAAAAATTATCGCAAATTAGATCGTAATGGTGTTTTATTTGTTGACAGATGGTGTCTATGATGCTAATTTTTGTTTATTTAACCCTGACTACTAGAGTATATAAAGCTTATTCCGAATCATTTGGCACAATCAATTGTTACAATCCTTTTTCAAGCTAGATTCACTATATCGTATACAGTGTCGCCATGAAATTCATTTCCATCTATTTTATTCTAATCCTGATGGGCATTCTAGTGAGTATAATATTCCTTAAATATGAATTTTTTGATTCTCATTGTTAGTGATTAACGCGATGCGATATCACTAATTAGTAAATTGTGTTAGACACTTGTAAGATCATAAATTATATATTATTTTTTATCTTTCCAGATTTGTCCACCTTTGTGTCTTGCAAATGAATCGTCAGGGCTCTCCGCCACATGCACAAAAGACGATGATTGTAAATTTCTAGTGGAATTGAATTACAGTTGTTTCAAGCGTAAGTATATTGAGTTTTATTCAATTTAAATTCAACATTTAGTTTCATATTTTTCTTCGTCTCTAATATAATATTTTGTATTTATAATACTTTGTTTCAGCTAATGGATCCGACCCTGGCTATTGTGCACCATCTGCAGCATTTCATTCCACTATATAACATTTATTAGTTATGAGAAACTAGCATAATTAAGCTATTATATCTTTCGATCTGAAATGAATAAATGAAAATCATACTTCAAATACGATTGGAAACTTTTTTGTCTTTTTTTATCTTTGTTGAAGTAACGAAACATACGGCAAAGGGCAACTTAGGTATTTGAGTAGCAACTGTTTGTGGTCATCAGTGTTTATTATAGATCTCAGATTTTGATGAAGAAAATAAGACACATAAGGGTTACATGATAAACAGTCATAATAGCTGATGATTCCAATATTCGGAGTAATTATGTTTTACTTGGAGAATTTAGAATTTAGAGCAATATCGAATTTGTGAGATTTCTGCTTATTTAGAGATAAATTAACAACGTTGAACCAGCGATCTATCAGTTTTAAAGCAAGCTAACTATTATAACCAGAAACCAGAAAATGAAGAGTCATAATATAGATACAATTAAGAATCTCAATTTAAATTTAACTCTAAACGCTCAAACAAGGCTTGCGAAGCTGGGCGAATCGGTAAATCCCAGATAGTCACTGATAATGTCACAGCTTGTATTATGTATAAAAGTGGGTGATCAAATTTTTGCTAGATGAATGAAAAACTAGTTTAAAAGGTTAAATTTGAGCAATTATAATTCAATATTAAACTGATTGTCAACGGAATTGCGACTCTCTCTATGCTCCGAAAAACTAATGGATGGATCAACAATAACTTGTACCAGATGAAAGGTACCTGCCCCAAAAAAACAAGGCACCTAAAGGTATAGTTTGAAATGGTGTTTACAATAATGGTGTTAAGGTGATTTAAGATTATTTTAAATGATTTGCAATGATAAAAGGTGATAACAAGAGTTGGTATGAATTGTACAAAAAAAAAGATGAATGCATGAATCTTCCGGGAACCCATTTTTGAAGCTAGTTTTTTTTTCCTTCTGTTTAAATTCATCAAATTAAGGCAAGGAATCAACATTTGACTTTTGATCCGAATCAAATAATTTCGATTGTCAAGGTCAATAAAGACCTTTTAACCTAAACCATAAACCGAGACACAGCATTATAAAGTAACTGTAGGCAAGACGGCTGTAAGACGCTTCAACGTTATTGTTAAGCAGCGTATTTCAATTTAAGGAAATCCATGTTTGTTTTGGATGACAAACATTAAGATGTTAACCACACCCGGTATAATGATAATTATTATTAACAGCATCAGTATTATCATGGAAATTCAACGATAGACATTTTACATTATCATTTGAAACAAAACTCTTCTATTCGGTTCAACCTTTACCAGTTAAGCGCCGAGCTGCAAACTGTTTAGTGAATTGTCATTTCAGCTGATTTCTTAGTCATCGACTTTTTACCATCTTCTTGCTGTTATCAACAAAATGTACATTTACAATTTTATTTTGTATCTTCTTAATTTATAATTATTTGTTAAATATTACAATTATAATTTTAATTTTGTGTTTATTAACCAGCTTTACCTCGACCAGTTTATCTACGATTTTTCTTTGACTTTGGCTTGGTATTTGCTCTCATTGAATATGACCAGTTCAATTTTGCTCATTGGTCTATCAATCATATTAATTCCAGTGATCAGAGCTTTTAATGAATTGTCAGCGATCAATTTTACTGACTTCAGTAACTTTACCCTTGGAAATAATCATAACAACACTTTTACACATTTGAATACACCGTTTCTACCATTATTTATAAACTCTGAAATCAACAACAGTTCATCTCAATCCTCATCTTTACCTTCAATCGAACCAATTGGTCTAGACTCTCATCATCACCACCATCACTCTTCACATTCGGATGATGAAGATGGACTTAAGTCACATTTGAATGTATCTTTCAATGAAACTCTGATTAACCGTCGTTTAGCTCATCAAACTTCAAATGTTTCCTCAGCAATACCTGATCATCGCTTATGGACAAGTAAAAGGATAAAACCAAGAGAGCCTGCACTTGATCCAAGTGACAGTCGTACAAATGATGAGCTAAAGTTTGATCAAAATTATTTTGCTCTTCTCAATGCTGTTAACCATCGCCCTGTTGCTCAACTATCATCATCAGATTCATCAAAAGTGGATAAAAGTAATGTTAACACCAACAATGAACCAACAAACACAACTCGTTCTTTATTTTATTATTCACCAGAGACTTATGGCAAAGTGTCTCATAAAAATCATCAAAACACAGCTTTTAGCTTCAATTGGCCTCCAACTTTAACCCAAGCTACTGGATTATCATCCGTGTCAACACCTTCTTCTTTGAATTCAGTCAAAGGTGTATCATCATCATCTTCGTCTTCCTCTTCATCTTCTTCATCAACCTCATCAATGTCATCACCTAATTCTGAAAAACCGACAAGATTTGACTCGACATTTGGCGCTTACAGTCAGTCTTCAAACGAAAAACAGTCTTTAACGAATGGAACCTACAAAATCAATCCCAAGATAAACTATGCCTCGAATGAACCAAACAAAATAATTGCTGAGAGAGGACATTTGTCCATTGGTGAAGATTTAAAAAGTACCAATGGCAACTATAATGGTGAATATGTTAGTGAAATTGGACCAAGTGAAGCTGTTGTAGGCGATGAAACTTCAGAGTCAAGTGAATCTGTTTCAGAGACAAACAGCCCATCGCCCAATCCCCACCTTAATAACGTTGATGGTAACCTAATCCAAAGTGAGGTGAACAATGTTCACAATAATGGCAACATTAATAAATATTACGATACTGGGCCATATCTCATCTCAAAAAGCCGCTCCAAATTATCTCAGACTCCTGTTAATGTTGATAAAAATGGTAAACCTTTACAATTTCCAGATCATTTGTTGCAACAACCTCCATTAACTCCGTCAATTGATTATCTGGAAGAAGATTATGAATCAACTGAAGCTTTTCCTGATTTTAAAAATTATCGACCTATGGTTAAAGCTTCAACTGTCCCAACAGCAACAGCTAAATATGCTGGATCACCGCCATACCGTCAGCTTTATTACAATTCATATTATCCAACTCGATTCTATGGTCCACCATATGAAGATGATAACTCTCCAAGTAAATCTAGCAATAATGTAAACTCTTGGTCTGGATTGGCGGGTTTCCTCCTCGGTATTATTCCTCTTGGCATTTTGATGGCATCAATGGTTCCTGCCTTTGTTTCAGTTCCTGTAGCTACTGCAGCAGCTGGAGTCGGAAGGCGAAGACGACGAAGATCATTATTTCATTCAAATCATTCACTTCATGATGACCCTGTTCATGATATCCTAAGCCAATATCAAATGAAAATGCTAAGAGATGCTGATTGTATAAAAGAAATACTTTGCAAGATTGCTGTTCAAGGAAAATCGCAAAAGATCGGGCAACATTTTTTTGAAACTACACTTAATATGTAAGTGTCATTTTTTTGTTAATATTATTTACTAATTTTATCACACTTATGATTTGTCTCATCTATTTTACATAATTTTGTCACTTTTAATACAAATTGTTGCTAATGACATTCAATTAGTAATACAATAGGCTGAGGAATCAGACCAAAACTGACATCAAAATACAATTAAGGAAGTGACTTTAGTGATCACTAAAGCAATAACTCAAAATTTTCATTCAATTTATTGAAATAAAGTTTATGACAGTGAAACGAGAGATTAGTGAAGCGTAATTTGAGTGAAGTCTGAAGAACAATGATCAGGGAAAAGATGAACAGATTGCAATCTAAAAATTGTTTCATTAAAGGTTTCTATTATTGAGCTCATATTTCATAAACTATCATGTTTTTTCCTATTTTTATTTCAGGAGATTCAATAGAGTTTATCATGAACTAGGAATTAGTCAAGTAATGGAAGCTGCCAAGAAGAATCGCTGTGAAAAGGTTTTCCAGTGCAAAAGAAATTAACTTTAATCAAACATGGCCGATCCACTTATACCTGTTAACCAATTGACTTACTGAGTACGAAAATTTAATCATGAATTTAATTCAATGTTACTCATCTCTTTATACTTTATCCACCGATTGTACATAAATATTTTATATAATTTTTTCTAAACAAATGGATGTCTAAATACAGTCCATTTGAGTAATCACCATTGGTCAGTTTTGGTCAGTGATAAATGTCTTACTATTTATATATTCAAATTTTACTGAGCAATTGTATTTCACTCTTCTTACAAAGTACAATGTTAAATAAAAACAGGGGTTGAAATGAATTGAAAATTTATTTAATTGCATATTATTTAATTACCAACAAATATAATTCAAAATGACATAGCACATTATATTTACATATTAATATAATAATAGTATAATATATACATATATATTATAATAGTATTAAATATAAATGATAACTCAAGATTGATTCTTATAATACATTCACAGACGATTTACAGGTAATTAGAATGACTAGCTTTTAAAATTTGTTTTACATTAATTCAAGCAAAAATTAATAAATATAAAACACATAATTTTTGTCAATGTTGCGTTTTTGATTTTCATTGTTTATAAAACTGTCTTTGGTATCGCTCATCTTTTCATGTTTGAATATGTATATCAATCGCTTAATTCATTAGCTAAATTAAAAAACTGAAATAAAGATGAGATAATGTGAGATGGTCAATATTCATTTGTGATAGCCTCGCGATCCATTTGATGGAAAGTCTTCATCTTCAGAGAAATTACTTGTAATACTGAAACTTTTTTCGATTTTGCCAGAAATATGTGATGAAGAGTTATTTGAGTGGTTTTTATATCCAATTGTTCTTCCAGGGCCGAATACCGGATTGTTTAATGATGCTCCACAATAGAAGTCTTTTTCCCAATTGTTTGAATTAGAATATTGACAGTTAACAGATGAACTTTTTCTTAATCTCCTTGGGCGATTACTCCTTGGATTCTTAGTGCGTTTGTCAGCTATCCATTGTTGATCTAAATACGTGATAACAAAATTTGAAATAGAAGTTAGTTTCGATAATATAATGATAAAATTAATATTATTGTACACAAATCTAACTTACCAGCTCCATCGTCTGTGATGGTAAAACCAACTCTTTCCTCAGATGGTACTTTGTCCTTATAATTTGTGTCATCTATTGATGACCTTTTTGAATAGCAAGCCTCTGATGAACAAGATCCGCTAATGGTACTAATACCACTGGTTTCGACTGCATCATTAAAATTGCTTGGGTCATTTTCGTTGCTATTGTTTGTGCTAACACTTCCATTAGTAATTTCTGGATTACTAACAGTTATCCCAGCATCACCAATTATGTCAGTTTGACATGCAATGTCAACTGTAGAGGAATGGACTTCATTAGAATGGTCGCCATTAGATTCATCATCTTTAGAATTGCTATTGATTTGCTTGTGACTCGAGTTGTGACTATCATTTATTTCTTGATCCATTAATCCAATGATTGGTAAATTACATGAGATTGATGTCTTGATAGGTGAGATCACAGTGTCTTCTTGGGCTGTAACTCGTTTTAATATAGAAATTAAATTTTCTAATCCTGGTAAAAAATCACTTATCTGGTCCATTTGTGTCAATCGAATCTGGTTCTCTTCAAGTCTTTCATTTTTAAATTTAACAGAAGATTCAAGGTCTTTTATCTTCTCCTCCAGACGCACAATTGTCTTTGTTAACTCATCAATTTGAGCTTCTTTAGCAGACTTCAATTCCTTTAATTGTCTCCTAAAGGTTTCCTCTTGCTCCGCAGATTGGCCATTTTGTTGGCGAATAATATCTTCCAATTCATTAACACGAGAATGAAGTAACTGCAAATGATCATTGGCTTCCTTAATACTAACCCTAGTTGGTGTAGTTATTCCGCTAGATGATGGACTAATTTTAGTACTGTTAGCTGCACTATTTCCAGAGTTGCTTCCATTTGAATTATTAATAGAGTTTGTTGAATTAGAGCAATTAGAGCTGCTCATTCCAATAGGGTACATCATTTAGTAGAGATAACAAAAACGTGATGAATACTGTTGGTTCAATTTAATAAACCAGCACTAGGTTGAACAAGAGATAATCCATTGAATTCAAGTGAAAATCTTTGTATGAAAAAATAAGACCAGAGTAATAGAAGAAAGAGAAGAAAGAGGTGAGCAGTGAAAGCAAAAAAATCAATATTTGGGTTTGACTTAAATATTGATTTCTAACTTGCCTCGCTTTCAGATTATTTTCAGCTTAAAGATGGACACAAATAAAGACCACAACAAATAAGAAACACCATAAGATTAGACAAATGGCTTAATTAAGGCCAATTTAAGACCTAAAAGAATGGCTGGCAATCTAATTAAATCATAGATGCAATTAAAACAACCCAAAAAACCCAAAATAAGACTGTCACGCCTCCTAGAGCGCCTAATCTTGAAAAAGATTCAAGTTGAACACATCATAATCACATAATTAAGTTCCAGAATTTATGAAGTTGGTTTGTAATTGTAAACAAAGTTGATATAAATCTGTAAATTGATAAATTGATAATGAAGATATTTTTCACATTTTTAAAAGATCACACTTCTGGAAGGTCATTTTCAAACGATGATTAGTTTTGTAGATGATGTTCATCATTATTAGTTGATAGAGATCATTTAAAATTAACTTCATATTAATAATTATAAAAATATTCAAAACTTGATCGAGAATTGATGAAACCAGAAAAACCAGAAAAATCTCCGCGCCAAAAAGTTTCTGGTTACCATAGTAAATTTTTTCTCTTCGCTGATTGGTTTAGAAGGCGATACTGGAATTCAAATTGGAGTGACGTTAGAAAAATAAACTTTCTATTCTCTTTCAGTGTTCTCTTAAATCATCCTGTTTTTGTTTTCATTTCAAAGTTTTATTAATTATATCTTTTAATTGTTGCTCTATTAAGTATACCTACAATAACAACATTATTACATCATCGTTTTCATTATGGAGACTGTTAAGTCACCATTGAAAGCTAATTATTGTCGACTCCCTGTTAAATCTAGAGCAGAGAAATTGTTTGATCAATTTGTGACTAAAACCACTTTTGCTGATCGTTCAAATGATCTGAATTTACTGAGTCAAGATTCTCCTACCAACCATAAAGAAGTAAAGACAAGACTCAAGAGAAAAGTCACTTTTGCTACATATGCTGGTGATAAGCAAAGGAAAGAAGTGAAAAAGAAAACCCTTGTTAAAAGAAAGGAGCCCACAAAATGTACCAAGGAAGCAGTTCTGGAAGCATTTATGAACGCTGGGTTACCAGATTACGATGAAATTGCAGCTCTACCATTAAACATTGTTGTATTGAGTGATGCAAATAAACAACCCGAAAAATATACTGAAATCAGTCGTAAGCAAATAGTCAAACCATTCATGCCTCTGTTGAAAAAGATCGATTCCGCCAGTAAAAGAAAGGAATCAAATCCTGCTATTAACATTGAAGAACCTTCATGTGCTGATAATGAAGTTTCTAGTGATCACATTGAAGATAGGGAAAATAAAGAAGAAGCCAGTACTCCGTTACCAAATGCAAAAGCTCGTCCCAAATTCGATGATATTTCGTGTATAAACGCTAACAATACCCTTGATCCGAATATGGATCAAGATGTGTCATTTACAACACCAAAGGTACCACCACCAGCTAAGAAAAAGCCATGGAACGTTGCTGACCGTAGAGGAACCCAACTATTACCTCCTCATCCCGTAGTCTTTGATGAACCATTAGTTATTTCTAATACATCCATTGATGTATCGAATGACCAACCTTTGAATTGGTCAACTGTACATAGTTTAGCTAAAATGGACGATTCAGTGCACAATGTTTTCAGTATTGATACTAAAGCTAATTTGGCCACAAAAATTCGTGAATCTCTCGGAAGTTTAAAGTCCAACATGAATGAGGCAGAATACCCTCGTGGTTCTGTTAATTTTTATCGACGCAGTATTGTCGACACTGCAAATGTTCTCCGTGCTCTAGGAAAATCTTGTCGAACTATTGTGCGAGAGCCTTCCCGGCGAATAACCAGAAAAAGGAAAGAATCCCTCGCAGAAAATCAAACGGTTAACTTTCTGGTTGCATTTGACAAAACTATCATAGAAGACGTTGATGTTCATCTACCTCTGACCACGAAAGAGAAAGTGTTGGCTCTTTGCAACCCACCTCAAATTACAACATTCAATAACGTTCTTAATCATAGTTTAATGAAATCAATATGTAAAATTGGAGAAGGATCTTATGGAGAAGTTTTCAAATCAAAGACTGAGGATGATAAAGAAGTAGTCATAAAAGTAGTACCGCTTGTACCTACAACTTCTGTCGAAGATGATTTATGGGCACAAGTTCTACCAGAACTAGTTATATCGCTCACATTTAGTGATTTAAGATCAGGATTACGAAATCAAACACCTAATTTCGTAAACACCTTCCGAGCTTCTTGTGTAAATGGATCCTGGCCTAAAGAATTAGTCAAAGCTTGGAACGAATATAACAAGTTGAAAAAAAGCGAAAACGATCATCCAGATAAATATGGACCGAACTGTAACTGGCTCATAATACTTTTAAATAACGGTGGAATCGATCTTGAAAATCATAAATTCAGCTCTGCAGTGGAATCTCTCAGTGTTATATTACAAACAGCTCTCTCTTTGGCTGCCGCTGAAAGTGAATTCGAGTTTGAACACAGAGATCTTCACACAGGCAATGTTTTGATAATGCCTTGTTCAGAATCTATGCTCGAATACAAAATTGATGGTAAAAACATTATGCTTCCTTCTGTCGGTCTCAAAGTTTCAGTCATTGACTTTACTTTAGCTCGAATGGCTAAAGATGGTTACACTGTTTATGATGACCTTTCCAAGTATGAAGATCTTTTTACTGGAACTGGTGACTATCAATTCGAGATATATCGCTTAATGCGCATTGCCAACAAGAATAATTGGAAAGTGTTTACTCCTTACACTAATATTCTTTGGGTCCATTATTTGACATATAAACTTACAAAGGATAAAAAATATAGATCAAGGAGTAAGGCTCATCATGCGGCAATGAAAGCTTTGAAACATCTTCATAATCTTCTTTTGGACTACAAATCGACCAAACAATTCGTTCAAAGCCCATATTTTAATGAACTCTTCTCTAAACTGTCTTAATAGTATTTTTAAAGCAAACTTTTTAATATGAACACAACATTATTTAAATGCTAAAAAGATCTTTTGTAAATTACTAAACTTGACTATACAATATATGTTGTCCTAAAATAATCAGATACATTTTCTCCCCGTCCATTTCGATTAAGGCATCCAAACGTCAACTGGTCGTGTTTTGTACTTTTTTAGTTTCCTCCAGTACTTTTTCTGTGTTCGACGCTGTTCATATCGATGCAATTTACCAACCATTTTTATGAAAGCGTCACTGAAAAGATAAGGAAATGGATGCTTTTTGGTGGCATAAATTGTGTCCATCTCTTTCAACTTATCGTACATAACATCTGCAGAGGATTCTTTCCCTTCCCAATCTTGGTGGGCCTGTTGAAATAACACAAAAAATAAACTTTTTGACTATATTCACTGAACACAAAAGGTAAAATTGGTTAATTGTAGCACTCAAAATTACTTAAACATCACGACATCGAGAATTTTTCAAAGCTTACTTTAAAATCCTGATATGACGGGCCAACTATTATTATCGACGCTACATTTGATGGTCGTTGGTTTAAACCAATACTTAATAGTAACAACATTATTATCAAGTATCTCATTTCGGACACTAAAGCTGTTGAAATTAAAACTATAAATCAAGTCGATGTGGCTCAAACTGTTTGATCAAACTGGAGACTATCTAAATACTACATTAATCTCACCAAATAAAATCAAAACTCTGGTTGAACAATTTGGATAAGTTACAGGACAGCTTTTAATTTATTGAACCGTGAAGGCTCGACTGTTAACTCTGCGAAATTTGGACAACTATGTCAACCCCAACATCGCTGTCAATTGCCAATCAATCAATAGTTCATCTATCACGATGAAGATCATGATCACAATCAACTGGAATAAAAAAATCGACTCCATTTACAGTTTACTAAGAATACAAAGATTTATCTTCTATTTTATAAAAAATACCAATCACTCTCAATTAAAATTGTATTTTATTTTATTGTTGCAATTGTTACCTGTATAAATAATAAACAATTCATTTATTCTTCCTCATAAAAAAACCATATCCCAAACACAATTCAATGTCAATCATCTGTGATGATTGGGACAAATCTAACCAAAAGTCAATTCTTAGAAAGAAACTTTTCATCTGTTCTTACAAACGAAAAATGTATTTCTAAATTAACCACCAATACCAATAAATAATGATAAAAAACAAACGAAATTAATTTAGTTGTAGATTTTTGAATTGCAATGTTTAGCTTTATAACAAGTTTTCATCTCTTGTTTCATGATATGTATTAAGATCCAGATTTTAAAGGTAGAAATGAATAATTCTTTGTAACTGTGAGAAAATAGAAGTTACTTGGGAAACATTTACATTCCAAAAGGTACTTCATGACAAACGGAATCAATAGATTCTCAGACTAGAATCGGTTTAATTTTACTTTTCTAAATACCATTGAATGCTGAGAATATAAATATTTCCCTCAGGAACTTTTGTTCTCATGTTGATTAATGGTGCGTTAACTCTTAATCTTTAACATATCATTATCATGTTTTGTATGAATAGACCATTAATTGTATAAGTGGAATCATCAAATAGATATTTGAATAGAGTCATGTTTTGCCATTTCAGTATCAATAGGTAGTAAGAGTTGACGTCCATAAAGTGAGTGAAAAGTGAAGCTTTAGTGGATAGATTAACTAGTCTAGCGTATTATAGCCCGGTGCTTGAAAATGAATTGCCTTTTTTCGGGCACTTTTTAAATGAAACAGGCGTGAGGGGCAAACATTACAGAAATTAAGTTAGAAAGGCCGAAAAACAGGTTTATGAGGTATTTTAGATCATTTTCCAGGAATCGCTCCTGGTGACGTTAGATGACAAACTAGCATTTCACAGAAATTCATAAGATTAATTTGGGAAGTCAAGAACTTTACGATGAACATCTAGAAAGAGTAGGCAACCTCGACATGTCCTTTTTTATTGTAAAGCTTGGTTGTATCATGAAACCATTTCAGTCCATTTTTGGAGCCAAAGACTAAACTTTTTCTATCCATTCTTTCCATTTGTATCTTTCATTGTCTGCAAACGGAAACTTTAATCACTAATTGAATTACATCTGACATATGTTTTCAATGACTGTTTAACAGTTTTCACTAGTTTTACTTAAAATAATTGCAAATGTAACTGAGCAAACCGATTTATTGATAAAGTGATTAATTGATATAATAGAATTAACTAAACATTGGAAATGGAACGTTACATTGTTGCATCGATATTATTCAGAGAATAATATAAAAAATTTATGAGTCGGAAATCTGATTAAATACTTCAATGATACAAATATGACACTATTATCTGATGCAAATCAATGAACTCAAATAGCATGTTCATAACCTTTGCACAAGCTTTCACGTACATTGTATTGTATAATTTATACAAGATAATGGTTCAAAAACTCTTCGATTGGTTCAAAAACAGTTTTCTGATACCTAGATGCCAACACAAGCTACATCATAGACAGTCATAATAGCTGATAATGCCAATATTCGGAGTAATTATGTTTTACTTGGAGAATTTAGAAGTTAGAGAAATATCGAATTTGCGAGATTTCTGCTTATTTAGAGATAAGTTAACAACGTTGAAACAGTGATCTATCACAGTTTTAAGGTAAGCTGACTAAACATGAATATACCGACGATAAATATAGATATTTAAATCAAAAATAAGCAATTAGATTGGAAATATTGCTTATCGTTTCCGCAGTTTTGCGATAGCTATTCAAATAGCTTTTTTCAATAAATGCTCAGATGTATAGCTAATCAACGAATAACTATTTCACTCAAAATTTTCATAATAGAATATGGAAATTGCATTCTATTTAATTTGAATAAATGAGTGAACTTCAGATTAGTTTTAACCGCTTATGACTCAAACAGTTAATACTCAGATACCTCGGTCGTCCTTTGCCGTATGTTTCGTTACTTCAACAAAGATAAAAAAGACAAAAATTTTTAAAGTATAATCTTTTCTTTATTCATATTAGATCGAAAGATATAATAGCATAATCATGTTAGTTTCTTATAACATAGACCTTAAATGAGATCGATAATTCAGGATAATCGAATTTTAAGATCATCGTCCAGTTTCTGATCCAGAGTTTGGTGATTAAGCACACATACCAGGTCCGAATGGATTAGCTAAAATAAAATAAATATAGAGATATTAGACCAAAACGAAATATAAAACTAATGTATTAACTTGAATGGAATCGAGTTGAATTGAAATTAAATAAATACAAGTTACTTACGTTGAAAACAAATGTTTGGTGGATTTTTACAATCTTCATCTACTTCGCATATTGTGGGGCTTTGACACAAAGATGGGTAAATCTGCAAGGAAAAATATAAATAATTTATAATTTATACTCTTAAAAGCGTTTATGAACAATTCACTAATTTGTGATACTGCATCGCTTTAATGACTAATGAAAGCCAAATAGTTAATCTGCAAGGAATATGATACTCACTAGAACGCCCATCAGGATTAGAATAAAATAGATAGAAATGAATTTCATGGTGACACTGTATACGATATAGTGAATTCAACTTGAGAAAGGATTGTAACAATTGATAACCAAATGATTCGGAATGAGATTTATATACTCTAGTAGTCAGGGTTAAATTAACAAAAATTAGCATCATAGACACCGTCTGTTAAAAAATAAAACACTATTACGATCTGATTGACGACAATTTGCATAGCTTGTGTTGGCATCTTGGTATCAGAAAACTGTTTTTGGACCATTGTATAAATTGAACACTAACAAAGTAAGTTGTTAGTCAAAACTTTTGTCAAGGTTACGAACATGCTATTTGAGTTTATTGATTTGCATCAGATAAACGTGTCATTTATGAAGTGTTTAATCAGATTACTGATTCATACTAAAATGCGAAAAAGAGAAAACGGAAATAGATGTTTCATTTGAACACCAAATTTTGCATCATTTCGGATGGCAAACATGCTTTTTAAGCATGGATTAATAAACCCCAAAAGTCTCAGATCTCAACTCTGAAAGTCAAATACCAGAACGTTATCAATATTAATCCTAACCTTCTTCAATCCATTTCAGAGAATTGCAATTTTTATCCTATTCTCTGAATAATAATGATGTAACAATGTCACTCTCCCATGTTTAGTTAATTCTATCAAATTAATCACCTCATCAATAAATCGGTTTGCTCAGTTACATTTGCAATTATTTTAAGTTAGAAAAGTGAAAACTGGTAAACAGTCATTGCAAACAATTGTTAAAATATTCAATTCGTGATTAGAGTTTCCGTTTCCAGACCATGAAAATTTCAAATGAAAAGGATGGATAAAAAAGTTTAGTTTCTGGTCTTTACTAGTTTTTGGATCGATATTTTACGAAGGAACACAATTAAGCCAATTGACAATTAAAGAAATCGAATCGAAATTCGACTGAATGCAAAGCAGATATCTTGTTTATCGGTTTACATCATTATCTGGTTGGTGCAGCAACTGGTAGGTAACTGTACTTGACTAATGGGTTTTAGTTTAAAATGCTCTTCAGCTTCAAATACTTAAACATAATTATTAGATCAAATGAAATCTACAGATATATTTGTATCCACTGCATTCAATCTGTAGTTTTGAACAGATTGAATGCAGTGGATACAAACAGAAAACTTTAATACTGATTTACTATTTTTAATAAAAGTTTACAGAGACCAAACAAAATGTTTACAATAGTTATTTACAAGATAAAGTTAATGTATTTACAAAAAATAGCTTTTATAATAAATATATTAGATTGAACTATTTCAATTTTAACAACTTTGTAGCAGTAATAAAATAGGAAAATACAATAAATGTAAGAATGAAAACAGTCTCATTAGTTTGAAATTTGGAAGACATGAGAATAATATAAATGTTTCTTGTGTCTATTTATATGATTCCGATTGTTGTACCATCAATAGAAGACTAAATCGTGATAATTTTTCAATGGATTTGTGTCTTTTCCTACTGGACAATAGTTGATGAGCTTGACCAATCTTTGTTTGTCTCATTCAATAAGATAAAAATCATTTGAACGGAGACTTCTCGCTGATGAAATACTAGCAGCATATTGTCTTGTTCGAGCTCGTTCCTGTTCACGTTTTCTTTTGTCTTCTTTGGAAAGATATATTCCAATGGAACTGATACCAATAAAGAAAAGGAAACCACCAACAAATAAGAAAACTATTCCTGCTATCCAAATTGCATCAGGTTCATGAGGCGATGATCCCCATACCATTGAAATTAAACCAATTATAAATACAATACCAGCTATACAACAGCAAAGAAGGCCTAAGTTAAAATAGCGTTTCGGTGTCTTCAAATTAGTACCATAATTTGAACTTGTATAGTTTGAGTAGCTTGTTAAAGTACTCATGGTGATGAGATTCAGTCAATCAATAATTTGAGAGTAAAAACATTCGAAAAATGAGAAATAATGGTTTGTATTGGTTTGAGGTTGATATAAATGTTGATGGTGACAGTTGAAGATTTTTAGAAGACACTTTTGGTGTAAGATGAAAAGAAGGTAAAATGTAGTTTCATACAAATAGATGATATTCCGAATTAGTTGATAACTCCATATTAATCATTGTAGTTTAAGGAATGAAGGTCAATTAAGGAAGTTTTTCAACAGGAATAGATAATCTTGTGAGAGTTTCCAATAAAACCATTCGTCAGCTGATGAAAACAAAACCTTGTATCCAGTCCTACGTAAACTTGTTTACCTATTATCGCCAGTTTGGGTAAATTTTTCTTTTGGGTAACCATGGATTGTAAATTTCCACAGACGGTAGAATGAGAAAGTGATGATTTTAAAGTCTGAAAACCCACTGATAAATTTAATTGATTGAATCACCATGAAATGAAGTTATGAACAACAGTATATTAATCCATAGATGAAAATATTCAGGCAAAGTCAAACATGATGGAAGCAAGAATGAGGTCTAAACATGTTGAATGGCATCTTCTTTTTCCACTTTTTTGCTTCTCTTTTGTGTTGAAACTTGCTTTAAAGAAATGTGTTTTGTTATGCTTCAAAAGTCATATTTTCAGTTTAACACCTTTCCGTTCTCAGATTTTAAGTTTTCCTTCAATTGATGGTACCATCAAAAATCAATTGGACAAAGATTGTTTCTGTTGAATATAACATGAATTTCTTGACGACTTTTAGGGTGACAGATTACCGTGAGTAAAATGAAAAAGAAAGGATTTACAGGTGAAACACCAACAGTTTATGCTTTTGCTGGTTCAAGGAAAGTAAGAGTGAATCCGTACCAAACCAAAACAAAGGCTTGTAATGTTAAAATTTTTGGGTATCAAATGATTAGCTGAATAATTGGTATACTTTGTGGAGACTTTTAATTGCGATGATTTGGATGAAACTGAGATTGAAGCAACAATGTTTATAGAATAAAAAGAATCACCAGAAAACTGAAACAAAAGGAATATAACAAAAGGTAGAAAGCAGCATTAACAGGTTACAAGTTGTTGTTGAAAAGAATAGAAATAAACACCAAACACAAACCCGTGAATAAGTTAATATTTTAACAAGATTAGTTAATCTAATAGTTTATTCAGTAGGTTAAATGATAACTATAGCACATTAATACCATTAAAATCACAATAAAACGCTAGCCGTTCACAATTTAAGTCGGTATAAAGAGCAAAGATGATGAGGTTGAGGAAAGAGACACAGAAAAAGTATATAAAATTGAAGGCATCTGGTTATCTGAATCAGGCAACGTTTTAAGGCATATGAGGTGGTCCTTGATGTTGCTCAATTACTTTAAACACACTCAAACAAGTTGTTGATGGACAACTTTACCTGGCCTAGTCCATCCAAATTTTCATTTTATTCAGGTAAGATTTATCAACAAGAATAAGAATGGTGAGAAAATAAAGAAGGAAAATAAAAAAAGTCAAAAGAAGGAGGAGAGATGTAAAAGGAGGGAATATCGTATAAGAATGAAAATTGGACACTGTTGGAGAGATTAGATGAAGATGATTGTTAAATCTTTTCATTAATATAATAAGCCAATTACAATTAAGAAAATACAAAATAAACAATTGAAAATATTAAAATAGCAAACTAATCCCAATAACCGACAAAAGATTAGGTTAGGCCTATTGATCTTTTTATGGATTTGGTCAAAGATTGGATTGCCATTAAGGATCAATCCTTCGGATCAATTCTTGAAATAATTTCAAGATCAACTCATTGATTATTAAATCAGCTTTAATTTTGTTCAAACTAATCAAATTCAATTCATTTTTTGCTGTTATTTTATTAAATTATATTTCCTTTTATCCAAACGAAGCTAAATTTTGTTACAGTTTTCCACGTCCGTTTGAACGAGTCCTTTTTTAATGAAAATTGTAATTGGCAGCTTTCAAGTGAAAAGCGCGAGCTTGAGATCAAAATTAAGGACAAAATTAAACAATCGTAATGTGCAATTTATATTAAAAATAAGCTCAATTTAAGACAAAATTTTGACTCAAAACTTTAATAATTAGTTTACCAAAATTGGTAAACCTTTTTTAAGGCAAAGTGGACCCAGTCAAAAGGTTAAACAATTGCAGAGTTAAGTCAACAGTTGACTAAGAATTTGGTTTACTAAATTAGATTTAATTAAACTTGTGAACGTGCTTGATAAAGCTTTTAGTATGAGAATGGAGTAAAACAAAAAAATGATGTTAATATGAAAAGGACAAAGAGATTGAGATGTTGATGTTAGCTGAGACAAATGAATGAGAATGAAAACGCAAGATTGCGAATCAGTGCAATTAAGCTTGACGGAAAGATTAATATGGACTTTAAACTTCAAAATCCACCGGAAAAATGTTTCCTTTTCTTCCTCATCTTAAACATGACCAGCATTATCATCTTGAAAGGTTTTGCTTCCTATTCAAGTTCAATCTTGAAACGCATCTTTTAGTCCGTGATGAACAGTCAAATATTTGGCTCACTTCATTCTCAATGAAAGCATTAATCTAAACCGCTTTCCTGATTTTACAGGTTTTTACATGGATTAACAATTTAATTTAATAAGGTATTACCAATCATCTAACCATTTCAACTGGACAATTGGCTAGATCAAGGTTGGCATGAGTACCACTGAGTGAGTGAGATATTAACATGAGTGCCACTTACAGTTTATTGTTTGATTTTATTTCATAAAGCTCATTCAGAATAATAGCAATAATTGCAATTCATAGCTCAAAAACAGATTAAATGATGAGATTTATGAGAATAACCAAACAATCTCAAAGATCTCATTGAATTTGACAATTACTCTCTGACAAATTGAATGGGCATTTGAAATCCATCATTTAGATGGTTGGTGTTTCACTGATATCTCATTAAACGATATAGCTGAATCTCAATTCAATTTTAATAGCACCAATATTACCAGAGTTGGGTACATTGACATTGCTAGTCAATTGATAAACAATTACATTTTATGTATTTTGATGTATTGAGCATTAAAAATGCCAAAAACATTCTAATCAATGTGACTATGCGATTAGATCAAATTACTGATTATGGTTATAGTAGCTAAAGTGCCAGGAAACACTATTCAACCAGCAGTTTAGTCCAGTTTGTGACCTCTTTTTGAGGCCAAATTCATGATATTATAGCAAATTTAATCAATAATCTGAATAAAAACAATTGAGAATAAACAAGTCCATTGCAAGGGTTGAAATGATGGATACTAAAAATAAGAAACTGCTGAAAATATTGTTGGCTGCATTGTTTCATCGTAAAATATTCATTCATTCATTGTTAATTTGCACTCAAATTGTAAATCATTTTATTACAGATCTGTTCATCTAAATAAAATTGATTTATGCTTCAACGGGCAGTTTAGCTTCACTTATCAAATCGAATGCAGATTTTATGGACTCATTTGGCTGATTTTCTTCATCGGTTTATTGGGTTTATTGGTTCATGGTTCATGAATTTGACAATGAAATAGCAGTTTAATCGGACGTTATATCTGTGCATAACTCATAGTGGAACTCGGTAAATCTTATGATTCTCCAAACGAATTGTCAAAACTCAAAATCGTTAATTTGGACACGTTAATCGACAAAAGAGTCCAAGTAACAAGATTACACCAACCACCGAGCAATCTGATCGCATCGTGTGAATTATCATTCAACAGTTTACGATTATGAATTAGGATTAGGATTAGCGTTTACAGTGATTCGGGATTATGTTTAGTTTAGATTTGTAAAATTCGTATAAGATCTTCGTTTATAAAATTCTGAATTACAGGATTGACGAATGAATGGATTTTATAAATCTGTATGTTTAAAATTGTCTTGAAAAATAGAAATTTTGATTAAAAACAAGTCAACAATTTATTTGATATACATAGTAAGTGTAAAAAGTTGACTTAAATTACAAATTATGCTTGGAATAATTGAGAATAACAAAATGTATTGAAGATTGATAGGCACCGCTTTGCAATTGATGTGAAAATAAAAAATTTTCAAGATATAAAGATTAAAATGGGTTGGTTCTATTTAATTAGAACCTATTGGAATCTTGTTTAAACAAGAATGAGAATTTGGAATAGACATGGCAAGGCATCACGTAAGTAGGATTGAGCTTCTTTTGGTACTTAAACCTTTTGAACGATAACTTTTCTCTTAGCATCATAACTGAAGTTATGAGATTTGAAGATGGATTTTTGATAAAATTGTTGAACATTGAATATTCGAAGTTCCTTAGCTTTAACAATAAGATCCCTCTCTGGAATGGTAATTTCATCAAGATGAATATCGCCCTGAGATTTACCACGAAGAATAACCAATTGCTCGTGAACCAATTGTTTGAGCAGCATAAGAAGCAGCTCTTCTGGAGTCCTTTTGTAGGTTAAGTAACGTGAAAAGGTCTGATAGGAAGAAAATAAGAAAATAGTTAGATAAGTTTTCAGAAAGGGGCCTCTAGAAAGGTAACAGTAACATTTTGTATTGTAAAACAGATTTTCCTAATTCATTTTAAATAATATTACAACTTAATTGTATTAGCTTACTAAACGAAATCAAGGCAATTATTTAAATATAAAATGTTTCACTTACATGTCTCATTGATCTCATAACCGTGAATTTTTGTGTATCAACAAAAGATTCAAGTATGACACGTATGGCCATGTCAACATCGTCATTAGTCACGACATCTCTAAGATGCATTTTAGCGTGAGCTTCTGAACACCGGATAATTCCTTCAATATGACGAACAGTGATAGGAATGGAACCTGTGGCTAAAGATTCTCGACGTAACTCGGTATAAAGTCGAGAAATCCTTTCACGATCGATCTGATGCAATTTGGGATGAATCCTTTCACGGGCGTACATGATGTATTTTTTCAATAGATCTTGTGGAATTGGCTCAATTTCAGGATCTTCATAAACCTCTACCATGGTTTGATTAAGCTTAGATAATTCATCACCTGCCATATCTGGATGATGTTTGACATGGGAACGAACGACGAATTTCGCTAATCGTTCGTCTCCGTCTGGATCTGGTATATCTCTAACTACACAGATGATGTCGAATCGTGAAATAATAGGTTCAGTTAAATCGACATTTTGCGAAAATGGAGATGATGAATCATATCGCCCACCGATTGGATTAGCCGCTGCTATAACAGAACAACGAGCTGTAAGTGAAGCAACAATACCAGCTTTTGAAACAGAAATACTTTGCTGTTCCATAGCTTCGTGAATACTTGTTCTGTCTTTTTCACTCATCTGTAAATTAACAAAGCATACAATTAGAATAGTCAATTCGATGCAATAAATTATATCTACATACCTTGTCAAACTCGTCAATAAGGCAAACTCCCTTATCAGCGAGTACCAAAGCACCAGCCTCAAGACACCATTCTTGAGTAATAGGGCTTTTTTGGACAAATGCAGTTAAACCAACAGCAGAGGCACCCTGTCCTGTGGTAAAGACGGATCTTGGAGCGATTTTGGTCAAATATTTAAGGAACTGAGATTTAGCAGTACCGGGATCACCACAAACTAAAACATTAATGTCACCACGAACTCTATGTTTTTGGCCGGGATTTTTAGACTCGCCTCCAAACAAAGCTAAAGCTAAGGCTCTCTTAACATCTTTATGGCCATAGATTGATGGAGAAATTGAAGCGATGATTCTGTCAGAAAGTCGAAGATCTTCAGACAGTTTAATGATAGCTTTAGTATCTTCATCCGTCAGATTTCCAGAAAATGACCAATCATCACGTTTTAAAATATGATTGGCAACAATAACTGTTGAAAAAACAGGAAATCCATTTGCTATGTTGAGCGAGCCATCGTATGAATGGGTGTAAATTCCAGTGATATCAATTTCATCTCCAGGCCTACAAGTATCACAAAGATCACCTAACAGAATGACGTCCTCCGCACGAGGAATTCTACCAGCAGAAATCCGTCCAGGAGGCTCTTGAATAGTAATTCGTTGGTAGTTCTGATAGACTGTTTCTTGCATATTAACCGTAAAAGGTCCAAGACTCTGACATTCTGGACAAGAACCTGGCTTTAGTTCTTGATCTTGATTTTGGACAAATGGTCCAAGAATATAACCACATTTATTACAATCATATTTAACAACACGAAGTTGGGGTAAAACTGATGTTGAGGATGTAACAACACCATAAGTACGAATAAGTTGATTCAAATGACATTGACGTAAAGAACGAATATCTTCTGAAAGAGGTAAGTCAGAAATTCGAACTGCGATCTCGGAAACTATTCTTTCGTAAGCAGGAAAGATTGATAAAACAACTTCTTTGGCTGCAGCATTGAGAATTTCAAGTACTTCAAATGGAGCTTCGACGACAAGAAAAGCAAGATTTGATTCTTCTGAAGCCAGAACAGGGTACGCAACATCGAAACTTTGCTTGTTTTCTTCACACATTTGACGAATTATTTCTTTGAATACAATTCTGCCTTTTTCATCGCTGTGGGTTCTCAAAAAATTCTTGAATCTATGATGAATTTCTCGCCGGGTAATTTGAAGAGAAACGTGTTCACGGACAGTTAAACCACGAGTATCACCGATATTTTCAATAGATTCCATTGGCTCATCATCCATGAATTCATCCTTTAATTCAATAATACATAATACGAGTTAAAAAATGTCTCAATTGATAATTTTAGTAGATGAAAAACAAAAAAAGCCATTACTTACATCTTTTTCACTCAGGCCCTTTGCAGCCATCATTCGACGTTTTTTAACATCGGATATACGAAAGGTATCCGATTCAGAGCTAGCATCGAAAATTTCTAAACCTCTTCTCATGCGACCTGTACCACGAGCTTCAGCTCTATCTCTAGCTCTCATACCGGCCTCAGCTTGAATCCTGGCTGAAATCGAAAGCTCTGATACAGAACGATCATCAAGATCTTCAGCATCGTAGATGTCCAATTCAGGAATAGGTCTGTAATCTTGGGACATATTGTCCCCATACAAATCTTCTCCTTCTTCATCTTCTTCTTCTCGATCCATAGGGACATCATCTTGATCAACCCGACGTCTATTTGATACATTGACGACCTCTTCGGGAACGTCATCTTGAGCTATAAATAAAATATTTACAATAAAAATAAGAATGAATTAAGTTAAAATTATAATAATAAGATAACGATAAAAAAACCCAAACAAAGAAAAACAGACAAAGACAAAGTATAAGTAAAAGACAAGCAGATGCATCTCAAGACGATCAAAGTTCAAAAAACACTTACCATCAGAGTAATGGGAAGGAGGAGAAGATAAAGAGTCAGCTCCAATGATTTCATCGAAAACATCATCCGGTTCACTCATGGTAGAAACAGTTATTTAATAAAAGTTAATTACAAAAAAAAATAATTAAAAACAAATGAATAAAACAAATTTAAACTAAATGCAGATTTAAAACGCAAGGTAGACAAATATTACAAAAGGTCTTTTAAACAAGAGATAAAGAAACTGGCAAAAAGGCGCCAAACTAAATTCACGTTAATGCCATCTAGCGAAAGATAAAGTGAGCGCTGAATTGAAAGAATGAAAAATGTAACGTTATTTGATTATCTTAATCGTAATTATATTATAAACAAACAAAACATGACACTGAGTTTCGAAAGAACTGAATTTATAAAATCATCGAAAAATGAAAAACAGTTTCCATATAACATAGTTAATATCATCAGTAATTTAAGTCAACTAATTTGGTTGTACAAATCGGTGTGTGTTTCATTATGAACCAAAGCAATAACCACAAAAATATGGTGATGAAGCTTTTTATTAATAGCTGACGATGACAGTGTAAATAAATGAATTACCTTTAATTGTGAAGTCGTAAATTTCAATTATATCCTGTTCAACCAACAGAGGGAGATGGCTTCAATGGATAAAGATGATAAGGAAGATAGTTTACCATCTCATCATGGGACTGATCAATCTTGGTAGGTGGCTCTATCTGAGAAAGTAGCAAATTAAGACAAGTTATTCATTAAATTGAAGAAACAGGTTAACCATTCTAGTTAAAACAACTCCAAGTGCAATCGTTAACCAGTCCATAGGAGTAATTATCATTGATTAAAGCAAACCATCTCTTTGGTACACTATGTTACTCCAGGAGACGTTTGTGGACTTTTCCTAACCTTTTCTCGTTTTTTTACCACAACTTTAACTGTTTCAATTATTGAATTGTGTTCTAGGAATCAAAAGTATTGGATTAAGTTGCTGTTTCAAGCTCGGAGAACCATTGGAAAGAGTTAAAGGAAATTAAATATTTACTAAATTAACTATCAATTGTTAAATATGTCAGACTCAAGTGAAAACAAATCTACATTAGAAAGTCTTCTTACAGATGATCCATTGTCATCGTCTTTTTTTCATTACTCTAAAGGTGAGTTGATTTACTTCATCTAAACTACCTTTTTCAATTTCGATATTATATCTTAACTGAATTTTATGTTTAATCAACTGTTTAACTCCATAAATCTATAACTACAACAATTTACCTTTGACTCTATTCCTAATATCTTGAAAAATAACCTTTTTGTTGACTTGCTTGTTTTACTTTCAAGAGTTGAGCTTAAATTGTTACCAATGTATTTTCCTAGACCTTATTATCAGCTTTAATTACAATTAAATATTGATTGTTTCTCTCTTTTCTCTCCTAACGACTCCAGGCAAAAGACTTCAAGAAAAAATCTCAATAGCAGTTTGCTGTATTTTAATTACAATAAATGCCTATTACCTTTGGTCTTATTTTGTTTCTTCCCAATGGCTTTCAATTTTTTCATCAGCCAGTAAGTACAATTACAATTATTCAGCCAATTATTTAATTACTTTTTCCCAACTAACAACAAAGATTACCATGATGTATACATGATTACATATCATTGAAAGTGTATGAAAAAACCAGGGAAATTAACAAAACCAAGTCAAAGTTTCAATCATGTTGATAGAGCATTTTTATAGCTACACACACTGAATGAATTTATGAATGAATAACCTTAAACCATGATTATATCAATTTAGTGTTAATAGATTACACAATTTGTTTATTGAATAACATTGTAAATCCGGAATGAGATTGCAAGAGCAGAAACACACAAAATCTTAACCATTATAAGCCATAAAAAATACAAAAGTCCCGTCAATCTGAAACTAGAGTCAGTCTATTCAATAACAAACCAAATGTATTGAATATTACATAGAGTCAAAATTTAAAACAAACCATTCAAGTTAATATAAATCAATGGTAATTGAATACAAGGTTGATCAATTTATTGAAATGATTTCCCTTAATCACTATTATTAATATCTAGCCATTAAATAAATTTCATTACGAACAATAAATAATAAATCAATGTAAATTGAATACAAGGTTAATTTTACGAGGAAACTGGTCAATCAATTTGTTGAAATGATTTCCCTTAATCACTATTATTAATATCTAGCCATTAAATAAATTTCATTAAATGCTGCTAAATTATTTCTTACTCACATTAAACATGATTCAGGCCAAGGAATAAATAATCTATGAAGTAACAATATCAAGTGCATTTGAGTTCACATGAAAAAGCTAACAAATTGATTATTTTGTTTCATTTATTCATTTTGGTTTTCACGTTAATTCACTCATCAACAATATAACCACACCAATTAATGATAACACCAACCTTTAACAATAAACATCTTATTAATCCAACAATTTATGGTTAACAAGACTGTAATGGTGAAAGTTGCGTGTAAAGTAAAAATGGAAGTCAAGAAAAAGTGAAAAACCGTAACAAAAACTAAACACTTTTTTACCATTAAGCCAATTTGTTGTTGACTACTTACTATTAACCTAATTTTAGTCAGCCAGCCATTCACATGTAGCAGTTAATTATTGATTATTAAAATAATAAGTAACGATAAAATAGTTGTCAACCTTGAATGGTTAACCAACAATTGAAATACCCATTGACTTGCAATTTGCTAATTTTGACACTTCTTTTCATCTCAGTTTTAGGTATAATTTTCGCTGATTTCATTAGTGGCCTTGTCCATTGGTCAGCTGATACTTGGGGTTCAGTTGAACTGCCCATTGTTGGTAAAGCTTTTATAAGGCCATTTCGTGAACATCACATTGATCCAACCGCAATTTTACGCCACGATTTCATTGAAACAAACGGTGATAATTTCATGTCCATTATTCCAGCTTTAACCTATTTGGCAATTTATTTTAATATCAAGGAGGTGAAAACAATTGAGACAAATTACAATTTACTTTGTTTTATTTTTCTACTCTCAATATTTATCGCAACAACAAATCAGGTAGGAACTGTAACCATTTTAAAACCCAATCTCTTTCAATGGCAACCTCAACATTTTGTCAAATTTTCCTAAATGTTAGTAACCACAAGTTAGGAATCATCAAATTGGTAAATGAACATAAAATGATTATAAGACATTTTGAAGTTCAATTGAAATGGGTTCAATCCATAAGCCATGTCAATTGCCTGTCAACAATTTCATTTGTAAATGTATTTCCAATATGAACCCTTGTAAGTTTTGTATGTAATAAAATGGTTTACCAGACAATTTAATGACGATAATAATAGCAATAGTAATCATGATTATGATAAGGTGAAATAGGTTTGGGTTTATTAATAGTTGGAAAGCTGAAAATGTAAAAATAGCAAAGGTTGTTTCTCAATGAAAAGGGATAAAATGTCCAAAGATGAAGATGAAAATAGACAAAAAATGACTTCATTTTTCTTCTTCATCGTCTTTCATCTTCATAACTAAATCAAGAAAAGTGATGATGAAGATTAATGACTAGGATGATAAAGTTATAAAGAAAATGTTGGATGAATAAAATAATATTAGTTGATTAGAATTAGCGTTTCAAAGCTCTTTTAATAATGATAATAATAATGTAAACCTGGAATGTTTCTCATCTTTTCCAGGTAAAGGTGAAGATGATAGGCAAAGGGAGTAAACCCTCAAAATGAAATGATGATTAAATGACACACCCTTTAACCAGGTATGAATTAAGCTTGAAAAAAAACCTAAAACTAGACTGACCCAGTAAAGCGTAATGGTATATCGATCATAGACGGCAAGATTAAATGATTAGATGCATAAAGGGTACAATTTAAGATGATTAACAGGTTTAAAGTGAAATTTTAATTTTCCAATTTGAATATTTCTAATTACAATTGTCTCGGTTGTTGGTGTTTTTATTTCTGGTTAACCCAAAAAGTGCCATTAAGGTTCAACTCTTTACTTTACCTTTTTTTCCCTACCAATTGAATAACCTTTGCTTGTGATTTACTGGTTATCTTTGGTTTCATTTCAAGCTCAGTTCAGAAAGATTAGTCAACTGGTTTAAATTTCTTGATTATCTAATTATAACTCTGAATTTTGAAACTTCTGCTTTTTTCTGTCTCATGGTTGCCATTAATAATGGTTGGCTCATAATTTTTAGGTTACTGTAATTAGATTAGAGCAATTTAACCAGAATATTTTAACTAATTGAAAATATTGTTAGGTTTTAATGGATCTAGAAATTAATGAGAATTAAAATAATTAAGATTTTTCTAGGGTTAAATGTTATTGTTGGAGGAAAAGGAAAAAACCTTTTGTGTTGCTTTTCAATTGTCAATTGTTTTTCAACATTAACTGTAAGATGATTAATTATTCATTTTACCGCAATTAAAGTTAAGAATGACAAAGAAATATTGTTACACGCAATAATATTAAAGTCTATCCATTAACCATTTACGTTAATGATTAACAAGGCTTGATCAATCATCTCAACTTTGAATAATTAACCTGAGTTGAAATTTATTTAAATTTTCAAGGTATTCAATCAGGTTTTATTGTTTACAATAAAGTGATTGTTAAACACTAGATTTTATAATTCAATGGTTTCACTCATTTCATTTCATTATCAAATTTGGGTTGAAGGAAGACAGTTACTTGTAGAGTTGATTTACCAATGTTAATAAATAATGACAATCCACTGATGTTAAGATCCATGATTTGCGTGATTAACTAGTCTTAAACTATCAATTTGAAAGACAATTAATAGCATCTTCAAGTATCTTCATGTCAACAAATAACCAATCAAGACAATAAGTCAATTGTGAATGCTTGTGGAAATGTTAATCAACCACTAATCCAATAACACGAAAGAAACAGTTAAAAGGAAACTGTTCACCAATTCAGTTTTCCTTATATTCAAAGTATACATGGGATCGCATGGAAAAATCATCACTTGATAGTTATCCAATTAACGAGAAAGAGACTCGGAAAAATCATCTTATAGTTGAAATGAAACGATTGTTCTTGAAACCATTAACCATCAATTGACAGGCACTTTACAGAAGTGAAATTTAAGGCGAAAGCTGACCAAGATTGAATCAACAGTTAAGAATCTTAATTTCAATTGGATTCTTAGAAATTCAAATTTTTCCCATTTTCTCAAAACTCTTTAAATTGGCAAGTTTTAAAGACCAGTGTTGGAAGCCAAAAATGAGTTATAGTGAGAAAAATTATTAACATTAAGAGTGATGAACATTCTTAAAGGAGGAAAGATGCAGCCAAAATCAGGGACGTCAGGAAGATGGGAAAGAAATGGAGATGAAGATAGAATGAAATCTTGGATCTCTTCATCTTCTCACATATTTTGATTGATCATAGAGGCCAGTTTATCGTTTGTCTCCTTTCTCAAGCTTAATTCGATTCGTACCAAGTTAACTTGCGTATTTGTCAACTATTTTTAGTCCTCCCTCATCATCAAGATAAGAATCAGGATAGACTCTCAACAGAGATGTATTTTCATCATTGACTTTGTCATCATTCTCATCGCCTTCTTCTTTCCGTCATCATTATAATCATAATTATTCCACCTTGGACTTCTTTTTTGCTTATCCGTCCTTTCTCATTAATCCTTTGAAATGAATCCAACCAGTTAAATAGCTTGCATGTAATATTAAATGTTAATAATCCTGAGCTTTATTCCAATTCCTCTTTGATCATCGCTATTGTCCCACGTTTTTGCCAATGGAATGACACTTGAACTTGCTCCTTATTGTTCGGAAATCTTTTAATATTTGGTGTTACTTTAACCATTCTGGAATAACAAGAAAATTAGATGATAATTAGTGTTAATTTACAAGATAGTAAATCAGGTTGGGTGTAGAAATGTGAAAACGACTTGACAGTTATACAAATATATAAGTTGTAATGGCAAACATTAAACTGATATCAATAATACCATCATGAAAATTACTACCATGGTGCTAGAAAATGATGCAAAAAAGTATTTCCCTGAAACATTCAATGTTATCATGAAAACATTTTAGACTGGATAATATTTAGCCATGATTATTATGATTGTTTCTACGTCATTATCTTACTGACAATAAAATGTAACATATACGTACATCAGAGTATAATATTTCCCAATTGAGGTACAGTTAAATTAGAAAGATTCTTGGCAAACCATTTTGTTGACCAATAATAATAAATGAATATTGATCAGCTAGGTCAATATCGTGTGAACATGAATCGATTTTCCAGCCAATATAGTAAGGGATCAGGATCAAGTTTACAAACATTCATGGTTTGTCAAAAAACGTAAAATCTCAATCAAATATTTATATTCACAGTTAAACGGCGGATGAAGAAATCCTTATTGATGTAAAAGTTTCGTTTCCTTTTTTTCAACATTGACTTTCGTGAGTCTAGCGAGTTTCTCATCTTAACATTCACCAAAAAAATGAAATCAATCATCAATTTGTTACATAGCTTCATGATTATTTCGCACTTCTGAAGATTGATTAAACGAAGTTCCGTCATTATCAAGATGTGTATCTAATCCAGAATCATAGAGCCATATTTACATTTAGCTTGGTTACAAAAAACAAAGTCTTAATGAATTTACCACCATAAAAGACAGTACTCTACATGAAGGGTAAAAATATGAGAATAAATTGAAATATCGAAAAAGAAATGAGTCTCGTGAGGTGAATGAAAGAGTTTATGTGAATGAATTGTAATGTAATCAATTCATTGACTGATTTTTATGAAGTAAACATTGAAAAAGTAAATCGATACAACATAACCTAATCAAAATACTAGTTAGCTTTACCTTGGAGATGAATAATTATTTTTGCTTTTCAACTGCATCAGCTTTTCCGGTAACTTTTCTCCATGAAATTGAACGGTGACTGGTATTTCTAGAAATAGAAAGAAGAAAAAGAAGAGATAAAATTACAACGTTTGCCGAAAAAAAGAAAGGAAAAATTGTAAAAATAAATGTAATAGCAATCAGCATAGATTTATAGTAAAATTAGCCTTGAATTATTGAGGTGGGAACAGTATAACTATGAGAGCGCAAACAGATCGATTCCCTTTCATCATCATTTTACTGCGAAACATCAATGAAAAAAAAAATCAATCAGTTTATGAGTTAATAATCAAAAGTGTAATTTCATCAGACCTTGGGATAAGTTACCTAGGCAGAAGAGTGAAAGTAGTTTAAGCTGAAAAAAACGTTACTCTTTTGTGAAATGTTTTCACGATTTTTGATGCACTAGGATAATGATTATCAAACCAGGCCACGCGCGTTTACAATTTTGTCAATTGTTGATTATCAACAATAAAAGCAACACAACCTGCGTATATGTATAAGCGTGCCTTTAGAGGAAATCAAAACACCCGGAGTAAGAAGAGACTTTCTCCCTCGCAATCTTCATAAGCATCCGTTAAACAGGGTCAGGTCTCTATTTCAATATTGGGTAAATGAGAGATAAAGAGAGAGAAGAGAAACTAGAAAACGGTGAAAGAGTCCAACTTTTTCTCCCTCGAAGTTGATTTTCCTTTGATTATGATGATGATGAAAACCTTGTAATGAAAGTGAGGGAAAGATGAAAACAAAAATCACCTGCCTTTGATATTGAGCATCAATAAGAGCAAGATGATCAACAGTATCCAAAGCTATAAAGCTGACTTGACCCTCTACTCGTGGCTCCTTATCAAATGGTTCAAACAATGGAAACATACAGACTTATGATACCTGAAAGAGAAAGAGAGAGAGACAGTGTTAAAGTAGAGGTAAAAATGAAGAGAAAGAGAAACATAGAAGCAGATTTAACTGGGTCTTTCGTCTTACCACGTTTGTATAGTTTTGGCAATTACTTGACATTTGAATAAATGTATTTTCTCAACTGACATTTGGCTCGTGTTGCCTTTTACGTTTATAGTTGAAGGATCATTTTTAACGGCTACAATAATATGGATGCACATAATGAATGATCAACAGGAAGATGTGAGGGCGAGCTGGATCAAGTTAGACAGTACCAAGTTGAATACACTTAAGCAGTTAACACAGTAGGCTTCTCGGCTAGATACTAGATGGTATAAATTTATATCTCCCTCTCTTTTAAATTGTCCTAAGTATTAGTGGTTGTTGAAAAAAAATGTAAAATAACAATTGTGATCTTTATGTTAATCCAGAAAGAAGAGTCCATCAGTTTTTTACAGCCTACCGTTTGCTTGATTAGTGTTATGTTGTACATGTCAATGCTTTATCAGTGACAATCAGGTTTACTGGGATGGTGATAGACAAAGTTGATAATTTTTTGGTTTCCAGTTAAAAAATTATGCTTTTCCATTTTACATCTTGTCGTGGTTTTTTATTGAAGATATTGTCTTTATTTTGCTGTCAAAAACCAAATGGTTGTGGCAATGTTTATTGTCTTTGAGACCAAGAAAACTTATTAAATCCCATGTAGAACACCTTCAATAGGATTAAGAACTTAGCCGGCCTCAAACAGCTTGAAAATTTACGTGTCCAGCCATCAACCAGAAGATATATATCAGATGGTATTACAATGTTTTAATAGCTGTGTAAGCTTACGATTTACACCACGTTTTAAACCAAAAGGTTATCCTGAGGTTGACATTGAAAGAGATTATGGGAAAAAGATGACAAAAATACTAATTAATTATTTATGCAAACAGATTCACAAATGGTCTCACACATATTTTGGATTACCACGAGTTGTGGTTTTTTTACAAAATATTCACCTTATTTTGCCTCGTAAACACCATCGAACACATCATGTTTCACCACATGAATCATGTTACTGTATAACAACTGGTTGGCTTAATTATCCACTTGATTTGATACGTTTCTGGTACTGGTTGGAATTAACAATATCATGGTTAACCGGGCAAAAACCAAGAGAAGATGACTTTAGATGGGCGCGTAAAGTGAATAGTAAATTAAAATGAGACGCAAAAAAAACACTTATCATGGCGTAGTAACAATCAATTTGGATGAAACTGTTTGATTAACACAACAATTAACAACAATGATTGAAATACTGTGTATATAATTAACAATGGATTATATAATCAGAAAGGAAAGCAACAAAAGCTATTTGAGAAGACAAACAAAGCATAAACTGATGACTAAACATTAAAGCATGTTTCTTCAGGAGAGAGTTAATTTTCTGTAACTTGAAGATGGTAGCGCAAAAAACAAATCGTAATCATTCCAAGGTTCCAATTAAAGGGAAAAAGGAAACTCATTTCTTTCCCATGAAAAGTTAATCATCAACCTCAGCTGAACTGGTTGAATAAAAAAAGCAAAAAAGGACAGATTGAAGCAAATTAATGGACAAGTTGATGAAAACAAAAAGACAATCAAATGTATTGTTAACCATTTTTTGTCACTTTTTTGTAAAGAAACAAATTAACACTGTTAAGTCGATCGAGATTAAAAATATAATTGTTCACAAGTTAAATTTTAAAGTTCATATGAATTAGGTTGAGTTCAATCAAATCAACTGGAAATATAAATAAAAACAAAATTCGTAATTGAGATTTGTGGATACAGAATGTCGCCAAATATGACCAGTTGATCTTTTCCGTTTTTTGTTATCGTTCCATGAATGCCAATGAATCAAAGACAATTAGCCAAGTCAGCTGTGAATAAATCAAATACTCTTGAGCAATGAAAGATGATTGATTAGATTCACATGTAATTTGATTTATTGTTTTTCTAATTTATTATTTTACCACGTAATTAATAAGTGCAACAACTGATTGTCAATAATTTTATCTTTTAATTAGGATTGTTTGTTTTTTGTTTGACAGTTGATATATTTATAAATTTACTACATTTGAATTATCTCACTTTGTTGTAGGTTTCATTTCATTATGATTGCAATTTACATTAAGTTGATCTTTTTTTGGATTAACAAAGACTAGAATTCGTCCAACATAAGGATCAATATGGATAGACATTAAATTCAATAATCATAAGAATGATGATAATACATGAATAGTTCTTATAGTTACAATATATGCAAGTAAATTGTTTTACTTTTTGGTTCTTTCAAATTGAATTGGATTTTTTGTTTGAGTTGGTAACAATTGATTTTAAAGTTAGTTATCATTCAATAATAATATATTAAAATTTCTTTGTTTTAAAATACTCTGAATTGATAGAAATTTTAAGTTATTAACAGAAATCAAGGATTCCACCCAATTCTCAGTTCTTATGAGATAAGTTTGGGTAAGAAAATGTTTAGGCAAAGGTTTGTTTCTCCCTGTAAGTTAATACTGAAGGCATGGGCAATCTTTTGATTTTAATAGAATTTAAATAAAATTTTTTCTCTCATTTAAGTCAGTTTTTTGAATGGAAAAAAAATTCTGAGAATAATAATGAAAGGGAAAGTTTGGTAAGATAATATTAGATTTTGCTTTCTGATTTAAATTGATCTTCCTCTATAATCAAGCTGACTGAGATGGATCATCCACTTGACATCTCCTAATCGATTAAAGGGCAGAAATTCATGTTTTGTCGAGATAAAATAATAAAAAGCATATACTGTATTTATCACATCTTTTAAGGCTAACAAAATGGACTATCATAGTTAGCCTTAATAAAAGGTATTTGGAAGTAAAAATAATGGAATCTTGAACATTAAATTATATTGATAACAATATTGCAAGTTACCGACAAATTGATATCGCTTAGGCTCAAAGATGTCTTGGGTAAACGACGAGGAGTTGACATTTAACCGTGAGCTAAGAAGTTAAGTTGCTTGCTTTTCATTTTTGGTAAATTTGTTTGGTAAATCTGGACACCGTCCATACAGAAGATATAGCCGGGACCATTTGGTTTTTTGATTTTGAGTTTGCTTTGGCTTGGGAATGAAGATAACTTCTTTTGGTGAATTAGCACAAGGTGCGAGAATTTAACATGCTGTTTAATGAGCACAGCAAAGAAAATAATTAATTTGTTCATCTAACAAACTTGAGTCTATGTTTTATCATCGAGTGTTCAGGTAATGAAAGAATCCACTTCCTTAAACTGGTCAAAAAGATGCACAAAACTACCAAAAAGGCACCACTGACGGACCAAAAATCAGGGGTCTGATTGAAGAACCATATTTGCCACACAAATGCTAAGACAATATCAGTCGCTGATCTGACTATTGCCACAGGGCCAGCTTGTTCCATTTGGAGTGATTTGGTTAATAATATTTGGCCTAAGAAGCTGAATAGCATGAGGAAGATTATGAGAATCCATTCCTCTGAACTTGAAGGAATTGAGAAACCATCAAGAATTGTGGTTATAAGGGCAGTTTCAAATATTGCAACCATCCCGAAATTGAACATGATTACCGAATAATGCGTTGCTTTAACTCTGCGTAAAATAATATAAACGGAAGCAGCAAAGAATGTTGAACTTAAGCCAGCGAGGACTCCTCTGAGATAGCTTGCTTCAGAAAAGTTGAACCCAGGTTGCTGTCCATGACTATTGAAAATTGTTTGATTTGAGACTTGATGATTGATGTCAGGTACATAAGAACTATTCGGCATCTTGTTCAATATGTGATTGAAAACAGCACCTTCTTCTTCGACTAAAATTGGGAGTCGTACAGTTAAACAAAGTCCAATCATGGTTAAGGTGACAATGAAAGTTTGGAATAACCCACAAGGCTCCTGCATGTTAAAAAAGAGAGACGTTAGAAAAAAGTATGAATATGTGTTACCAAAATTTGCAAAAAAATTAACAATAAGGAAATATAATGAGGATCGATTAAAAAAGAAAAAGTGACCCGAATTGTTGTCAGGTGAGATTATAAAAAAAAGAAGCATAAAAAATATAATAATTTTAAGAATGTTTAAACTTACATTAAGACATACGCAAGCAAAAATCGTAACAACAACAGGGACCGTAAAGATGATAACAGAAGCATCGACAAATGGTAGGTCACGGAAGGCGCAAAAGCGAAGGAAAAGACTAGTAGAACCAGCAATACCTCGGAATACCAGGAATAATCTTAAATCTGATGGCCCTAAGAAGTTTTCTTCGTGATAAAACACAAGGGGAACGGAGAGAATGAAAATACCTATGAAACGAAATAATGCCAACTCGCCCGGATGAATATTCTGTAAAGAAGAGATAGCAAAATTTAGGTGCAAAGGAAATGATGAATGTAGATAAGTAAATAAACCAACAAAGTTTATCAGTTTATCAGTTGAGAGCAGCAAAAATATGTTTCACGTCTTTAATGTTAAAGCTACAGTAATATGTGCTTTGTTAGCATACAACTGCTAATATAATTGAATTATAAGCATTGCCAACACAGTTAGAAACAATTAGCAGCTTGTTATTGGAATAATTATTCAATTCCTTTTTTGGTGCAAAATGGAAAGAAACTAATGACCTTACCTTGAGATACTTGACAATCGCTGAAGACATGGAAAAGAATATACTGGACAAGGCTGAGAAAACGATTCCTTTATAAATATTTAACTTAGGACTTGTTGGTAAGGTTGAACCCTTCTCGTCATCATACCGATCATTTTTATGTAGCCGACTGGTCTCAGATTCATCGAATAATACATCTTCATCATCAGAAGGATTTGAGCTTAAAATGGCCATCTTACTATCACCAAGAGAAACCTTAGATATGAATGGATCATCCAATATGGTTCCTTTATTGTTTTTATCCCACTTGAGACGCATTATGATAAACTGAAACTTGATCACACAAGTGAAAAAAAGGTCTGAGAAAAACAATTATCCAATTATTAAAACACTAAACAAGACTAGACAGGCCAGAGTAAAACAAAACCTTCCAAATCGTATTTCAATCAATCGCATTAACAGTATGTTGAAACCAGATCACATGATCAACATCACTTGTATTAGTTAAACAAAAATAGTATAGATGGCGTGGTGTTTTTTAAATGTCAAACGCAATGCGATCTTAATGTGATGTTAATTTAATGGATAATATTTAATAATAATTAATTATTTACTCAATTTATGTTCCATTAAACAACTGTTATTGGTGAAGTAATCATTCCCACAAGTATTGTCACAATGATTTTTGCCAGTTAGTGCTGTAAATTAACCATCAAACGAATTGCATAATCACGATTATGATCGTGATGATCCTTATGTTACTCAGCTTTGATCACTAAATTAACATTAATTGTCTATTCTTTTTTTTCTTTGGGAAACAGATTTTGTTGCCATAGATGATGACTTAATGAACAATCAGTGGTAAGATTTAATGTTAATGTCAACCTTTGAAACCAATACCCAACAAATGGATTTCATCTCATATCAAACCCTTGATTTATCAAAAAGACAAACAACTTTAGTCACTCAGCTCAAGAGTTGTCTTATTTGATCATTTGAATATGAAAACCCATTTATTTGATTCACTGACTTATTTTAGCTGAAATTTGATAATCTCTTTGATCAAATAACTTCCCATTTTTTGTCCAAATAACATAATCAATTTGCAAGAAGTGTTTCAAGTTGGTTAGATTAAGCTAAAGCTGTTAGCTTGTTTACATGTGAGTGAACATTAATGTTGACTTTTTTTGATAAACCTATAACTCATTTTTCAACATCTATGTAAAAATTTGATAATCATGATTAAGATGGTGTATTTAATTATGGAAAATTTTTCTTTTCAACAGGACTTTATCAAGCATTTGCTTTATGGTTATCTATTGTATCAGGATTCAATGGCAAAGTCAACTTGTATCCATAAACAAAGATCTCGTAATTATGGATCACTTGCTCACGTTGATATAATAATTATAAAGGTCGAGGTAAAAGGTGCAATGAAGTCTGGACAATGGAATAGATGACCAAAAAAGAATCAATGAGGAATCTTGAACATTGGAGTGTTTGGTTTAAAATTGAACATCGGCAGTAAAAGAAAGCCATTGACCTGCTCAATGGTTTCACCTGTCCCTTGAAAATCTTAAAGATTGGCGAAGAAAATAGTTCGTATAAGGGTCAGTCTTCAGGTTCGTTTTAAAAGTCTTTTTCATTCTTTTCTTCTTACAGCTTATTTCTTCCTTCCTTCCTTTCTTACTTCCTATCAATCTCCTTCCTTCCGATCCTCCTTTTTTTATCTTAAACGTCTAAGCAAACTTTTTTACCCTCTTATTTTTTGTATTTTTTGCCTCTTTAGTTTCCAATTTCATTAAATACATAGTGATTTGGTTGGCTCCAACAGCGGTCAATACGGATAACCACAACATCATCGGAAGAAAATGTCCATTCAAAGAGGGAAGATAAGCAAAGGGAGAAGTACAAAGATGAAGAAAAGTCAAAGAGTTTCTTAAACAAGTGGAAATATTCTCAATGTTTCGTCTGGTCGTCGGCTAACTTATTGTAAGGTGGAATATAAGAAAAGAGCAAAACTAAAGATCACATTTTCAACTACTTTTAAGGTAAGAAAAGGTTAGCCTTTCTTACTACTCATAAGGATTGAGTTACCAAGAAAAGGTGTGTTTCAAGGCAAAAAAAGTCTAGAAAAGAATAAGAAGAAGAAGTAAAAACAGACTGACCAAAGCAAGAGTTACCTGTTTCTTTGGGCAAAAAAGTAATAGTTAAATGTTTTCTTCTTTTTTAGTTAACAATTTAAGCTAAATTTTAAAGTTCTTTTTTCCAAAGAATTCTAAGATTAAACTTTGACATTAACAACAAGTGATTATGATTACCTTTCTTCTTATTTATTTCATTCTTATTTTCTATTGACCCCGCACAGGTTGCTGTACCATTATTATTTTATTATCATGGTTATACTTTGGTTTTTGGCGAGTGAAAAAAGACTGTTGCAGTTTCAAAATCCGATAAACAAATGGTTAAATTTTACCTGTTTTTATTGTTTATATTAATACATAATACATTGAGATTTTTTTGCCGGACAACTCCAAGCACAGGACTTCTTCAGCTCCAAATCTGCAGAAAGAAAACTTATGAACTTGTAAAACTCGCACATTTCCTTGATTCCTGTGGTCAAAGATTTTTATAACTTTGCTAGTTATTTAGAGACAAAAAAAGTCCTCACCATGAGTTCAACTTTACATTCCATCAAATTTGTTGGCTATTGCTGTCCTTTTTTAACCTCAGTCCAGTTTTAACCTGGATACTTCAGCATCCATTCTCTGGATATCTCAATGCTCCTTCACTATCCACCACCCAACCGCCCATTGGATGAACAAAGAGCCAAGACTTGAAGTCCAAAGAAATTCACAGTAGTTGGCCTTAAATTTTTTTACCTTACCGTCTCAATGCTTTTCAAAAGGCAAAAAGAAAGCTGAAAGACTCAAAAACACTTCTAATTCACCTAACCTCATAGAGTGATCTATGAAAATTGTCAAAATGAACAGGTTAACCTTTCACATTGACCATTCAAAATAATAATATCAACTCAAGAACTTCCCAATCAAAATCATACAGAAGTAAAAACAAAAATGTAGACCTGTAAACTTGTCTATTATTTTTACCTGCATTGCCAACAGTTGTTGAATAACCTTGACTAAAACATGTTTTTTTACCTTTCTCTTCCCAATCTTTTAGAGGATCCATCAAAAAGAAACGTTACAAAGCCATCAAAAGGCCAAATGAAGACCCATGGTATCTCATCAATTTGAGGAATCTTGTTCTAGAAGGCAAAATAAATGAATAAAGAAACTCTTCAACTGATACTTGATTCAATATAGAAACAAGTAACCACCTTCAATCACTATAAAATCATTCTCATTGGACGATCCACTTCATGGGAGGAAAAGGTTCCCCTTTGTTCATGCGTTTCCCCTGATAATTCAATTCAGATTGACTGACAAATCAAAGCTGATGAAGTGTATAGAGTAAATGTGATGTATCAATATTTCATTGATCAAACTAAGGAAAAGCAAACAAATTTTAAAGGCTTACTCTGCGGTTTTCAAGAGTCCAGGAGTCATTTCATTTATACTCGAATAGTCAAGTATTTGTTCATTCCTGATTTTTGAGCTGAATTAATTTCCAACGGTGGCTTCTTATCCTGGTGAAAAGTCAATTACAAATCTATCAAGACTTGTTATCGTCAGTTTGAATGACATTATTATACAAACTAAATAACATGTTTATGCTAAATCAACGTTTAAATAGCAGGTCAAACGTTTTTCATTGTCTGTTATTGACTGTGAAAGAAACAAACAAAAAAAAAGAAACACTGAAAGATGTTTTGATGAGTGTCTCAATTTTCAGTTGAAATTGAGGTAAACGATCATACTATTTAAGTTAATCATTTGATTTCGTGATTTGAAATGGAATGGTCATCATACTAACAGATCCATTATCAATAGATATAAGTAAAAAGTCAATTTTGACCAGTGAAAAGAAAACAATTTACAAACGTGAATCTTAACAAAAAAAAGAGAGCAAAAAGTATAAAAATGAATGATCTACTGAGAAAAAAAGAAGTAAACGAAAAAACATTTTCTTTTACACTTATATCTATTTATTTATTATTAAAATATTGTAATGCACAATAGCTTCTATTATTACAGATTGAAATGTTATTCAATTTTTCCTATCAACATCTTCATTACCACAATTGACTGACAACAAACAAAATCAACACTAAAAAGTATCAAAGTACAGCAGTGATCAGACTTGAGTTAATTTTAGGTGTCGAGCATATTCAGTCTGTAGAGATGAGAAACCAATGAAATAGAAAACTGGACAAGTTCGATCTTATTGGTACTTCTATCGTTTCATCCAGTCATAGACCATGAAATAAACTACGATTTCGTTGACTTCCGAGCAAGTAATACTCAAGCTTTCATAATCAATTAACTTCACAATTCTCGAAGGAAAAAATGACTACTCTAATAATGAACATTCACCTTGCCTTATTTGTATCTGTAGATTAATGACCATGATGATGTTAATAATAATCGTGATGTTATCAGTATGGCAAATGAAAGGAACCAAGGAAAAGCCAAAAACATAGGTAACATTTACCTTTGGTAACCGGAAATAATCCCATAAGGAGTATTCTCACGTAAGTTAACCTTTATTCCGAAGTACTTTTCCTTCCCTTTACTGGTACTTCTTCATCTTCTCATTATTTTTAGCCAAAAAAATATATTTACTCTTCTCTTTTCTCTGTCCTTTCTCAGATAATCAAGCCTTCAAATATGATTACGAACGATTAATTTTCAACAAACTATCAACAACAACAATCAAAAGGGAGAAGGCAAGAAAAACCAAGTTGATACCAACAGCAAAAAAAACATTGCAATGAACAAATAAAAAGGCAACAAAAAAAGGATGACATTTCATTTGAAATATGATTTACTTGCAATACAACAAAAACTCAACACAATCAACACCTAATTGGATTTTTTAGACATTTTGTTGCTTCCAGAATCCTAAATGTCTCTCAAGAACGTCTAAGAAAATTGATATCACCAACTAATCATTGATTAAGACATGGAGGGTGAGATAAAAAATGACTGTCAAATCATTAGCTGCTCGCAAAAAAAGTGAAAGGACCGAGAAGCTGAAATTGCAAGGCAATGGTTGGGTAAATGTAAAAAAGGCCCAAAAAAATTGAAGATAAATTTGCTTTGATTGTGTTGATGAAGTACAAAGGAAAGTGATGAGGAAGGAATGAATAAATTCCAGTAGTAAGTGAACAAAAAAATACCAACTAATCAACGGAAAAGTCGATTAATGGTTAACAAATGATCTTCCATAGAGTACATTAAGGATTGGTTTCCATCAATAGACTTGAACACCCTCAATGGCATTCCCTGTGTTAATTTATACTCTTTTTTACATTGGTTTATCAGTAATTTCCGTTTGATGACATTATTATTATTACATTATTACTACATTATTATATTATTTGTATTTATTGGACTTTATTAAGGTTTGATTGTTTGTTACTATTAGTAGTTACAGTGGAAAGGGATAAAAAAAGTCCAAAGGAAGCGAGTCCAAAAAATCGAGGTTAGGCCATGAAGGTTAGTTTATCTTTTAAACCGGAACAAAATGATTTTCACCTCATCTTTCTTTCCGAGGTCAGTTTTTCTCACTCCGCTATCCGTTTGTCAACTATAATCTGTAATACACACACAAATCCAATCATCATCATCTTCTTGATCAGTCTTGTTCAAGGCAGCAATTTCATACTGATCATTAAGCCTTACAGGAGCGAACGGAAATTAGCTTCACTCTTTACTTAATAGTAACTAAGATATCAATTGACAATTGAATTTATTTAGTTAACAAACTAAGTTTGATTAACTTTTTTATTTTTACCTTTTATATCTTTTATTTGTTGTTTTTTTTGTCTCTCCCTTTGACAAAAAGAGTAACACATTGACATTTATCAAACAAAAGTAATGGTCAGCCTTTGATAATTTTTTCATTTCGTTTTATTTATACTATTATTTACTTTTATTACATTGTAAAGTTAATCTTAATCATGTTGATGTTAATCTACCGAATCGAGTTGACCTTTTTTATTCCACTGCCTTTGGACAAACACAGGAATCATGTTGATAAAAATCGGGTCAACAGTTGATTCTCAATGAAAGGCAAGACTTCAAGAAGGTAAGATAATCACATTAATGCACAAATTACAAGAAAAGTCAAAAGTGTACAATAATATTCCTAATATAATGCTTTATAATGATACAAAGACAACAAAAAAAAACAAATTGCCTGAGGGTGAGAGAGAGAGAGAGATTGAAATATTCAGAAGTAAATGAATGGACAATGGTCAAGAGGCAACTAAAAAGCGCATCAAGTCCATTAATCCATAAAAATTTTGTTCCAACCATAAAAATAGTAGACATTTGATTGTAACAGAGGATGAAAGGAAACCATTCTAGGTCAAAAAGTGAATCAGAACAATCAACATGCTAATTAATATATTATATGATAGCAATGAAAGTCTCCAAGAATTTCACATCCAAGCTTTCATTTGTATTTTTTATCACTTATCAGCCACTAATTCATCATCCTGTAATCCTGAGTAATTTTGTTTCATCAGATTGTTTCTTGCTGTCCAACTGGAGAAAAAAGCAGATCCAAAACAATTACTTGTCTAACAGCATAAAAATGTTGCCATTGTGTTGATCATTTTCACTCCTAATCAGATTGGGACAAAGCTAATTAAGTCAGTCCGGTTTCTTGGGTAACAAAATGCCATTTAATTAGTCTGGTCCTAAAAAAACAAGAAGAAAAAAATATATTATCATCATTATCGGAGTAAAGATGTTAAATAGGAAAGCGGAAAAATAAATATATCAAGAAATGTATCATTATTTCTTGTTATCCTCACAAAAGTTGTTTACTTGTTTGCTTGATGAAAGTGTCTTGATTAACGGAATTAGTTGGATTCTTGCAGAGTTGAAATTCTGTTAACCTGACTACTAATTGTTGCTAAAAAATTCGTGATTAGTCCAATGGTAATAGTAATTGTTTACAAATTAAAGATTCCAAACTGAGAGAGAAAAATAATAGATTATCATTAATACATTAATACGATAGAAACAGTTCAGGTAAGTAATGTTAACATGGTGTCTGTTAAGGTGATAAATCATTGAAAGAAAGCGTTGGTGACAATCATTTAGATCACACCATCTCTATCTTAGCCTTAAGATATACCTTATTCATCCTCATCTTCATCTTAGCCTTTCACCTTTGCAAGTGACCTTTCCTTCTCCGTGACTTGTATCGATTTTGTGTGTTAATAATATCTTGAACTATAACATCGCTTGACCAGAGGTAACTTGTTCTTCTTGTCTGTAGATTATTAGCCAAAAACACACCTTGCCATGTTGCTAGTTTTTCTTGTTACTTGAAATGATTAAAAATTGTTCCTTCACGCAGTTGGCTTTACAATCTATCATTGAGTCCATCGAAAAGAGAAATATATTTCCAATCATAAATAACAATTCCATTGAGATTAATTGCAAATATGACGATTGAAACTTTGCTCAAACCAATTCCATCTAAATTGAATGTCCACAACATAATCACCGTCCAGTTATGTGTTGTAAAAGCAAACAGGTTTTTTTATGAGAAGAAATAGTTTTCCATTGTTGATTCAGCAGAGATTCAATAAAAATGATGATTAATAGCAGCAAATTAACCAGGAATTGATATAAATTGTCGACCTTTGATTTAAACTGCGAAAAAATGCAAAAATGTTTCATTAAAATCCATGATTTAAATTCAGTAATAGCTTAAGTTTAGGTAGGCTTCAAAGTGGAATTTTATAAAAAAACAATCTAACAATTGAACAATTATTTGATCAATTGAATACTTTGATAACTTGCTGTCCAGTTTATCATAATTAATACATATTATCTTTGAAATGATTGCGTGTCAACCAGCATTTATCTCTAAGGGAAATCAGTCTTTTCCTTTTCAAACTCAATCAGTGAAGGTTGAAAATGATGAACATAATAACAAAACACATCATGATTATCAAAGATAACTTTGAATTATTGTTCAACTCTGTTGTATTCATTTTGTAATTAAATAATATTCACAATAAATCTCAAGAACATGATAAAGAGGAAAAAGTAAATTTCATTCATTGAAGAAAAATTAATAAATTTTTCAATGAAGATTATATAATAGAAGCTTTAAATTCTCTGACCTTAAATATAATTTTTTGTTTGTATGCTGATACGTTCATTAATGATAAAAATAAACTTTTACTTTGAACATCACCTGAAGGGTGTATTAAACAGGAAATTGTTGCCTTCGTGATTAATATTTCCATCAACATTAACATCGTTAATAATATTAATTGAAGACAATTAGTTATACTCATTTTAAGTTGACAATAAGGTTGGATCAACATCCTTTTTTTGTCATCACAAGTAACAGGTTATCAACATTACCTCTATGCTAGATAGACACATTAACATAACAAATAACGATGTGTTAATGATTTTGTCTCTATTAGCGGTAATTAAAGTCGTTTAGGGATGCAAAATGGTCTACCAATCTATTAATTAGTAAAGAAATTAAAGAAACATAAAGATTAAGAAGGAGAAAGATGAGAAAGAAGAGCAGAAATAGGCGAAAGGTTAAGAAAAAAGATATTAACATGGCTTTCAAAAGATTGACAGCCGGAAAGATTGAGTTTGATGGGCAACAATTATAATGTTACAATTCCCGTTACTAATCTTTATCTAATCACATCTTCTTCTTCATCTTTCTAACCATCTTCACCTTTTTCTTATCATCTTCTTACCTTGTCATTCACGGTTCTTTGATTTTAAACATAAAACTGTATTTACTTACAACTGTAAACAGTAAGAATGGCTTCTTCGTTCTTCCTATCCGATCTTCCTTGGCATAAAACTGTTTCAATGAATCTTTTTTCCTTTATCTTCTGTCAATAACATTTACTAATCCTTTTACTTGATTAATTTGACAAGTAGCATGAGCTGTTAATCAATTAAACAATTACAATTGGCTTTACAATTGATTTAACACAATAAAAATAAAATAAACATCGTAAGTTGATCAAACAAAGGGAAAGGGTAATTCATGATGAACCTTGACACAGCACATTTTTATAAAGGCGCATAATTTGAAATTTCATGAAAATGTGATTTTTCTTCGTTAATTAAATCTGAACCTCTGAATCCCACGGTTGTAAGACATGATTACGATGTTTTTAAGGAAATAGTTTTTTTTGGAACAAATTTCAAGGGAAAAACAGAAAGTTTGAAGTTTAAAGCCCAGATCCTCTTGTTATCATCATATTATTATTATTAGAGCAGTGGTCATCTTGAAGATTATGTAGCAAGGTAACGAAGAGGATAAAGAAGTAGAGGCTAGAAAGAAAATAAATAAATAAAACAACGCTAACCTTAAACTGGCCAAGAAAAAGGTCACTGGGCGTTAATATTGGAAAACATATCTTAGAATAGATTTTTCAGGTTAAAGCATCAAGAAAAAACACTCAGACACTTAATCAACGCTCTTCTTGTTCATCTTATTTTTGACTTTGCTCAACTAATGGAAGCATGAATTGTTGATCAACATTGGGCACAAAAATGTAATAGGTAAGTTAACGCCAAAAGGAGATGAAAATGCCTTAGGTGAAGATATGTGAATATGAGGTAAAGAGACAAGACACTGAGAAGAAAGTTGTAAGAAGATGATGATGAGGAAAAGTTGATGAAGAACAAGTAAAAGATAATTGGTTGTATCAACTTTAAGTGGCATAATAGTCCATTTTAGTAACAGATATTAACGATCAATTATAACGGATCGCACTTGTTTCTCACTGATAAATATTCGGGTTCATCTTAATCTTGATTATCATCCTTGTTTTCACCCTTGGGTGCAGCAACGGAATACTTGTTAAAATTGGATCTTAATTTGTCTCTTGATATTAACACTTGGTGTCTCCCAATGTCGTCTACATTGGCTGGTTTTTGGTTGTTTTTTAACCAGAAAATTACATTATAATCAAGTTTAGTTCCATTGTCTTCATCAATTGTCTCAATTTTTGCCTTGTTTTTATATCTTTTATTGAAATAAGGTGAGTAACAATTCAAGTATTTCAGAAAATGGAATAATTTACGAAAACAATGAACTATTTTAACTTAATCTGGACGCAAACAATAAAAGCTATTGATGCAAGTCATGTAATATTTCCTATTCATTCACATTAAGTTTGCCATAAAATGTGAATTTAAAAGTTGATCTTTATTTAATTAACCATCAATTTGTGATTTATTTGAAACAATGTAGGATAGTAATGAACGGCATGGCAAATGTAGCAACATGTTTACGGGAAAAACAACAGCAGCATCTAAAGGGAATACCAAGTTAACCAAGTAAAAGGTAAATCAAGAGGATTGCAGCCGCTAAAGATGAAAGGCCTGATATGAAATAATACCCATAGTTAAAGCTAATGAATCAATACCAGTTGAACCAGCATAATTAATTTGAACGCCTAAATGGTTAATGGTAAACCTTGATGTATATGTATACCTACCTACCTAACCGTACCGATCAACATAAATATGGATCAATATAAATGGCAGATCAATCTTGGAGTATATACTAAAACAACAACATGATCATCAACAACCTTGATCAAGGTAGTAATACAGCAACAAATTGCAGCTGGAAAGCAAAAAAGTTATCGTTATTAGTTTAAAAAGCGGGTTTCGAGGCACGAGCCAAATGTCAGTTAGCAATATAATATTTATTCAAATGTCAATAGTTACATACATATACAAAGTGAGAGTAAATCTGCTTTTCTCTATCATCATCATCATTCTCCTTCTTTCAGGTCAGGTATCATAAGTCTCTCTCTCTCTCTTTCTCATTTTATCTTTTTCTCTTTCAGTTACTCACTCTCGTCTCTGTGTTTGTCTATTGTTTGAACCATTTGATAAGGAACCAGGAGAATCAAGAGGTCGAGAGGTAAACCTAGGAGAGTGAGAGGGTCAGGTCACCTTTATTGCTCGTGTGGATGCTCAACACCGTCAAGCAAGCTTATATCCAAAGGCAGGTGATTTTGTATTTCTACAAACACTTCCCCTCACTTTCATTACAAGGTTTTCATCATCACCATCTACATCTACATCATCATCATCAAAAGGAGATCAATTCGAGGGGAGAGAAAAGGCTGTTTCTCTGGTTGAGCCTGTTTAACGGATGCTTATGAAAATTGCGAGGGAGAGTAAGTCCCTTCTTGTACCGGGTGTTATTATTTCCTCTGAAGGCACGCTTATACGCTATTCGCACGCAGGTTGTCTTACTCTCTCACCATCTCTGTGTCTTTTCTCGTTCTCTCTCTCTCACACACACAGACATCTTTTATTACCAGCACCATCAACAATAACAACATTAACAATTGACAATTGTAGATTGTGGCGCGTGCAATTGTACTTCACAATTTAATACATTATCACTAAAACCAATGTATTTTCATTCGTTTGACTATTAATTCATCCAATTTTAACATTTCTCTTATTTTCAATTGTCAGTATTTTTCGACCTTCTTCGATTTCTTTACCATACAAGTATTAGAACTGGCTATTGTTACCCATTTTTATCAAGAGCACTTTATTACCCTTTTTTCAGTAAAATCATTATACCATGCTAATAATTATGTATTTAGTTCAGTATCGGCAATTTTTCAGCAATTGATTTTTTTTGCTTAACAAGATTGTAATCAAATATGGTTAATATTTGTGATTCAATTCAGGTTTATATTCGGCGCTTCAATTTCCCTTTCAAGCTATTGGCAGTTAATTATTTTTACGTTTCCGCTTTTAGCTTTCTTTAATGAAGCTTCAAATTCAACACGATTTTTTAAGGCTTTTTTTGTTTTCCTTGTTCTTTCCTATTCTTTTAACCTCTCGTTTCATCCCTATTCACATGCTTACCTGGCTTGTAAGATGTCTACGTGAATTTATCTTACCTTCAGAGGCTTTTTACCCAAAGGCTGATATTTTGCTGTCAATGATGAGCTCAATATAGCAGTTGTTGCTTTTTGCTGTTACATCTTTTTGCTTCCTCTTCTTATGCTGTTTTTTTTGCTGCCTTCTTCATCTTGCTTGTTGTTCGTTTTCTTCTTGAACTTAACATCTTCTCACCTGTCCGAGTGATGGTTGCCTGTCTTTAAGAAGCAACTTGGCTTGAACTAGCCTTCATCATTATCATCACCATCACCAACCATCATCATCATCAACATCATTTTCGTCTTTCGGTAACCATGTTTCAACCTGCCAAGACGATTGATGTAAACTGAAACAAACGTTCAATGATAATTTGACTATGTGTTTATCCTCTGTCCTTTCCGAAGGTTCATCTCTTTTTTGTCAATTGTGATGACGGAGGGTCAATTAAGGGGTTCGCCAATGGTTATTAGTGCTAGCATGGAGATACATTTTGAGCTATTTTTTTACCACACACAGATTCACAGTAATTTCAAACAGTAGATGAAAATTGTTTCCATCAAAACGCGAAATGTTATGATGAAATGATTCAAATGATGTCTATCCAAATAGATGCTCATTTGTCTGTCAACATTATTTCAAATCAATCAAAGTAAAATCAATTTGAAACTATCATATTCAATTAAACAGAGCTACAATTACAATCATCAACTGCACCAAAAACATTAGCAGACAACAGGAAAGTGAGGAGAACCATCTTAACGTTAAATATCTTTCAGAATCACCAACATAAGCTATAAATATCCAGACAAATCAAATCTTTGGTAAATTGATTTTCATATATTCATCATACCTACCTTTGCAATATGTTGAACTCTCACCCTTTTTTTAATTATCAGAAGCTCACCTAAAAGTTAATTTTGATTTTCTCACCCTTTTACCCTTTCAAAGAACAATCACCATTCGGATTCATTTTTCAATTCAATGACATTTCCAACGTGAGAATCGCTGTTAATCAAAACCATTGGCTGACCAATACTAAAACCAATCTTGGAAGGATAACAAATGGAATCAATCTTCCCATTGTAGTCTTGGTCATTTCAGCATTTTCATCATTACTGTAAAAAGGAAACTGGACAATCATTAGTCAACTTTTTGTCTAAAACCAATGTCCAGTATGGAGAGAGAAGTCTTTTACTGTTTTAAGGTTTCTCCTTGGCCACCTTTTTACTTTCATTTGTGTCCTGTCATTTAACCATTAATAATCACTAATTTTAACACCCTACTGACACCCATAAAGTGACCGGAAACTCAAGACAAAGTAAATCATTAATTGCAAACAAAACAAAAACAATAACAGCAACAACAACTTCAACAACAATGGCCAATGATAACTGGAAGCAAATAAAACAAGAGGAAACACAAGCGGTAAAAAGTACCATTAAATCGCAAATGAGAGCAAGATGATTGGAGAGGCAATTTACCTTTTCTTGTGTGAATATAATCAACTTTAATCAATCCAACGATAATCAGATTATTGTTTCAATACTGGTTAATCGCCATGGAATGGCAAGTAATACAGCTCCATATGTACATATCAACCGGCCTACAAACAATGAATGTTATGTGTTAACATGGACAAGGAAGACAACGATAACATGTATTGGTTGATTGTGATGACTGTTCAAGGAAATGATAAAACATAATCTCAAGGAAGTAATTTGATTGTAAAAAGCTATTGAAGGAACCAAAATAAAAAGGTTAACCTGAGAAGCAGATTGTTGATTACCAAAATATATTGGATGAGAATCACTTGTAACCCATGAAGATGATCACCAGCGTTTTGTCCTCCTTTCAATGTTATGCCAATGATATGGAAACCTTTACATATTCAACTGATTATTGCATTAATATGTTGTTTCATTAGCATATTATAAATACATATTATTACATATTATTACAATGTACCATCATCATCGTCATCATTATCAGTGCAGGTAACTATTTTGAAAATGACCCTAAGTGTAAAGGTAGAGGAAGTTTAAATAGTTAGAGGTTAAAGGTAACAAAACCACTATGGAGCTTCTTCTTCTTCTTATATCATTCCCTGATTGATCACTTCAAGGGTCATTTCTTCGTTTGGTGTTACCAAAAAAAACCGATCCCATCATCTTGTTTGGTTCCCATTTGGTTCCCAGGTCACCCTTTCCAACATAAGGACTTTGGGTTATCTTCGTTTTTGGGAAACAGTTAGGTCAATTGTATTGTACACTTATGGGAATTTGTGCAGGACAAATATTACTGTCAAAGGTCAGAATATTGTTCAGATTAAATTATAACAGATAGTAATAATGATTGTTATTTATGTAATAACATGTTTCATCTTCTCTTCCTAGGTTATTGTGAAGACACCGAGAAAAGACGATCTTATTGTTCCCATCTATGATCGATTGGTATCATCATCACTGTAATCATTTTTAATCATTGATCAATCACACCATCGATTAAGGTTAATGCAGCATTAGACCAGAGTTGCGTTCATTGACAATTATAACATTTCGATATTTTGACTTCAATTTCCGATATGCATTGTAAACAAAGGATTGGGAGATACATTTAAAATTACCTTTTTTTTATATTGAATCATAAAAAGGATAAGGTTAGTGGGAGGTAGAAGAATAGATTTGATGTACAACAAGAGTAGGGACAGAAGTTTTTATAAACTGGGTCATCTTCAGTCAAGAAAAGAGCAAAGGTGTTTTCATTGTTTCGTTTTTTTTGACCAGACCAGTAACTTTGTGCTATTATACTCGTGGTACGTGCAATTGACGCGTGCCACGAAGGGAGAGAGCGAGCGACTGGTGGACCAAGAGTGACCAGTTATAAGGAGGAAAAGGGAGGTAAAGGGATAAGTTAACAGAGTGTGTGAGAGAGAATGAGAGGAACTGTACTTTCTCTGGTTCTACATCCATTTTACTCTTTCGACCGTCACAAGACCGAAAGAGTTTTAAAGCCTGTATTAACTGTTTACTCCTGTTAAGGCTCAACTGTTTATCCTAGCTTGACCTTTAACAATCCGTTGACCTCGTACGTGGCCATTCAGAGACTAGTAACAAGGTACAAGAGAAAGGGAAAGAGAGAAAAAAAGTCTTTCTTTTTTCCTATCCACTTATTCTTTGTCATCTTTTCCTTCAATGAAGTGTCCATAGAGCTTTGTCCATTGCCTGTGGGTCACTTACAAGTTGCTTGTACCTTCATGACACCGTGAAAACAAAAGATAAGTCTTTCAATATAACGATACTGACTCATTTAACAATTTAAAAATTGACCACAACAGACAAAAAAAACTAGAAACAGTTGTCTAACAAGTCAGACAAATTGTAAAACATAAGATACTTTTTTTGTTTAGCCAAAAGCCGATCTCAATTAACAAAAGACCCCTTTTGTAAAAAAGGAAAGCAAAAATTGTATTGTTTTGTTTAACAAATGATTTTTTTCTAGTTTGCTTTAAGCTAAATATGTGCCACTTGTAATAAAGTGCTGGTCGTTTCTCAACCTGTTTAAAATACTTGGTAAAAAGGTAGGTTATTAACTGAAAGGTAAAATTTTGTAGTAAAACAAGTGACAAAGAAATTGCTTTCTTTTAAATCCTTTTGCCTTTTGTTACACTTTTTTCTTATCCCTTCATAATACTTTGGTTTTTCATTCTATTTTTTGCTCTCTTTTTTTTCAAACAAACAACTTTAATATCTTACGTTTTGGTACCTTTTTTGTTGGCATATTATCTTCATAGTGTCCTGAGTTTTACTGGCAACATTTTCAACAATTAACATCGACTCAATGTTGAGCATTGCTACTTAAATCTACTGATGCCATTATTGAGTGAAAGGAGAATCTCGCTATGCATAAAGTTTGCTTTTTTTCTGGTCAAACAGTCAACTATTTACAGATGAATTAATTCCAACCATTCTCTATGCTGCTGCTGCTGCCGCTGCCGATGATGATATTGATAATGATGCTACTTGATAAAGATGAGGAAAAGATGAGAAAATGACCGTGATGAAGAGACAATATTCTCACGGTTTAATATGTTTGCATTGTATTTAATATGAATCACTCTGATTACTCCCCGAAAGTCTATGGCCAAAATAAGTTCACATAAAGATCGTTATGGACCATCGATTAGGCTTCAATTAGCATAAAATAATTTTCAATCATTGGTATCTTCTATGATAATAACAACAACAACAAAAAAACAAGACAATTGAACTAAAAACATTGAGCTTAAATTTGATTCAACTAAGCGTTGAGCCAAGAGTGATCATCAAAAATTGAATACATCAAGACGGAAACAAGGTAACATGGATAATAGTATAAAATTAAGCAGATAAATGATTGTAACTACAACTTCCGATAGATGTCTGGTGTTGGTAGCTAAAAATGTAGATCAACAAACACAAAAAAACAACAACTGATGTAATGGTGATTGGTAATTACATGTAAAAACCATTAATGTTAACAATCAATGATTACATCAAGTTGGATCGATAATATTGTCTTTAAACGTTATCATTGTCATTTCCGTTAAAGCCTTATTTTGCGCTTGTCAAGCCTTTTCCCGTTCATTTTTACCTCTCGATGGACATCATTCAAAATTATCATCCTTCTCATTACCATCCTAAACATCATCATGGACAACAACATCAACAGCAAACGTGTCTGATTGACCGTGCTACCCTACCTTTGACCTGCAAAAGGAGCCAGTAAAGCAAAAAACAAGCCTAGTTAATTCAATGGTAAAGCTTAACATTGGTAACTTTTCTGGGGATCAACAACCACATGGTCATTGGCATCATATTGATTGTAGTTGATTAGTTAACCAAGAACAAGAGTAACTGCGATTAATATTGTGGTGTGTCTGTTGTGGTTAGTGGGATGAATCGGAGGTACATAACCAATGGACCTTTCAATTAGTAGGAATTCAACTTTTTTTTTCAAGTAAAAGACGATGATAATGTATTACTGTTAAAAAAAGATAGAGAAATATAGAAAAACTTGAACCTTTTTTTTTGTGGCTCTTTCTGTGGATAAGAAGAGGGAAAAACAGCAAAAATTTTAAGATGGTGATGATGATAGGGATAGAGGATAAAGAAGATGACGGCAAAGAGCATTTGGATAACGGCAAGATGTAAAATTCACAGAGCGCATCAACATCATCAAGAACAACAGGTTTCAAGGGTGATGTTAAAATGTCTGGTTAACCTTTTGCCACGCGAATTGAGAGTTTATTTTCAAACTATTATATTATCATCATTCAAAGGTTAATTTAACGTTGGTTTCCACACATCAATTTACAATGTGATTAATGTTAACATATTAATGAACCCAGCGAGTTACATTCAATTAATAATAAAGGTTACATCAACCTAGATATCAGCCGAAAATGCGAAGAGCTGATTATTTTAAGACATAAAAACCAAGCAGCCGAAAAGCTGAAAGCATAGAAAGCATATTCAAAATGTGATTTGTATAAATTGGCGAGTCAAGTTTTTTCATTAAATTATATATTTTTTTTGCTTAATTTGTGATTCTAATTTATTTATTGTTCCCTTAATCAATAAGATTTGACCAAATTTAAATTGTTTACCTTATCCAAGGATAAAGACTGCAACAGATGACTGTATTAACTTTAATGTTCATAGTTTCCTTTTATCAACTGTTTGCTTTAGTCTTAAGGATTGTTAATCCTACATATTGCAGCCAAGTCAACAATTAAATAACACCTTTACCTCCATCTTTATCATCATCTGGATTAACAATTGTATGGAAGCTAATATAAATGGCAATGCATAGTGAAATAATCTCAATTGTCCAGTTAATTAATGTCTATTTGATTTCGCCTTACTATACTGTTGGTTTTCAGCAAGAGCAACTGTAACCCAGTTGTGAATGTTACTGTTCACACGATCACCATAAATGTGATGATCATTGAAGCACAACATATTCACACACATAAACTTGATACAAGAATAAAGTGAAACAGTAACATTTTACTAATAATGAACTTATTTTATAATATAATCAAACAAAACAAAAAAAACAAGAAACAAAAAAACCATTGGCTCACTTCATTTGTCTATACATGTATGGATATGTTATGGTGTAGGAGCAGATAATGAAGTACACATGGGAAAATGGTCAACTTGAAAAGGTAAAAATTTGATTAAAGGGATGCAAGAAAAATAATTATAACACTAATAATAATTTTAATTTATTTATTTTCCCTTTCAGTCTTAACCTGCATCTAAGCGAACAGGGAACGAGCCAAGGAGACCGAAAGAGTAATCAACTAACCAAGTGCCTTGATTGTTCCAGGTGGAAATATTTACCTCAAGCAATAATAAACTTTGGGGACACTTTGCATTCACATATACACAATGTTGTCGTAGTGACTGTTACCAAGGATAATCATCGCTATCACCATCAACATCATAATCATCATCAAAAGACGACTGCAGCAGCAAAAGAAACAGCAAGCATGGAGAAACTCAGAAAGTAAAAATATTATCTTTTAATGATAAAAAATTGAAGCAGAAGGAAGCAACAGTTGACTGTTAACTGTTAGCGATCAACAAAAATGATAAACACACTAACTTTGCAGTTGGCATCTTGGATGATAATAATAATGGTGATGATAAAAAAGTAATCAGAACGTGTCACCAGATGAAACCTGTTGATTGCATATGTTGATGATCAAGTTCACCATCAATTTTCATTTTCACATGTCTTTTCAGGCTCACGCTCTCTCTCTCCTATCTCACTGGCTCACCATCATAATCTTATTTCAATTGTTAATTATTAGTTGCAATCATTGATTATCCATGTATTATACATAGGTAATCAGCCAATTTCAATTCCACATTTTACCAAACAACAGTATTTCGTATTGCTAATTGTTTCTCCTTTTTTTACTCCAAATTTTAAAGCAGGTTTATTCCCTTATTGCTGCAATTGTCCATCCACGATGATGTTGATGGTGGTAATGATGATGTTGATCATTTTGCATTGATATCGATGTCTTCAAGGCTGGAATAAGTCGTTCAACAAGGTTACCATCTCAACCTGTTGCTTTTAAACACTCACACAATTTGGTTAATTGTTAATTACCCACATATTTAAGTGTCACTAATTAACCTTTTCTTTTCTTATTATTGCTTCAATTTCCTCACCTGTCTTTTTGATTCAAATGTTGAAAACAATTAGTCAAAAAACAAGGCAAGAAAAAAAGTGTCTTCAACATTTGCAATGTTTATGCATTTGTTTTTTACCCTTAACTTTTGCTAGCCAATATTAAACAAGCAAAATAAATGATTTTACCATGAATAACTATTCTATGAGCTTGATTTTGATTCACTTGATATTGAATTTACCAACATTTATTCATGTTAATCAAAAGGGATCAGGAATTAGGCATGCAAATATATTCAAGTGCAAGGTTAATGTGGTAAAAACAAGGATCAAAGCAAGTGTAAATTAGCTAATTGTTAATAATCTAATGTCATAATTTTCTGCTCAAATTTACAGGTAAAAAAATGGATGTAAAAAATGGATGCAATCTAGGAATAAGATGAAGACAAAAAAGAGTAAACCACGAAAAATACCGAAAAAGTACGTGAAGACAAAGATTATTGAGACAACGAATACGACAACTAAGATGAAGAAGACAAAGATGAAGATGAAGATAAAGGAAACGAAGGGGGATCCGACGGAAGGATGGAGCAAGACAGAGAAGAAGAAGAGGACAGAAAGAGGGGAAATTGGGAGGATGAAAAGAGGGTGAAAAAGAGGGTGAACCGTTTAAACAGTGTAAAGGTTAGCATCTGCCTTTACATTGATCGGTTATCATTGGTTTTCAACTAGAAGCTTACTTTTCTTTCTCTTTCTTTTTCTCTCTCTACGGCCAATCTTCCAATGGCTTCTCTTTCTTCTCTTCTTCTTCTTCTCTTTCTTTCTTCTCTTTCTTTCACCTGCCCTGCGAAACGAGCCACGAGTTAGGGCGGTAATAGAGTGAGCAAGAAGATGAAGAGAGAGAGAAAGAGAAAGACTTGGAAAGGTTAAGCTCTCCCGAACGATCGACGCTAGTAGTTATTGGTATGAAGGTTACATCGACAGATCATTTTACCTTTGAACCAAGTCAAGTTAACATTAACAGTTTTAGTTTAAATTATTTTATAACATAACATTTATATATATTTACATCTTTTCATCAACATCATTTCATTTCATGTTTACATCCCAAGATCATCGTTTAACCGTCATCGTTATTTTTGACATTCATCGCTGTCTTCATTGACTTTTGTTGTTGAACCAAAATTGATCCAATTTCAAGCCAACACAATCCATTGGAACTTTTTGTTTGCGTACATTTTGTTCGTATTTACAACCAATTTTGTGACTCTTTTTTATTTTGTCCAACCGATAATTGAGTGTCTTAACTGTTGATCACTTAATTGTTGCAACTTTAATCAACTAACCCGCTGTTAGACAACCTTTGTGCCAACTTGTTTGTTTGTTTATTTGTTTATCAGCAACTGTTATAGTCAAAAGTCAAGCAAAAATGCCTAGAAGTTTTTTGATTAAAAAATCTCTGGTAACAACAGGAACCACAACCACGACAACTGGAACCACACCAAGTGCACCCACAACCGTAATATCGGGCAATCATGAACGATCAATCCAAGATGATTTACAGAATGAAAATTACAATTACAATAGCAATGGTTAGTTAACCTTTTTATTTACAAATTTCATTCCCAATCAAAATCCTCAATCATTGTCAACTTTCACACTTTTCATTTCATGTTCCTTCAACCCTTGAAAATCAGTTAGAAAGCAACTGTTAAGTCAAAACTAGGAAATCATGTTAGTGGATCATTGATCCTTCATCATCTTCATCAACTCTCTCATCTTTAAGTGGTCCATAATAATGTTAAGGAAGGAAGCTAAATTGCTACCTTGTAAACCGGTTTACTGTAAATAATTTAAACTGGAATAACAATCTGAAGACAACTTTGAGACAAGTCAGCTTTTTACCCAAAGAGATGATGATGATAACGAAATTTCAATTATTTCGTCTTTCCATCATCTTCTTCATCCTCACCTTCACCTTAGTCTTTCATCTTATTATCATTTTCTTGTTTTCGTTTTTGCCTTTTTTCGCTTTTTCAGAATTCTCAGAACAATTAAATGAACCTCTGTGTTAAACGAAAACCTTTACTTTTGAACAAAAGGTAAAACTGGTTTTCTGCTGTTCATCTTGTCAGTTAATTATCATGGTTAAGCTTTTACAGAGTATAAAAAACAAAACAAATCAATCCCGAAATTGTAAATTGACGAAAAGTTGAGAGCCAAAAAAACTGTTATTTATTATTTACCATGAAAAAAAGGTTGAAACAAGGTGAAGTTGAATACAATTTCAACAATTTGAAATTAAATAACCAAATTTGTTTCATCAGTTGGTGGTCAACATCAAAAAAGAAAGGTTTCTTGTACCAATCAACTGGAAAATTAATCGTAATTTAAACAACGGTAACAATCCGAATTGGCTCAAGTCTCTGAATGTTAGTGAAAAAATGTTCAAATTCACGTTACAACTTAAAAGAGGAACCTTTTATGTATCTTTTATACCTTTTTTGTGAAACATTTTTGGTTTTTTAAATAACAAAATAGTCAAGACAGTGTTTCAGGTAAATAAGATCATTTCGTTCAACTCAATATACAACAGATAACCGGTTTTGTGCTATTTAATGCAAAAATAAATCAATAACGAAAAGCAAAAGATCACTAGCAAAGGTATATTAATTTATTGTGATTAAACAATTTCATCAACTTTTCCCGTTCACTTTTATGGACTTTTTGCTCTTCCAAACTTGACCTCAGCTAGTTTTATTTGTTGCTCATCATTATCATCTTCATCCTCTCACCTTATGAGGTACATCTTAATCTGTGTATTTAACTTGAGAAATGTTGACCAATAAAAGAGGAATTATAATGAAAAATTGATATTTCTTTTGCGCTTTAAAACTAACATTTTTCTTGTTTTCTTTTTGTTTTTCTTTTAGTTCCATTTGATTTGAGCACGAAAAATCGCAAAACCGAAGCAAATGTCCCTTCTAATGGTTCAGTCAAAGACCGTCCAGTCAAATCAGAATCCGATTCTGGTCATGCAGGTTCACCTCGCGGTCAACCTGGTTCATCTTCATCAACCTCATCCACATTAAACGTTTTAACACCTTCACCCGCTGTAACTGCCAAAACACTTTACATTCCCTCTTCTGGTTCACCTCGAGGAGCTTTCCTAGCCACATCATCTTCCTTGCCCGGTAAAACTGCTCTGGCTCCATTGGAACCACTCAATATTAACCATGATTCCGATTTGATTCCTTGGCCTTTACCACCAACCAAATCCCATCATTTATCACTTCATCCACATTCACTTTACTCTGGCCTTTACACACCTCGGGATGCCCATTATCCCCATCCAGCCCATCATCATAGTCACCATCACTCTCATCACTCTCACCATTCCAGCCACTCACTAGCCAATTATCATCATCATCCTCACCACAACTATTACATGTCTCCTCATTCCCACCATCATAACCATTATTACAATCAACCTTCCAGTCCACCCTACCTCATCTCACCTCCACGAACTCCTTATTCACGATCAACTTCCTCGCGAACCACAAACTCGTCTTCACCATTAGCTTTGACCAATGGCTCACTGAGCTCTTCCCTTCACCGTTCCGATTCCTGTTCATCTTCTGATCTTCCTTCACCTCGAGACTCTCATTCTGATGATGAGTTAACCTCTCGTCGCCATTCTCTAACGCCAATTACATCAGGAAGAAGTTCATATGTCCATTCACCAGTGGCCACAGTAGACGAGGAAAACGAAGACTCGCCAATGACTGACCTATCAGTTGAAAATAAATCCTCTTCTTGTCCTTCCTCATTCCAATCAAGTCGACCCGCCAAGATGCGTAAAGATGCAACCGGATCACCTATTCCAGTCTCATTTTCCTGTCCCTCGTCACCTCAACAAACCCAATTGTCACCTAAATCATTACCATCACCATCATCTCACCACCAAAACTCATCGTCATCATCTACCTCTTCCTTGTCATCACTTTCATCATCATCATCGACAACAACAACGACAACCCAAGTAAACTCAAAAACCTGCAACTCTTCCGCTCCTCGATACCAATGTCCAGATTGCAAGAAGAGCTATTCAACCTGCTCAGGATTAACCAAACACCAAGAGTTCCATTGTTCAACTCAGACCAAAAAATCATTCTCATGTAAATTCTGTGACAAAGTGTATCATTCACTTGGCGCCCTAAAAATGCACATTCGAACCCACACTTTACCCTGTAAATGTAACCTTTGCGGCAAAGCCTTTTCCAGACCTTGGCTACTTCAGGGTCACATGCGAACCCATACCGGTGAAAAGCCATTTGCTTGTACCCAATGTGGCCGTAAATTTGCTGACCGATCAAACCTGAGAGCTCATTTCCAGACTCATTCAGATGTTAAAAAGTACGGCTGTAAAGGATGTGGTAAAACATTTAGTCGCATGTCACTCTTGTCCAAACATCAAGACAATGGTTGTCCAGCTAAAAGCCTTAACCTATCAACCACAACAACCTCATCGACCTCATCCTCGAGTAAAACTACGTGATTTACCCAGTTGACTAAAAACTGGTTAAACCCAATTCCTTACTCAACTCTATTACTATCATTGCCAATATTATTATTACATTTATTCATATTATAACGCCGATTACCAATATATATCAATTGAGATATTATTGAACTCCATTCAATTACATTCCCAATGATGTTGACCACAATGAAACTAAACTGTTTCCAGAAGACGTTATTATTAATTGTTCCGTTGACATTTGACTACATTTCATATTTACATTAATCATCTTTTAATATACTTAATTACCATCACCAACAAATCACACACACACAGAGAGAGACACTTATATACACTTATACATAAATATATAAATATATCAACACACACAGAAAGCCACACACATATGCACACTGAGATTAATAATTAATCATCAAACTGCCCACCGAATCAATAATGATGGTTAAACTAATTATTGGCTGGACAAGCAAGGCTAAGGAAAAATGAAATGCAAAACAAAATGGTGTGTGTTTGACTACAATACTTGTTAACAATACAATTGTAAATATTTTTTATACAACAATATCTTACCTTTATTAATCGAGTCACAACTCAATATCAATCAACCAACACAAATTGTTAATCTTTAATTATCTGTATAAACCATACAATTAACCAGAGCACTCATAATAATGATAAAAATGACAAATGAGAAACACAAAACACAAAACAAAAAACTAGTCCAAATAACCAACATATATTGTATTAACCTTAACAATTAATCACAGTGATTAAACAATGTGAATTCGCGCTGTGCCATCAATTAATACTCTAAATGTCTCTCTAATTGTAAATTTATTAAATGTAATTTAACTCCAACATTGAAATAAACAAATTGAGAAAAAACTAAATCTTTTTCAACATTATTTATGCTCATTCCGAGCCTCACTTCAACATTAAAATTAGACAAATAAGCAATAAAATAATTCACCGATTCTTGATAATAACCTTAACGCGTGTCACAATCAGTCCCGATGAGGTTAATAATGAAATGTGAAAGGTCAACATGAACATGTGTTAAGATGTTAAAAGATTTGAGACTTTTCAAGGTTTATCATGATGAAGCCTCATTGAAACACGGTTTGAATGTGACAATCAATAGGACAAGACAATTGCCATTAATTTACTTTTGCTGACACTTTTTAATTCAATGCCTTTCTGTTTACCATTTTTATGCCATTTTATGACACTTTTACTGGACTTTACTGATCTCCGGTCAATGTGTGTAACTTTGTTTATCTTATTGCCTGGTAAAAGATTAATAATATGTAAGGGTCATCAATGGGTGGTAAAAGTGACCTTTTAAAAAGGCTAATTATTTATCTTTTCATCGTTTAAATTGACTACATTAACTTGATTTCAAGTTGATAAAAACCTGGAACCCTCCAAAAGCCATTGATTTATGTATTAAAATGCTTTTCGCTGTTTGCTTTTGTATTTGCTCAATATTTTTGTTCATTGAAAGCATTGAAACTCTTGAAAAGGCACATTTTCAGATCACCTCTGGATTTAAGGTGAAAGTTCAATGAATCCGTACCTTTCTTTGATCAGTTTACCAAAATGGTTTTATCATTTCTTTTAATCCAAAGTTTCAATACAAAAATTGATTAAAATTAAGAGTTTGTAAATAGCAATAAATTGTCAACTCAGTTAACCAAACAATTGAAAAGATCAACCTCCAATTTACTTTGTTTTTTCAACTTATCAAATCAAGAATTGTAAATTAAGGTTCAGGTTTTGTATTTAAAAGCTATATTTGCTTTAATACATAAACAATTCAGCAGATAAAGTCCCGAAATCGTTTCTTTTTTTTGTATAATTTTCCTTCGGACAGAAATCTAAATTGAAAACATTATTAAATGAAAAAGAGGAAAAATCAGAGAGATTGGTACAGAATCAATGATAATATTTAAAAATTTGATTTTCAAAGGCTTGCACTCTTTGACAAACATTGAGTTCAAAAGTTGAACGATAAAAGTGAAAACGATCAAAATTTCCATGGAAATGATGATCGAACGATTCCATTAAAAATTTTATGCTTTTTGTTTAATGTCATTTTTTGGACAAAACAAGTTAAAGAGTGATAAAATGGAAACAAGAAGTGACCTAAGAGTGACCCAAGTAGGGAAACAGGAATGTAAAACACTTTGCAAAGGATCTCACAGGTTCAACACCTTCATATATTGAATTTTTGTCTTTTTTGTCAACACAAAGGTAACAATAAAGACGAGAAAGAAGACGAATAAAGAAGAAATGAAAAGGAGAGAAAAAAATTGGGAAAGATGAAGAAGAAGAAGAAGGAAGATAAAGGATGAAAAAATGCATTCTAAAAGGTCTTTTTTGGTTAAATACGAACAGATTGTCCGTATAACTTAAGTCTTAAGGTTTGTTTTTTGCTCAACCTTGTTGGCCTAGTAAAGAGCCAAAAGAATGGGCAAAATGAATAGAAGCCCAAATATACATACAAAGACGGAGAAGAAGATGAACAAGATGAGAATGAAAGTTTTTCTTTGGGAATTTAGCACTTGCCAGTAGTAAAATACATGACCAAGGAAACTGGCGAAAGAAGCGAGTAAAATGATGAAGGCAAAAGGTAAGGTTAACCTGTTTCAAAGTAGCACATCCAAGCAAATCAACACTTACAATGTGACCATAGTCAGTCCAAACCTTAACCTTTACCTTTGAATACCTTTAAAAGCTGAAGACCAAAGTTAAGATGAAAATTTTAAACAAACACCAAACGAAGAGAAAGAAAAAGTTATCCAATTTTTAGTCTTCAATGAAAATGATGATAATAAGCAATTCGTGTCAATTTACTTCATCAATCATCATTGAAATTGTTGAACGAAATGGTTTACCATCAAAATATTGTTCAAAACTTGAATCATTGAAATCGTCGAAAGAGTTGCTTCTCTCTGTTCTGTCAACCTTTACCTTTCACCTTTCCATATCAAATTGAAAGGGAAAATTATGAAAAGTTGAGAAAAGGAAAAGAGTTGAAAGAAGAAGAAGAATAAGAAAAGGTTTACTTTTTTTTTTAATTTGATATCCAAAGTTTGCTCAGTTCAATTATATCCAAGTGTATACAAAGAGTTAAGTGATGATAATGATGAAAAGAGAGAGAAGAAAAAAAAAGTTTAATTTCTTCCCATGATAATGGCAATAACGGTAATAATGGTTATGATAATAACTGTACCTTTCAATGGGAATCTTTTCCTGATTGGTTTCGCTTTTACCGTTTCTCATTGTGTGTTCAGTTGAAACTGAAGGGCGACAAAAAGGTCAACACTTTCATGGTGCAAAAATGTTCAACATAACCTAATTAGATATACACTGGCAATCTATCAACGGTTTGATGTTTAAATGGGCGAAATGGGACAAAGGTAAAGGTGAAAAATGCAAATAAAGTAAGGTTTGTCAATGTGAATCTATTCATTTCTTTGAACCTTTCTTATTCTTCTTCTTCTTCTTCGTCATTTTAGATTCATTCTTATCGATTGGAACTTTGACCCTGTTCAATATTGACAGTTGAATATTTAGTTTGCTCCAATACAATGAAACAATTGAACAAGATTGAAAACGCCAATGAAAGACGCAAAAAAGTGCTTCTCAACGGTTTAGACTAATAAACATTTACACTTTGCATTGTTGCAATTGATTTTTATTATGATTGATGATAATCAAGGGAAATGACCTGATTGTTACTGTTTTATTTACATGCTAAATTGTCAACCTTTTAATGTGCAAATTTCACTCAAACAATGGTTAATAATTGTTGGCCTTGCAGTTTACCATTTAATGCTTAATTGTGATCAACTTTCAATTTTTGCTTTACGTTTCAAGAAAAGGTTACAACAACATTTTGCGATTTACTGATCGGAATTGGTCTTAGAATCAACGATTGTCATGATTATGTTAAATTTTGCTTTCAATTTCTCAAGGTTTTCAAATAATTAGAATTGATTTGCTCTGAAGATTTGTTCTGAATCGAAAATAAAATCTATTTTGATTGGAAAAGCGATCAACTTTGTGCTTTTACAGTTAAAGTTTCAAAATACAAAAATCGACTCTGAAAATTGAAATGATTTTGTGTAAACATTTTGGCAACTTGACTCGAGTCATCAAGAAATGCTGCAATCTTTTCGACATTTTTGATCAAGAAATTTGTAAAATTAAAATTGAAATCAAAATTTTCCAAAATCTTAAAGCAAGCTTTGAAAAATTAAGTCTTCAAAAAATAATAATAATAAGGGTTTTAATATTGAAGTTGTAAAAAGTTCTAAAATTTTGCTTCCTTTCCTGTGATTCTCCCAACAATTCATTTAATTTCTGGATAATTTACTGAATGAGTTTCTTCAAAACTAGACTTTTACAGTGAATCTTGAGACACTGAAAGCAAATTGAACGACAGAAGTGCAGATGAAAGACATTTTTGAATCAAACTAAACTTGTTTAAACTTGGCATTTTTAGTCCAAATTGTTGGATAAATGAACATTTGCATTCTTCTTGAACATTAATGCAAAGACAAACTTGAAATCTAAATTGTTCCAAAGCTATAATCAAACTGTAAACTAAATTAAACATTGAATCAAGCTGGTTATAGTAATGATGAACTTGCGCAAAGTTGAACCACTATAACATGTTTAATACCTTTGATTGGCCGCAGTTGCAAGTGGGAGTTGAATTTGGCCTCAAGTTGAGGTCTAAATACCGTTGATTAACTGTACCATTGAACAGGAAATTTCAACTAACCATATGGTAAAGAGGAAGACGATGATAATGATTATTAAATTTTCAATTGTAAACTTAAAGTCAGAAATGGCCATTAAAGCGATGTAAATATACTAAACAGACAAAAATAGATGTAAACTGCACGAAAAGCAATTTCAATGGTTATGTGGTAATGATGATAATCACGTTTGATCATGTTAGTCTCATTAATAGGCAACAATATCCTATCATTATTTCCGATGTTATTCAATCATCTTCAAGCTTCTTCAAGTCTCGTTATCATTACCAACAGTTGTATTATCATTTCAAGATGTTTACCTTAGCAGAGCAAAACTCATCAATAATGAATATCCATCATTTTGACCTTTTGCTGTCTACTTGCTGGTCACTTGTTTCACCAATCTCAACTTTTGGTCAACCCCAAACAACCGATTTTCAATGTAAATCTTTACATACCATTTGCTTTCATATTGATTACCTGTACAACAAGGACAACCTGGAAACTCCTTCTAATCGTCTTCAATCATGACTGTACAATGAACCTTTTTTGATGCTGCTTCATCAACTGCGGTTGATTAACATGACAAAGATGTCCTTCCATTGACCAGTTATTGTATAAAGATGCAAAAATGTCTTGAGATGTTTAGTCTTTTACTTTAGGACAACCTTTCGTTTATAAGACACTTTCATTATTTGACTAGGATTGATTGACATGAATCAATATTCATCCTGTCAACCATTTTTGTAGCCAAAATGCAATTCCAACCCACCTCATTGATTCACTCTTATGCATTGGTGGACAGATTATTATATCATATTGTATCATTCCCATATCATGATTCCCTCCCAATCATGTTTCCACTTATAAATTGTCTTCTCCAAATTATCAATCAAAATAAATCTAAAATGCTGTTCAACCTTTCAAAGTAACTGTGCTTTTAGAGCTTCGTCTTCACATGTTTAAATAAATTGACAATAAGTTTAACAAGAAAAGTCAATGAAGTTAACCACAAGATCGCCAAATGCATCAGCTAA